TGAAGATATATCAAAATATGGAATATACGCTGGTCGGTACAACTCAAATCCTACTTATGTTGGTAAAATGAACATTTCAGGGCTGATTGTGCCTGGAATTGTTCGGCAAAAATCAAAGACAACTTACTGTATTGATACTGGAAATGGTGACTGTAAAGACGAGTTTGAATATTTAAACAAAACCGAGGAATTTACTTACAAATGGATTGATTCAAGTAATGGAACTGATGAAGAATATTCTGTCTATATATCTAATATTTTTGGAACATTTGCTGTTGGCCGAGTTCTACAAAATAATAAAATAAGTTTGGGATTAGTATATCCTGACCATGGACTCGGAATCCACCAGAATTCTAAAGCTTTACTGAAATTTAACAAGGGAAATGAATTGCTATACAATTCCTTAATTCAAGATCAATATCAAGTCCTGGTACGATCAAGTGATGTCGAAGAAGTAACACAAGATCCAACAACACCCATTGGCATCTCAACAACTATTGAACCTCCTCAAAATTGTGGTAACGTCTAATTTGCTTATGAAATCTTTCATCCACGTCTTCCTAATTATTAAGTGAACCTTCTTAACATTTTAAACAGAAAACTTATGGACGAAATACACTGGAATTGAAGATTTATCAACAGATGGAGTTTTTGCAGGCATGTCTGACTCTAAGCCTCTTTACTTGGGTAGAGTAAGCATATCAGGCAACATGATTCCAAGTACTATCCATACCAGATCTCTAGGATATTGCATTAGTGTCAATAACATTGATTGCTCTGAAGAATTTGAATTTCTTTACAATTTACATGACTATGACTATACTTGGGTAGACTCCCACAGTGGTCAGTCCGTAGAAAATGCTGTTCAGACTGTAATCTTCTCTACACCACTGGCTATTGGCAAATTTTCAGATAATGAGCAACTTTTCATTGGTTTGGTTGTTCCTGGAACTGGATTAGCTTTTCTGAATGAATCTACTTATAATTGGTATGTTGTCAAAACTGGTTATCAAGTGCTGACCTGCCCGGTAGCAATTAATACAACAACGATGACGCCACAACCGGACACATCTACAATTATTTCAACAATACCAATAACTGTTCCTCAGAATGATTTTTGCGGTAAATATAAACATTTATTGAACTTTTAGATTATTGATAATAGAATCTTATGGAGCAGTTCAAGTTAGCTTCTGGGATTTACTCTTTAGGTTTTTTTAAAACGGTCTTTTATTGCTCGAGTGTATGCATAAAATGACAATCCTAGGAGCCACGTGAGACTATGTTCCTACTTAAATACGTCAATATGTCAATCTTGGAGCCGGGTTATCAAATTTACCCTTATGCTATAGATCCTAGTCCTAAAACCATTAATTTTCATTACAATTCTTACTTTTTTTATTTTCTATGTCAGCTGAAGTTTGGTTAAACTACACAGGAACAGAAGACATTGCAAATGATGGTTTTTATGCTGGAATATCTAATTTTAATTCAGTTTTTATTGGCAAGATTCAAACGGCTGGTGTCGAAAGTCCAGTAAAAATTACGAAAGACTATAATAACGGTGGATATTGCATTGAATCTGACAATGAAGACTGCAATAAAAAATTTATGTTTTTACGACAACCAGTGGATCTTAGATATGTCTGGACTGATCATGTTAGTGGCAGTCTTGATCAAAATACAATTAAAATTGGTCATAATGGGACTCTTGCAAAAATTTTGAGAGATGGAAGCACTCATTTAGGCATAGCCTATACAACAGGGGAATTCATATCATCTCAAAATGGAAATATCCTTGCGACAGATGGCTATGAAGTTTTGACATGCTTTGATGGTGACTTTACAACATCAACGATCACTTATTCATCAACTTTTAGTGACAAAACCACAACATCCAGTGTTACAGAGTCAACAACTTTAACGCAGTATCAATTTTGTCGTAAGTATTTGTGCCTGAAAACCAGTATTATTAATTCTAGTTCTTTAAAGATTCTTTTTGCTTTAAACTATGTTAAATTTTATTAATTTCAGTTGAAGTTTGGATTGATTACACTGGAGTAGAAGATATTTCGTCAGATGGCGTATCGGGTAGTCTTCCTGGTTCAAGTCCAATTTTTGTTGGTCAAATTATCCTCAATGATGTTCCATATCCAGTAGAAATCAAAACTGATCCACAAGGTGGTTACTGTGTTAAGACCTACGGTGAAGATTGTCGTAAAAAATTCATGTTTCTTCGAAAGGAAGTGACCATTCAGCATTTATGGATAAGTTCTGCAAATGAAATGTACATCGAAAATCCAGTAAAAAGTGGAAATAACACACTTGCAAGAGTTTCTCAAAATGGCACTGTTTTTATTGGAATTTATGCTAAGAACACTGGAATTTATTCGATATCGGAGGGATGGATTTATGTTTCTGAAGGATATGACATTCTTGCTTGTTACGATGCAGAATTTGTCACAACAACCATCCCTGATACCACAACATTTTCAATCGAAACTGATAAACCACCTCTAAGTGACACAACAACTCAAAGTGATATAACAACATTGAGCGACACAACAACTTTCAGTGGCATAGCAACTTCGAGCGACACAACAACTATGAGTGACACAACAACATTGAGCGACACAACAACTTTCAGTTATACAACAACTTTGATTGATATAACAACTTCGAGTGATGTAACAACTTTGAGTGATACAACAACAATTTTGAGTGACACAACAACTTTCAGTGATATAACAACTTCGAGTAGCACAACAACATTGAGCGACAAAACAACATTGAGCGACACAACAACATTGAGCGACATAACAACGTTGAGCGACATAACAACGTTGAGTGACACAACCACTTTTAGTGATATAACAACTTTGAGTGATATAACAACTTCGAGTGATACAACAACAATTTTGAGCGACACAACAACTTTCAGTGATATAACAACTTCGAGTGGCACAACAACATTGAGCGACACAACAACATTGAGCGACATAACAACGTTGAGTGACTCAACCACTTTTAGTGATATAACAACTTCGAGTGATACAACAACAATTTTGAGCGACACAACAACTTTCAGTGACATAGCAACTTCGAGTGGCACAACAACATTGAGCGACACAACAACATTGAGCGACACAACAACATTGAGCGACATAACAACGTTGAGTGACTCAACCAATTTCAGTGATATAACAACTTTGAGTGGTATAACAACTTCGAGTGATACAACAACAATTTTGAGCGACACAACAACTTTCAGTGATATAACAACTTCGAGTGGCACAACAACATTGAGCGACACAACAACATTGAGCGACACAACAACATTGAGCGACATAACAACGTTGAGTGACTCAACCACTTTCAGTGATATAACAACTTCGAGTGATACAACAACAATTTTGAGTGACACAACAACTTTCAGTGACATAACAACTTCGAGTGGCACAACAACATTAAGTGACACAACAACTATTACTGAAACAACAACGATATCTACAACTCCAACAACGCCATTTGTTACGGTTTCAATTTTCACTATCCCAACTCCAACAACATTCGTGACAGATCCCACAGTGCCTATCACACCACCAACATCTGGAAATTCAGGACAAGATGCTGTTCTCAATGTTATGTTTCAAGTTTTGAATCAGGTTAATGGTCTAATACAAGACGTAGAACAACGCAGAATTAGAATGTTTGTTACTGTCACAATAATTTTAGATGCTGCACAGCAAACAAGCACTCAAATCGGAAGACTTATTACTTACTGTCAACAACGAAAATGTCGACGTCGTAATTAATTCGCTTATTGCGTTTAAATTTGATTTTGATTTGATTTTTTTAAGGAATATGTTTCACTAATATGTAGAATTAAGTGGCACTTAAATGAAATTTTATGATTATTGGTGTGTGGACAGATCTTTTTACATTTACTAACACAATTTGCAATAAATAAATTAACAATAAAAATAAAATTTGAACACTAAACTTTATTAATGAATTAACAACATCTCTTTCAGTGTAATTATATTGCATTAAAAAGGAAGGATAAAGACGTACTTAAACTAATGAACACCACGCGACACAAAATTTTTTTTTTTTCAAGACAAAGTGGACCATTTGAGCAGCATTTTTATTCGAAAAACGAGAATACAACGAAAATTCCACAATAAATAACAAATCATCCAATTAATGCAGCAAATGTTCAGAATTATTGCCCAAAAAAATGCACATAGCAAGTTGCACAAAAATCATGAACGTTGACCTGCTTATAATTTATTGGTGCATCTGTAAACAGGTATTTTGAGTTGTTCATATGTGATGTTTAGAATTATGAGAGAAAATAATTAAAGGGGAGAATTTGTGAGATGAAGGCTGTAGGGTCATTTCCTTGGTAGAGATTGGTTTCTAGGGCAACACCGCTTTTAAGGTTATTAGGTTCAATTCTAGGGAAGAGAGTCCGAAGCTACTTTCAAGAAGATTAGAAAGCCTGAACATCGTAAATTACGCTTGAATCGAGAAACGATTTAGTTTACTCAAGGGTATTAATAGCTTACAATTGAGATTAATGTAAGAGATTCCATGAAGACCTAAATCCAGTTTCAGGAGAGAAAAGCATTGAAATTAAGCTAAGCAGAACTAAGCGAATGATAGAGTGAGTCTAAGATCTAAATAAGGCTAGGGACAAGCTAAGGACAAGCTAAGGACAAGCTAAAGACAAGCTAAGGACAAGCTAAGGACCACGACAACCTGAAATAAAAAGCACCAAAGTGGTGAGCATCCATCACCGAAGGCGTATAAAGGATCAAAACTACAATTTTAAATTCACATCATTTACGAACAACCCCTATGCAGCATTTGATTAATTTTTGTCTCTTAAATAACATGCAAAACATTCATTCCTTTCTTTATGTTGCCATTTTACAGAAATTCTTAAATAAAAAAATTTGTTCTTTGGTCCACGTACGATTTTGATTTTAGTTGAGTTTTGAAAGTCGAAGTGAAAGGATCAAATATTTTTTGTGAGCATTTAAAAAATGGAGTATTGGAAGATTTTGATTTTAACTTACATTGGTGTCGCGTTGATTGAAGGAATTCCGACAGGAAATGACATTAATGACAAGAAATGTAAGCTAAACTTTATTATTTTTCGTAACATAAATTTTTTTATCTTTTAATCCCAAATTTAGCTGTAAACATGGTCAAGCTATCAATCTATGACCAAGAAAATGCATATCATGATGATATTCAGCCCAGAGCAGGTCCAATTGCTAGCTTTTTTGCAAATCGGAGGACATCAACAGTACAACCGCAAGTAGTAACAACTGTGTCGCCAGGATCACTTGCCGATCTCAACTTGAAAATGGATGCAATGAAGAATCAGTTGACGGCTTTAAATCTGCAAATTGTGGATGAAGAGAAAAAAGTTGTGGATTTGACAACTCAAATGCAGGATATTAATAATCAATTGACTGTCTTGACAAGCTTACTCTCTCCCTAAAAAATAAATGTAAAATATCTGCAAGAATAAAAAACAATAAAGTTTTTGGAAATTTAAATTTGTCGTGTTGTTTAATTTGATAAAGATTGGATGTATTGTTGATTATTGAATCTGAGTGAGTCTTGTTAATTCTATAAAGACTAATTCAGTTTCATGAATTGTGGATGTGCTAAAAATGAATAGACAGTGTATAAAGGCTATTTAAGGATTTAGGGAAGGATGGGGAAACAAACGTGTTCAAATGCTTTCTGATAGCCTCCAGGTGCCTGCAAGATCATAGCTGCAACATTTAACGTATTTTAACGAATTGTCAGTTTAATTTTGGACATAATACCAAAGAATCTATCAACTTAAAAGTTGTTTCCCCTGCAGAAGGAAGTTGACCTTTTCAACCTCTTCCAAAATGCACTAAAAAGACAAAAATAATCAGGAAATTTAACTCATTTGCATTGAATTAATTTAATTAATAAACACTTAAATCCTTCAAATTAACATCGTATAAGAAATTTGGGGTCGTCAATAAATGCTTTTCAATTTTTAGAGTCTGAAGAATTTCTGCAGCTAATCAATACCTCTAAAAAAAGGGCGAAATATGGTCTTAAACCCCAAAAAAATTCAATTACATTATTTATGCACAGTTCCTTAACAGATATTAATTGAATCAAATTCAAGTATTTCGCCGAATTAAATTCTTAAGTGCTACGTGTGGTGCTGTACACGAGTCTTCATATAAAAATAATAAATAATTGTCAGAACATCACATAAGGAGAGTTCAATGCATTAATGCTGAAGATGAAATTTTCATTAAAAGGTTTTCATGAGTTTCGTTATTTTAAGCAACAATGCGGTAAATGGACTCAGTTGTCATGGTTCATGATTGACAGATATGAAAATTGATTTGAATCGGAGATTTTTAAAGCGTTTAAGCAAGTTCTTTGGGAGTTTGACTCTCTTGCTTGTTACACAACAACATTGATGTTTTGCAATCCACAGTGTTAAAAAGCAACGAAAATTCAAATTCAATCATAAGTTGAAGGATGGGCATCCTGTGCAGCCTTAAAGTCCTTAGAAACATCTACTCCACCTCTACAAAATAGACAGAAATTAATTTTAATACTTCACTAAATGCGCTTTTGTCACATGAATTCAATCATTTTTAACTTGCCAAAAAATATTTTTAAAAATATTTGAATTTCTTCTTTTTATTCATTTGTACATTTTTTATGGTCACTTATGCTTTTGACAGTTATTAATGAGGCTTATTGCTTCAAAGTTCAATGCATCCTTTTTTTAAATTCGAAAACCTGTTCGATTTAACAACAAAATGCAAAAATCATATTATAAAATGCGATTTTTATTAACATAATGATTATTTTATTTTAATTCTGATTTTAACTGTGAATTGCAAAAATTTATATAAAATAAATTCTATGTTTTATTTTGAAGGTCGTTCATTTCAAGTAGAAAGTGGCTGAAATTAACAGTTTTGGTACATTGAGTTTTGGGAGTTCAGGAAATCTCAATTTTTCATTGATTCAATTTAAGCAGCTGAACAGTAGCTTGACATTTTTTTTGGGGTGCAGAGTTTTAGAAGCTCTTATTCCATTTCACCGTTCTAGGTCCAAAGCTTGGTTCATGTGTTGAATGTAGTTTTGAGGTCTTCGGAATGTAACGTGCCTTTTTTGCTATGTATTCTTGGATATACTATCATCTGGATGTCTTCATTATGACAACTTGCCCGTACGAATTGTGACAAGGTACATTGCAGAGTCAATCAGGCCTTAAGACATATGTATGTCTTTACTATACACAGAGCTTGCAATTAGGTTTGATTTCAATGTAAACTGCAGGTCTCAAATGTGTGGTTCAGTAGATTCACAATCGCTGAACCTTCAGCTCTGACGATTAATCTTTTTGGGAGGGAGAGACAAGGAGAGTTTTGGAATTATTATAAAGTCATAGCTGCGTCCTTTTCACAATACAACTGAAGGATTGCATTTTTAACAATTTTTTCTAATAACATAAAAAACAATAAAACGATAATTTTTGAATATTTCACGCATGCGCACTATGTACGTGATATTCTCAAAACCACTCATAAACACTGTGCTGAACTCAAATCCACAAACTTGTATCTTAGGTGCTTTAAAATCAGACTTATTTAAAATTTTAAGCAATAAAACAGTGTTCAACTAATTGACTCGACAACAACTACTTTTCAGCCATGCCGTCAAAGTTTAAGGATGTAACTCACGTCATTTTTGATATGGATGGATTACTACTTAGTAAGATTTTATTAAATACAGGCATATTGTTTACATATTATAAAATGATATGCATGCCTAAGGTCATGTAACTTGAACTCTAATTTCAATTTTAATCCACAGACACTGAAGTTCTTTATACAGTCGCGACACAAAACATTCTTGACATGTATTTTCAAAATCCTCGTAAAATTTATACGTGGGATGTTAAAGTTGGACTCATGGGACTTCAGACTGAGCAAGTGTCGAGGAAAATTGTTGATATTTACGACATACCGATAACTTGGGAGGAATATGCAGCACTAGCTGGAGAGCAGATTAAGATTCTTATGAAGAATTGTGAGAAATGTGCTGGTAAGGACTTCCTGATATAATTTTACGAATTATTAACTATTTCATCTTATTCTTAGGTGCTGAGAGGCTAGTCAAGCATTTATATGACAAAAATGTGCCAATTTGCTTAGCAACAAGCAGCTCAAAAGAGTCATTTGATGTCAAAACTGTTCATCATAAGGAATTATTCAAAATGTTTCAGCACATCACGATGGGATCAAGTGATCCAGAAGTAGCGCATGGCAAACCAGCTCCTGATATATTCCTCGTTGCAGCCAGTCGATTTCCTGATAAGCCAAAACATGAGAATGTAAGCTTAATTGTTTGATTTTATTTTATTGTAGCTTATCGTTGATGTTTTATGAGCTTGAATGATCATAATGAGATTAGGTGTGATGTGTTAATGACTTGACAGTTTTGTGAATGTGAGACAATTGTTAATTGTTTGTGGATTTAAGTATGACTAGTTTCATAGTTCTAAGTTGCAAGATATTGTGAAATTTAGGATTTTAGATTGTTAAGGCTCATGCTAAGTCATCCTGCTCAAAAAGTCATGAACTTGACAAATTTCAATATTTACTAAAAATCCTTAATTTCCATCCAGTGTCTAGTATTCGAGGATGCACCAAACGGAGTCACAGCTGCTCTAGCTGCTGGCATGCAAGTTGTGATGGTGCCAGATATTCATGTTCCTGAAAGTCAACGTCAAGATGCGACGCAGGTGCTTAAGACTTTAAATGATTTCAAACCAGAAGACTTTAACTTGCCGGCATTTGATGAAAGCTAGGAAAGAGTCAATGGGAGAAGATTTTGATGGTAAACTGGATAGATCGTGGGTTTTTGAAATAAAATTGAAATGTATTTTTTTAAAAAAATTAAAATAAAAGTGAATTAAATCCAAAAGAAATATTTTTCAAAAAAAAGCATTCAAGTGCCGGAATTAACACTCAACACGCATGAATAAAAAAAACCTTATAAAAGGGAATTCCACGTTTCTTACAATCAGTCGTTTAACTGCCACAAAAGAACAAACCGTAAATTTATCATTAAATCCAATAATCTTTTAATTGACTTTCATTGAACAACACAATTAACTGTTTAATTGAGCCATAATGATAAAAAAAAGTTCATTTCAAGTACATTGCCAGTAAATTCAGTGGCTATCTAGTGATTATCATAAGCCACAGGTCTGATAAGACTGAAATAAAAACGTGAAATGCATGATTTATTTTTTTGCAGCAGAAATGTTTGTCTGAAGTGTGACTGATCATCAAAATTTCGATTGTTTTATTTACGGAAAGTTTGCCATTCAAAGAAATAAACAACCGCGGTTATGTCACGAATGGATTCAGCAAGTATATTTGAGGAATTGACTAATTTGACTCAAGAGAAGCCAGTTTTAGGTTGTGCGATAGAAGCCGAGCCTTTAAAAATCGAATCAATTTAGTCGAGCCTTTTTTCAGTTTGAGTGACGTCACATGAGACTTATTTGGATCTAGAAACGTCATACAAGCTTCATTTAAATCTAGTGATGTCAAACTAATCTTCCTTAGGTCAGGATTCATCAATTTAGCCTTCCATTAGTTTACCAAAGTCAGATAAACCTCCTTCAAGATTGAATTTAAATTGAAATTGATACACAATGTTTAATCCAACTTCACACAAGTATTTATGACGTCACATCTTATTCAAGCTTATCACTAAATATTATGATCAAGTGCTTCATTAATTCTTCTGTTCAGTTTAATCCGAGACTTCAAACAGTAAACATAACGAGAGTAAATTATTAAATTTTAAAAAAAAAATAACTTTCAAGTGGAAAAAAAGAGCAACAAAATTAGACAAAAAGTAAGTAAAAAGTCATAATTGTCATTCAGCAGAGCATAAAAATATACATTTAAATTGGATTATTAGCATTAAAAACGCAAAGTTGGCTTTGTTTGTGTTTTGTAATTATTATTCTTTGTCAAATGGATTGTGAATCATTAATTTGCTGTTGGGTAAGCATTATATTCAGTTTGTAGTACTGACAATGGTTCGTCAAAGGATTCCAAATCCAGACGTTTTTGCTCTAGGGTGGCGAATAGGGTTCAGTCCTAAGTTTTTAAATAAAAGATATGTTTTTGGTTCAAAAAATAATAGAAAAGTAAAATTTGTAAGTTTTAAAATTTTTGAAACTTTTTTTTTCTTCGAAAATTCAAAATTGGTAAATAATCACTTTATTAATGGATTCTAAGCTTCTTTTAAGCAATAAACATATTAAATATCTCAAAATTTTGGGATTTTTTTCTAATTTCTAACTTATAAAAAATCCAAATCAATCCGATCTATATTTAAAATTTTAAAAAAAAGGTTTGATTTAGCCATTCATTTAAATTTCAATAAAACTTTAATCAATCAATTCATAACAATCATAAAATTTACTATCTAGCTCTACGTCATACTAAACCATACAGTAGACTTTCATCAAAATCGTCATCACTTGTCTTAATCTCACCAGATTCTTCCGGATTTTTCCTGAAAATTACGTCACGCCCACTTGTATGTCGTTTGCCAGTTGAAGCCATTTTCAACATTTTTATCTTTATTAATTAATGATGATGTACTAATTAGTGATATTAATCGGATGATATGGAGATGTGTCATTGTTTAAGTAACGGATGGTGTGCCAATGGACTAGATTAGTATTGTTTCTAGTTGGCATAGCTAATGTTGGTCATACGAGGCTCCCATAGATTATTAACTTTAAATAATCTCGTAAAAAGATTATAATCTTCGTTTTTAAAAGATTGTAATCTGCGAGAGCCTTGCTATTAGTGGCAATCTTGATTAAAAATCATTTTGGAAGCACCAAGTCATTTTTTTACTTATTCCTTGGTATTTTAGTCTATCAGTCAGTTCGTTTATCTAGCTTTCTGTCTAACCTTCTATTAATCGGACTCTCATCATGTTCTTGAACTATTCGGTGATGAAATGATGATATTTGATACTTCTTAGGGTCTTCCTCATTAAATGATGTCCAAGACTATAAATTAATCTTTGTCTTATCATCTTTATTCAAAGATCAGTTTCCACAAGCACATTTTAAGACAAACAAAATCTTGATAAGTGCGCTCATGACGCTCCTCCTTTGATACTTTCCATACTTGTTGCATATTCTTCATCAAATAACCCATAAACAATATCATATGCAACAGTTCACGCATCGTCACAAAATCGAACTTTACTTTTACAGCCATTGTAAAAATAAAATTCTCCATTCAGTCGCTCTTGAGCTTTTAAAACAATCGGAGGCAATAATTTTTGAGTGCTACCAATTTATTTAACTTCCGATGATATCAACGCAATAAAAATAGAGAATTAAAAAGTGATATTGTGGGCAATAAAAGGCTTGTTGATAAAGGAGAATGAGACGAATTTTTAATTCAATTAAGCGTAATTGACAGTTAATTGATAAATAATCCACACAAAGAATGATTTAATGCTCACAGACTATCGACAATTTAATCTTGTTTGAGTGGAACTTTCTTTTAATTCTCAAATTTACTCTCTTAAAAAATTGTTTCAGGTTCACTTGTGGAACAACAAATACAGAGCAACACAATGAGAGTAATTTTGTTACTTCTCATAAGCTTCTCAATGTTGAGGCACGGCACTGAAGCGACTAAAATTGTCTCGCTTAATGACAATTGGATTTTGGAGCAAGAAATTGAAGGTATGTGAATTTAGTAAGTTGTCTGTAGTTTACAGTGTATTATCAAGATTTCGATTGATCATCATACCTATGTTTATAATATGGACTTACTTACTTCCTTCCTGTAACCATGTTCCTATGTGGAGCTTAGGTTACAACAAAAGGCTTACCATCTGAGTATTGCTGGCTATGTTACCTAGTTTGTACAACTTCTCTGTCCGCATATTAAGCTGACATTTTTTCATCACAGTCCTGCACCAGGTAGCTTATAAAATTGACTAGGACTGATTAAATTAAACTATGTAATATGGCCTTATGCTGTGTCACCAACTTTTATCTTTCCTCCTTGACTTGATATGTTTCTATATTGTGTATATCATTGCCTAGGAGCACCATTGCTAATGTTCTTATGCAAAACCTTCGAAGTTTCCATACCGTAACATTTAATAATGCAGCTAGAGGTGTCCTAATCCATGGTTAAGGGTTTGCTTACTTTCTTCTTTGGCTGGAGCGCACTTGAGCCCATTGTCAGGCTTAGAGATCGTCTGAAGACAGCTCTAACCTTAGAAACTTTCTGCCAGTTCAAAATATTAAGAACACATTCAAGCTACGAAATCTTCGGTCTTCCTCGTGATCTCTTGCCATCCATAAAGTCTGCTACTGCTATTATTAATACTGAGGCACCTTGTGAGCGTCTGATCCCATGTCAATCCCGTCAGTTTAATTCAGACAACACCCTATTTTAGGTTACTTACCTACTTACTTAACACAAAAACAAGAAGACTACAGTTTTTTTCAGGACTGGTTTTAGATAGTTTTATTCAATATTTTATTGAAAATGAAAAAAAAATGGTGAACATTATGCTGTAAGTTCAAGCAGATAAGATGACAATTGTAAAGAAAATTCACAAAATTTAATCATTGCTAGCTTCAGACAACCCTTGTACCTAAAATCTGTATTTGCTTAAAATTGACATAATAAATTTTTATTCCAGCTTATGTTCCAAATTTTCGTTCTGTAAAGAAGTTCAATTGGGAAAGAGAGATTGACAGTGACAATGAAGGTAATGTAGAAACTACTACAGAAAATATTGAAGAAGATACCACAAAATCTAATGCAGAAGAAACAACAGAAGGAACTACCTACATTAGTACAGAAGATCCTACTGAAGGTACCACTGATGGTAGTGGTAAAGGTATTTTAACTTAAAATTATGGTTTTTGGTGCTGGAAAAGTTAAGGAATCTATGGATTTATGTGCTGTATTTATACCTTCTGTCAATACGTTTATGCTGATTTTTTTTTGACCCAACACGTCAAAAATAAATTATTTTCTTAATTTTTCAGCCATAAAAATAGAAAACATCACAATTCCAAGTGGCATCTTTACTGACCTTGAGAATGCAGGCATAACTGAAAGCATCTTGTATGGTTTTAACGACAGAGAACTTCGTCATTATTCCTACATGAATTGGATATATTCAAAGAGCTTCATCGTTACCGCTGATGACTTAAACCACGAATTTGTCATCCTCACCTTCCATGGACTCGACACGATCACGAAAATAATTTTAAATGATCAACTTCTCGGAAATACTGACAACATGTTTAGAAGATTTAAGTTTGGTGTTAAGAGTTTTTTGATTGAGGTGAGTCTATGGCAAAGGAAAATCAACATGACAGGAAATTATTAGCAATTCCTTGTTACAATTATGTTAGAAAATGATGTGAAATTTCTCATTAGAAATTTTTTCCACCATGTTGTATTCCCCTTAGTATAGAGCTAAGTCCTTAATAAACTCAAATCTAATTTAATCATTTAAGGGTGAAAATAAACTAGCGATACATTTCGAGTCACCAGTGGTAGCAGCTAAAAACATAGATGAAACACATATTAACAGAACAATCACACCAGCATGTCCACCAGACACCTACAAAGGTGAATGTCATATCAATTTGTTGAGGAAAATGCAAGCTTCTTTTGCTGTAAGTATAATTAATTGGTATTAAATAGATTAGTTGACACATAAATTAAGGGCTGGTTTTGTGGCAATACTAGTGTGTACCATTCCCTAGCAGAAATTTACTAGTAATTTCCTAGTAATTCACTAGATAACTTTCCATTTGCTACTTGCTATTTACTAGTCAAAATCCAAGTTCAAATCATCGCCAAAGACCCGCATTTTCACTTGCTATTTGACTAGTCAATTCGCTTACAATTTAACTAGTAATTTACTAGCAAATTTTTAAAAAATTTAAATGAATATAACCGTTGATTTCCACGTGTTTTTTTGATTTTTTTATTTGTGTAAATTATTGTAAAAGTATTAGTGTGTACTTAGTTGAAGTTAATTAAAGTACACTAACACTATGATAAAAAGCAAAAGACTTAATTTTATTAAGTCGAACACTGATGAACGCCCATGACTCGCACGCAAACCTGAGGAAGATAAATAATTAATTGAATGTCACATACAAATTTGGATCGACCTTATAAAGGTGATTTCTGCGCGCTCTTGTGAAGTATATGGCAAATGCCAAATTTAGAACAAAATTCTTTATGACGCAAAAAATTCTTTTTTTGATGATTTTTCGTAGGATTCGAACTTAAGAAGATTTAATCAAACATTTTACATGGTAATTTGGTAGTAATTTGCTAGTGAATAGCAAGTGTAATTTTCTAATAGTAAGTTGTTTTAATAATTACTAGTAAATTGCAAGTAGTAAAATAGAAAGACTAGCAATTTGCTAGTTAGTCTCGCTAGGGATTGAGCTTTTCATTTAGATGATATGTCCTAGTAACCTTAAGTTATCTCTATACATCTTACAGATCCAGTTTCTAGAGCTGCACGGAAATATCTATTCTAGAAACCGTTCAATTTGGATCATAAACAAAAATTTGGATCAAAAATGATCAAAAATGATCAAAAATGATCAAAATGTAATTCTTCTGATCAGGGCAGGGTTAAATGGTTCTAAAAACCGTTCCATGATAGTTTAGACTAAAACAAATTAACACAACATCCAAGATTCTTAGATTCCAAAAAAAAAAATCCAAACCTTAATAACAATTTTCATTTACAGTGGGACTGGGGTCTAGCAGCACCGTCAATGGGAATCTGGAAAAATGTCGAATTAGAACTCTACGACTCACTACATTTCCGTGACATCACATATGAATTGAATACTTTCATACCTCAGCCACAATCTGATGGCTCATCAGAGATTCAAGTAGAAGAGACTGATCAATTTTGGGAGTTGGACTTTATTGTTCATGTTGAAGCAGGAGAAGCAAACATGACTTTTGAAGGTGTTTTGATCTACGAACTGATTAATATCAATGGCACACATTCAATGAACTTTAATGTTCATACAGATCAGTATGGAAAGGCAGAAATTCCAATAAATATGAAAGTCAACAAGAACTCTGTCAATTTATGGTGGCCAAATGGATACGGTGATCAACAACTCTACACATTTAGAGCAAGATGGGAAGATTTAAGAGTCAACGGTGTCAATTTTTACTCAAGAATCTTCTTAGTGACTGAAAAAGAAATTAATGTTGGCTTTAGAACAATTGAGCTAGTTCAAGACTTAATGGAAAATGGACTTTCATTTTACTTCAAAGTTAATGGTATTCCAATATTTATGAAAGGATCTAATTGGATTCCATCGCACATCTTGCCTGAAAAGTCTGCAAATGAGGATAAAATCAAGGAATTATTGCAAGCTGCAAGAGATGCTCACATGAATATGTTGCGAGTTTGGTGAGTAAATGTGACTATTTGTCTGTCTGTCTGTCTATAACCCTGTGTGGCTCTCAAGCTGAGTATCATTCAAAACAAGCGTTTCTCAAGCTCAGCGTTTATTTTTGCTGAGCGTATCTCAACCTGAACGACTCTCAAGCTGAGCGTTTTTCAAGCTGAGCGTTTCTTTTGCTGAATATATCTCAAGCTGAGCGCACACAAGCTGAATGTTTCTCAAGCTGAGCGTATCTCAACCTGAACAACTCTCAAGCTGAGCGCACACAAGCTGAGCGTCTCTGAAGCTGAGCATTCATCTGAATATCTAAAAACATGTGACGAAAATAATCTAAAATCAACTTTATATTACAGGGGTGGTGGTGTCTATGAATCCGATTATTTCTACAACTTAGCTGACAAATATGGAATCCTAATTTGGCAAGACATGATGTTTGCATGTGCTATGTACCCAACAGGAGACTTCCTCGAATCAGTCAAATATGAGATTAGAGATCAAATCAAAAGAATCCAACATCATCCATCAATTGCTTTATTTGCAACAAATAATGAAAATGAGGTGGCATTGAGGCAAAATTGGTATGACACAAAGCAATTTTATAAAGAATTTGCAGAAGATTATAATGTATTATATAGAACCACCATAATCGGTGAGATCAGAAAATATGACAAAAAAAGAACAACTTTATTATCTTCACCATCAAATGGTAATTGGAATAAAGATCGTGATGACTATGGAATTTCTATGGATCCACAAAGTGCACATTTCGGGGATATCCATTTTTATCCAATGAATACAAATTCCTGGAATCCAACAACCTTCCATACAGCAAGGTTTGCAAGTGAATATGGATTCCAAAGTTATCCACAAGGATGGAAAGAAGTGACACCTGAGAATGTGACTGTTATGAACCTACTCAACTACAGACAGCATCATCCATTGAACAGCACATTAATTACATATTTAGTCCAAGAAAACATAAATGTCAATTTTGAGTCACTCAACTGGGAGGATCAGGTCTACTTAAGTCAGTTATCACAAGCCATAGCACTTAAAACAGAAACTGAAGTTTATCGAGCTGGTCGTGGTGAATTCATGTACACAATGGGTGCTTTATACTGGCAACTTAATGATGTCTGGGTAGCACCAAGCTGGAGTTCCATAGAATATAATGGGAACTTCAAAATAATTCAGTATTGGATGGAATCAGTGTTCAGACCAATCACATTAATTACACAAGTTCGACTCCTTAACAAGCTAACAATCTATGCTGTAAGTGATGAGATTAAGGTCGGTCCAAAGCCAATGTCAATTAAGATGAATGTTTATAAATGGAGTGGAATTGAAGTCATTGACACACAGTCTTGGACATTTGAGATGAAAGGCAATGATGTGACACTTGTGGATACAATTGATTTATATAAATACATGAATGATAAAGGATATGATGTCTATGAATATTTCATGATGTTCTACCTGTATGAAGGATCTCAAAACTCGAGCAATGCAATTGCCGCTAATTTTGTTTTTCCTGGAAATTATCAATATTTGAAGTCAATGAAGGATCCAAATTTGACTTATGAATTCACGACTAATAAGTGCGAGAATGAACAACATCGGATATCCATGACGATTAATATTGACAGTCCAGCTTTGTTTGTCTTCATTGTACTGGAGCATCCTGAAATAAAACAGTATAAATTGAGCAAAAATGGATTTATTCAAGTTGAGCCTTTCATCACTGTACAACTGACATTTTCTAATCCTGGATGTCGGTCTTCTATTAAAGCTGATTCCCTTAAAATTAAAACTTTGAATAAATTTTTGATGTAAATTTGGATTTTTGAATTGTGATAAAATTGTGTGTCAATAAAGTCAATTTATTTTTTGAAAATGAACAAGATTAATGTGGTTTTAGAAAAAATAGGTACGTAGTTTCACACCCCTTTGAAGGCCGAAGTGAGATAAGTACCTCAGTGGCCAAGTGGCTGGGATCTCAAATCGAGTGGTCAGAGATCGCCCCTTTTGAGGTCGTGAGTTCGATTCCCATCGAACTCGACTTGTTTTACATTAGTATACACATATGGCAGTTATAGGAAGATCTACTCTATTACGAGCACATTGACCGACAAATTGAACAGTCTGCAAAATTTTGCGCAACATTTGACTTTGATTATTGAAAGTCAACAAGCAACGCTGCATAAATCAACTTACAAGCATAATTCAATTTTAATTTCGTAATATATTCAGTAGCATATATGCACATGAGCATGCGATCTGTAATGTATGTGATTTTAGCTACACTTGAAACTAGTTTTTTTTTACTCAACTTTGTTTACTTCTCTTTCTCTATTTTTAATTTTCGATTAGTTGAGATTAAACGTTTGAGTCGAGTAGACAGAAAGTGGAACTGAATTCTAAATTATTTTTGGCAACTGACAAGTGACGTCACCAATAATGTCTGATATCTTTGACCTAAATAAGAATATTCCGTCTTATCTCAACGAAGAATTCTTCCAAGAAATTTACACAGATAAGAATGAAGAAATTTTAAATTTAAAAATCGAGGGAGCATCAAAGCCTGGCGATAATTTTGTTGGTGCAGTTTATCGCATCACTTTAACAACCAGCAGTGGAGTTCAGCAATTCATTGCCAAAGTACCATCAACATCTGGCCATGAAACACTTCATTCATATTTATCAAATGATTTTGTTGTTGATCTTTTTAAATGTGAAATTAAAGTTTATCAGGATATTTTACCTGAAATGTTGAAGGTATGGAATAGTGCTGGATATGATGATGTTCTGTGTCCTAGGTAAGTGCAATTGAGGGTTTGGGTGTGATTAGGTGTGTTGATTATTGACATTTCGTAAGCAGCGGGTTCTTGATGATTTACTTTGGTATTTGTTATGTTAGGGAGTTGAAATTGATGATGCTCAACATTATAAATCATGCCACTGACTTGCTAATGTTGTCCAGGAGATCAGAATTTTGCACATAACAACAGCATTGCTAATTTATAATGAACTTTCTAAATAAACATTTTCTATCTCACTCTCATCATTTCTGATCAAAAAATCAATGCTACAGCTAGCTTATACAGTAATTCTAAGAATTTTTTCATACCTTATGCACGACAATACATTTAAGTCTTAAATTCTTGCGCGAATAATCAGCCAAGGTCACTAGTAAACACGGAAATAATTGTAAATGCTATTTCGTGTATCAAATTTTTTTTATACTAAAATAAAATAGGATTTAAAAGAAATAATTTCCAATTTCCAGGCTTGTTCATCAGACAGTTACACCACACCCAACAATTATACTTGAAGATCTTAGTCCTTATGGCTTTACAACTCTACAAAATCCAATTGAAGATTTTAATGCCTCATTAATGGTCGCAAAACGATTGGCTAAGTTTCATGCTGCTTCTTATTATCTAGTTCATGAGAAGGTAAGAAGTGATTATTTAATGGACGATAGGGAAGGGGCTTATATGGGATGTATGAGGATTCAAACTTTGTAATTTAGTGATTGAGTTAAACTAGGAGCTAGTTTTTCAAGCTTCTGTAGTATCCCAAAGATAAGTGTTTTCATGAATGTTTGAATTAGGATTAAATAGCTACAGGGAGTCCTAGAAACAGGCACGGAACTTAGCTTATAAATGAATGTTGATGAAGAATTGGTCTAAAACCTTAATGAGACTGGAATGAAGCCTGAAGAAAGGCATGCATAATTCGAGTTATTTTTTAATTGTGTGCTTTTAACCAGGCTCGGAAATTAGCGTATTTAGGATATGTATGTAGAAGTTGGAGGTATTTGGCAGTATACCGCCTAGTTTTCGAGCCTGGGCTTCGGTGTCTCGGAGGTGCCTCATGTTCCACTTTTGTAGCTTTGTCCTTAAGTCAAGCTCATATCATTCATGCTGTGAAGCCAGGTTCTCAAATGCATAATTGAATGTCTCCCAATATACCTTTAGAAGCAAGGATGCGGAACTGATTAATCTGATGTTGACTATTTTTGGTCACTTTTATCAGTTGCACACCCTTGTTTAGGAGATGAAATGAAGAGTAAGCTCTAAATTAACCTCTTTGGGGTGTGAAAGAAGTTATTAGGCACAGTTGGGGCGTCAAAATGTCTTGTTTTTAAATTAAATCAGATTTGAAATAAAATCAATTTAATCAAAATTTAGAAAATCATTCAAGTTCTAGGAAACCGCAAATAAAATTCTCATTCCAGAATCAGGACTTCTCCAATTTCAACAACAGCGTCTTTAACAATGAAATTTTGTCACATGTGATTTATGATATGGGACTTGAAGGTTTTACGGATGTGGCTAGCACAAAGCCTTCATTGATTAAATACGTAGAAAAGTTACGTAAATTTCACAGTGAATTCAGACACTTAATTGATGAGTCTTATAAGCCGAGTGATGATGGAATCAATGTTTTGTGTCACAATGACTTTCATCTTAAGAATTTGCTTTTTAATAGTGATGGAAATGGAAAGATTGAGGATTTTTATATGGTAAGATCTGTAACTTTTTTAAAGATTTGTGATTTTATTGAATTTCCTTCATAGATCGACTACCAACTCTGCAACTACACATCTCCAGCAATTGACATCCTATATGCGCTCTATTACTTTGTATCATCCAACAATCGTCAATATCATCGTGACGAATTCATCTCAGCTTACTACAATCAATTCAGAACATCTCTAAATGACTTTAAATTCACAAAAGAAATTCCATCAAGAAAAATGCTCGACAATGAGATCAAAAAATGCGGACCTTTTGAAATTTCAGTGGCAATTTGCTTGACAATCTTTTTCTATTTTGATCTGAAGAACTTGAATCCAGAGGATCTGGATATGGCAGAAGGAACTAAGAAGTCAAAGCTTCGAATGTATGAGAATAAAGAGTTTTTGGAAATGATTGAATGGCAGTTGGAAGAATTTGAAGCTAGGGGAATTTTATGAATTTATTGTTCAGTCAAAATAAGGTTTCTTGATGGAGGGGTAACGGAGGGGGAGGGGGCTTAGTGAGACTTTAAATTAAAATTCCTTACTTTATCCCTAATTTTATATTTAATTGTAACTGAAACTTTATTTTAAAGTTCAAATCATTCACAAACACATCCTCACAAAAATGATTTTTATTCTCTCAAAAAACCAACACAAATTCACAATTTTTTGTAAACAATCGCAGTAAATACAATAAAGTCAGCTGGCTTTAACCCAAACAAACAACTTTTCTCTCTGAATTTATGTTTTCTCTCTTTTAAAATATTTTTAATCAACAATTGAAATAAATCTCTTAAATTTCATTTAATTCCGGCAATAATTGATAATATTAATCTGAATTGATCCACAAAACAGCCAACGATGAGCGTTACGCTGGATATTAGACTAAAGAAGACCAACAAAACCTTTAACGAAGGTAAAAAATCAATAAAAACATTAAAAAAACTCTCCAATTGTTCATTAATTTCAGGCGACCTAGTTAAAGGAGTTGTGATAATCAACTCAAATTCTGACATCAAGCATGACGGACTGTCACTAAATGCTGAAGGATTCGTTGGCATGCAATTGTCAAATAAAAATACTGGAGTTTTTGAAGCTTTTTACAATTCAGTCAATAAGCCAATCATTCTGTACAATCACACAATTGAACTTTTGGCACCGGGAAAGATTTCCAATGGAATTACAGAAATTGAGTTTGAGTTCTTGTTGGAACCGAAGCGGGGAAGTAGTGAAGGCTCTTTTTATGAATCTTACAGCGGTGTCTTCATTTGTGTCAGTTATTTCATTAAATGTGAGCTGAAAAGGAAGTTTTTGGCAAAGGATTGTCAGGCAAAGATTCAGTTCTTTGTGCAGAATCATGTGAGTATGGTTAGGGATGGTATTGGATTAGTCTGGGACATGGTCAAGTGTAGGATGCTGATTTGTGATATAGAGGATAGCAGGAGTAAGCTCTGTCTTGCTTTCGAAGAAGATTAGAGGGTTAAAAAGAGTTTCAGTGGATCGAAGAGGATCTCATAGGGTCAAGTGGGTACAAAATGGTTGACGAGTGCTTCAGAGTTCCATCACCATGCTTCTCCTTCCTCCTTACACTAAACTGCACATCTAAAATGATCAATTTCGTATTTTCAGCCACAAAAGATTGAAAATCAAGTTCCAGTTCACTTCAGCATCAGTCCAGAGACACTCCAAAAGTCTTCAAAAGAAAAAATTCACATTCCACGATTCCTGATCACAGGAACTCTTGACACAACATCGTGCTGCATAACCAAGCCATTAAATGGAACAATCACAATTCAGCACACTGAAATGCCAATAAAAAGCATGGAAATTCAACTTGTACGTGTTGAGACTTGTGGATGTGCTGAGGGATTCTCGAGAGATGCAACAGAAATTCAGAATCTACAAATTGCTGACGGAAATGTCTGTCCAAAGATCCAGATTCCGATCTATATGCAATTTCCAAGACTTTTTACATGTCCGACTTTACAGACGAGGAATTTTAAAATTCAATTTGAACTTAACTTGTGCATCATTTTTCGTGATGATTACTTGATTACTGAAAATTTTCAGATGCAACTGTTTAGAAGTCAATAAAAGATTTGTGCTTTTTTGTATCTACAGATGAGTTTTATTACTTGGATATTACATTGTGTGATTTTATTAAGGATGTTTCAAGTTTTGCGTTTCTATTGGAATTGTGTTTGGTCTTAAGGGGTGTGCAACTATGCAATTTTGATTTAAAGGGCCTAAAACTACATTATTTGACCTAAAACTGCATATCTTGAATTGACAGACTCGAAACAACGTAATTTAAAATTAAGGGCCTGAAGATATGTAATTTTGAATTAAGGGACCTGAAACTACGTCGTTCTGGAGTTTAATTTACTATTTTAGGTGGTTGTTTTATTGCTTGTGCTACAGTTGTTGTCGATAATGGTGTAACTGGTGGAGTTGGAATACTAGGAATTGGTGACCTCGTAGTTGGAATTGTCACAGTTGTAGTGAGTCTTTCTGTGGTTGTTGTTGGTGGGACGTTTACAATGGTTGTATCAGAACTCAAAGTAGTTCGACTGAAAGCTTCACATGTTGCTGGATCACCTTTAAGAACAAGATTCAATTTTGACAAAGTTTTAGAATTATTTATGTAAAGTTACCAGGCACACACGAGCCATTGAAGAAGATCATGTAAGGATTTTGACAAGCAGATATCATCGGAGTTTCAAACGTACAGACAACGAACTTTGTACAATTGTGTGGATGTGTAAAGACACCAAAATTAATTCCTATACAAAAGTCATCAGGGAGTGTCCTTTCCGTTGTTGTGTCAATGGGACTCTCGGTTGTTGTTGACGTTGTTGTGCTCAAAGTTGTTGTTGAAGTTGTTGTGCTTGTCGTGGTTATTGGTGGACTCAATGTTGTTACATTTACAAGAACCTCGCATGTAATTGGGTCACCTGGAAGTTTTTCAATATTACTTTCACTATTCAGCAACATCCTAATAACCCTTAAGAACCAGTTTACAAACCTTTAACACAATAAGTGTATGGTAGAAAGAAAATTTGATCTGGATATGCACAGGTGAAGAAGTAAGGTTCCTCATTAAAGCAAATTATGTATTCTGTGCATCGTACTGGATCTGGATGTGATAAAAATCCAAAATTAATTCCATTACAAATGTCAGGATCAACTTTAGCACTTTCGATGTTGCCAAAACTTAAAAAAATCACCAAAATTGGAACTAAAATAATTTTTATTGCCATCCTTTCGACTCAATTAGCTTCAATAAAATGTTAAAAATACACAATTTGGATAAGACTTTTTATTAAATCAACTAATTAGTATGCGTAAATGTGCAGCTTGATAAGATTATATTGAGAATTTATGAGGGTCCGATTGTTGTTGCCAAAACAGAAAAATCCCCGAATTTCAACTTTATTTTCAATGTTAAAGATAAGATTAACTTGAAATAATTGTGTAATATTTATTAAAGGTCAACCTATATTCAGCATTAAGGTAGCAAATTGTCAACATTGTGTGCATTAATTTTAAATTTCTAATTTTGATAGTTTTTGAAAACTTCTAAATAATTTTAATTAACATTGATTCCTGTCACCATCAATGCATCCTCGAAAATGTTCATTAAAAACTTTTTCTGCAGCACATTCACCAGGAATTGCAACACCAAACATGCAATAAAAAAATCGGAAGTTGCAATCTTGATTTGGAATGAACTCAAAGTTATTTCCGATGCAAAGCTGATCCGGGCCTGATATCTCTTCCGTTGTTGTAGTTGTTGGATCTGTTGACAGAGTAAAAGCTTCGCATGTTTCGGGTTTACCTGCCAATGACCAAAATGTTAATTTTTGAGAGAAATAAAAGAACTAAATATATTTGTAACAAACCCTTAACGCATGATCCATCGTAAAATACCTCAGATGGTCTACAATCAATAATACTTGGAACTTCTTTTATGCAAACAACATACTGCAAGCAATTGTTGGGAAGTGGCAATGTACCAAAGCTGATTCCATTACAAATATCATTTGGAAGACTACTTTCAGTTGTTGTTGTTGTTGTTGGAGTTGAGGTTGTTGTAGATGTTGTTGTTGTTGTCGAAGTTGTTGTTGTGAAAATTTCACATGTCAAACGATCCCCTGATTAAAAATTTGGCATTGACACTATCTTAGATAAAAAAATATATAAATATAATCACCTTCGACACATGCTCCATCATGAAATATCTCTGCCGATCCACAGTTACCAATACTTGCAACTTCATTTATGCAAACAACAAACTGGAAACAATTGTCGGGATGCGGATATGTACGAAAGCTGATTCCATGACAGAAATCATTTGGAAGACTACTTTCAGTTGTTGTTGTTGTTGTTGTTGGAGTTGAGGTTGTTGTAGATGTTGTTGTTGTTGTCGAAGTTGTTGTTGTGAAAATTTCACATGTCAAACGATCCCCTGATTAAAAATTTGGCATTGACACTATCTTAGATAAAAAAAATATAACTATAATCACCTTTGACACATGCTCCATCATGAAATATCTCTGCCGATCCACAGTTACCAATACTTGCAACTTCATTTATGCAAACAACAAACTGGAAACAATTGTCGGGATGCGGATATGTACGAAAGCTGATTCCATGACAGAAATCATTTGGAAGACTACTTTCAGTTGTTGTTGTTGTTGTTGTTGTTGGAGTTGAGGTTGTTGTAGATGTTGTTGTTGTTGTCGAAGTTGTTGTTGTGAAAATTTCACATGTCAAACGATCCCCTGATTAAAAATTTGGCATTGACACTATCTTAGATAAATAAATATATAAATATAATCACCTTCGACACATGCTCCATCATGAAATATCTCTGCCGATCCACAGTTACCAATACTTGCAACTTCATTTATGCAAACAACAAACTGGAAACAATTGTCGGGATGCGGATATGTACGAAAGCTGATTCCATGACAAAAATCATTTGGAAGACTACTTTCAGTTGTTGTTGTTGTTGTTGTTGGAGTTGAGGTTGTTGTTGTTGGAGTTGAGGTTGTTGTTGTTGGAGTTGAGATTGTTGTTGTTGGAGTTGAGGTTGTTGTTGTTGGAGTTGAGGTTATTGTTGTTGGAGTTGAGGTTATTGTTGTTGGAGTTGAGGTTGTTGTTGTTGGAGTTGAGGTTATTGTTGTTTGAGTTGAGGTTGTTGTTGTTGGAGTTGATGTTGTTGTTGTTGTTGGAGTTGAGGTTGTTGTTGTTGGAGTTGAGGTTATTGTTGTTGGAGTTGAGGTTGTTGTTGTTGGAGTTGATGTTGTTGTTGTTGTTGGAGTTGAGGTTGTTGTTGTTGTTGTTGGAGTTGAGGTTGTTGTTGTTGTTGTTGTTGTTGTTGGAGTTGAGGTTGTTGTTGTTGGAGTTGAGGTTGACGTTGTTGTTGTTGGAGTTGAGGTTGTTGTTGTTGGAGTTGAGGTTGTTGTTGTTGGAGTTGTTGTGGATGTTGTTGTTGTTAAAGGAATACAATGAACAGGATCTCCTTTTATCAAAATTTGAAATATTTCGATTATTAATCCAAATATTTTAGAATAAAATATAAAGTTTACCTTCAACACATTGACCCTCGTAGAAAACTTCTTTAGGAGGTTCACATCTAAAGACATATGGCGATTCATTCAAGCAATACACAAAATGTGTACAGTGGTCTGGGTGAGGGAGAGTATTATTATAAATTCCATCACAATATTCTACCGGAACATTTAATCCAATAACGATGGAATGAATCAGTCCTAAAAATATTAGGAAAGCATTCATTTTATTTTGCATCCTTTCAGTTCGAATTAATCCAATTAAATGAACATACTTGAGAATTTGCAATTTTATAATCAATTTATTAGCCACAATAAAAAGTAATCAGGTTCAAATTCTTGGTATTAGAATGAGATATGTCAACACATGGTGAAATTTAAGTAGTAAATGATAAGATTGGCAACTGAAGTTTGTGTCGATCAAAAAATTGGCGTTTTATTATTTTATAATTCTCAAAGCTAAACCAGTATTATTATCATTGTAATTATTATTTTAATAAACAATTTAAATGCACTACATATCAGTGAGTTTCAAACAGGCATAAAAACCTTTATATGAAAGATTACATAAGTTAAACAAAAAGGAATTACAACATTGTTAAGAATTCCTTTTAACATAATAATGTATAACAAATTTACAACAGCTATTTAATTTTTAAAACATTAAAAAAAACTCAAATTGTGTCATTTTCATTTTTTTAATTGCACTTTATTGCATTTATTGACGACATACTGTCCGGAAATAATTCACATTTTACACTTTTGTATTTGTATACATATGAATTAATATTATGTAGGATCAAACTTCTAATCTTCAAATTTAGGTTTCAAATAAACTAAGGCTCTCTTTTCGATCTTCTGTGGGCGTGACGTGATACTTTTAGGTCCGTTCTAACAATATTCCATTCGTGGGTAATCTTGTAGATCTCGTTCCTATTTCTCCCGCTACACTTCAAGTTCCTGACCCGTTCCTTAATCCAACGTTGCCCAAATGCCCAATTATGGCTTGATCTCGTACATTAAGCAGTCGAAGTTTCTAAACTTCCGAAAATGAACAAATTTTGAAATGGCTGGATTCGAACCGACGACCTTCGAGTTACCATCCCAAATTTGAGCCAAGCGCCTTACCTATTCGACCAGCAAGGCACTTAGCTGCTTCATCTTGGTAATAACGAAAAAAAAATATTCGAGTTATCTACAAATAAACTCTCCAAGTATTGAATTCAGTCAGTTAAATTAATTAGTGCTCAAGATTCGATCGGAAATGCTGTTTGGATAATCTTTCCATTGTACGATGCCTCGGTTCATCAAGGTCAGTTTCCGCTTCAACGTACTTGAACATCTCTTCATTTTTCCTGATAATTACTTTGCTGTTTTTGATCATAGCGGTAAAGTTTTTGACTTTGGCTCCTTCTCTTGTTTTTGACATTAAGAATCTATTGCGGGCTGTTAGGGCAATCTCAAAAAAGATGTTATTAAAGATCTTAAAATTACGCTTTTCCTTCATAACTTGCAGTTTGGTCTCTCAAGTATCAAGCTCCACATTTATTATTTGCTTTGCATGAGTATTTCCATTTTTGTCCTTTGGATTGACTTGTCTTATAGAAGCAAACTTGACTTCTTCTGCTTTAATAATGACATTAAAAGACTTGATTATTTTAATAACTTCCGCTTTCAGTTCCTCCCCTTTCAGATTCTTGTGAATTGTCGCACCACTTATTTCCATTTTTTTAATCAATATTTATTGTTGCATTACATTGATAAACTTTTGATTTTGTTCTGCCAATTTTGCATTGTTGATGACTTTTAAGTCGGTATCTGTTTTCTTTTGCTTCACGCAGTCGATCTCAACATTAAGTTCACTAAATTTTGTATCTATCTGAGCAAAAAAATCAGCTTTCAAATATTTTATATGTGTAGTCATGGTTGACATACTGCTTTTCATGTCTTTAATATCTGTTGAGAGCTCTTGACTCATATTTTTCATGCAGCTAAGCACTTGAGCATTTGATACATCTGCTTCTTCTTCTGGTTTTCTTTTAGCTAATCTTGGAGTCTCTTCATACATTGGGATTTCCTTATTTTTTGGTGAATGTTTGGTTCTCGTATTAAATCGTATGCAGACTCCCACTTTGTGCTGAAAAGAGAGGGTAAAAGAGAGAGAAGCAGTAACAAATTCAATGTTTATTTAGTATGCGAATTATTACCATTCAGTTCACGCGACTGCCTGGATCAATTTGTCAGTATTAAAGCTAAAAATGTGTCAAACTTAAAAAAGTCTTCGGTTTAAATCTTATTCTGGTTTATGACACCAACGGAGCTCTGAAAAGTTTTAAAAAGGGTGTCTTGACTTGAACTCATTTGAATTTGGGCTTTACCTGCCTCGATGTTAAGCAAGGACACCCAAAAATGCTGCAATTTTAAATATTTTTTGGTTTTAAAGAAGTGAAAATTGTTTATTTTTTTTAAAAAAAAGTTTTTTTTTATTTTATTAATCAGAAGAATGTGAATTAAGAATGTGTGGTTGATATTGCAAACACTTCACAAGTTAAAGGATCACCTGTGAATGAATAAAACATTACTTAAGAGTTAAAATCAAAGAATTAAAGTGAATATTTACCTTCGACACATACTCCATTATAAAATATCTCTGCCGATCCACAGTTGACAATACTTGCAACTTCATTTATGCAAACAACAAACTGGAAACAATTGTTGGGATGTGGAAATCTACCAAAGTTGATTCCATGACAGAAATCATTTGGAAGACTACTTTCAGTTGTTGTTGTTGTAGGAGTCAAGGTTGTTGTTGTTAAAGTCAAGGTTGTTGTAGTTGGAGTCGAGGTAGTTGTGGATGTTGTTGGTGTTGTTGAAGTTGTTGTTGTAAAACTTTCACATGTCATAGGATCTCCTGATTAAAAATTTGGCATTGACACTATCTTAGATAAAAAAAAAATAAAAATAATCACCTTTGACACATGCTCCATCATAAAATATCTCTGCCGATCCACAATTGAGAATAGTTGCAACTTCATTTATGCAAACAACAAACTGGAAACAATTGTGGGGATGTGGAAATCTACCAAAGTTGATTCCATGACAGAAATCATTTGGAAGACTACTTTCAGTTGTTGTTGTTGTAGGAGTTGAGGTTGTTGTTGTTTGAGCAGAGGTTGTTGTTGTTGGAGTTGAGGTTGTTGTTGTTAAAGTCGAGGTTGTTGTAGTTGGAGTCGAGGTAGTTGTGGATGTTGTTGGTGTTGTTGAAGTTGTTGTTGTAAAAATTTCACATGTCATAGGATCCCCTGATTAAAAATTTGGCATTGACACTATCTTAGATAAAAAAAAAAAAATAAAAATAATCACCTTTGACACATGCTCCATCATAAAATATCTCTGCCGATCTACAATTGGCAATACTTGCAACTTCATTTATGCAAACAACAAACTGGAAACAATTGTCGGGATGCGGAAATAAATCAAAATCGACTCCATCACAGAAATCATCTGGAAGACCTCTTTCAGTTGTTGTTGTAATTTCCTCTGTTGTTGTTGGAATTGGTTCAGTTGTTGTTGTTGTTGTGCGTGTAATAATTGTTAATGGCGGTGTAGGAATGCTTGATTTTGTTGTTGTTAGAATAGGAACATCACGAGAAGGTAATTCTGGAAGTTTCGATCCTATTACACCAGAACTGACCAGAATTAAAATTATTTGCAAACTTCTTCTTTTATTTCTCATGTTTTCAGCTTAAACAGTTACAGCTAAATGACTGTACTTGAATATTTGCAACTTGACAATCAACTTATCTCCAGCTAAGCTATAAAATTTTTTAAGGCTAAAATTAATGGCACTTGAAAAAGATATACACATTAAGGCAGCTATTGATAAGGTAAGGAAATAAATGATCACAATAATGGCCAAAAATTGAGTTTTTTGACGAAACAAAATTTAGAAAAAATAGAAGTTTGAGCTTTGTCAGCGGTTCCCCTTAAAGTTCAAACTATAATAAAGTTTTAAGGTTTTAAACTAATCAATAATTTTTTTTTTTTTATTTTTATAACAGCCATTTTTTATTGTCCACCAGCACAGACAGCAAGCTCAGGTGACGTGCACTTTAGAGACACAGAATCGAACAGCAAATCTTCATGACAGAATCGTAGATGTCTAATGCCTCTGATACACTCAAAGTATCGATTACAATTTGTGTGATGTGGAATGTACCCGAATCCACTTGGTGGACATCTATGAACATGAATTGGTGTTGTTGTTGGAAGCCTGGATGTAGTTGTCAATGGTTTTTCAGTTATTGTTGGTTCATTTGTGGGCAAATCAGTTTCAACAGGAATTCTTGTAGTCCTTACAATTTGGCATGTCAAAGGATCTCCTGAATAACGGCATTAAGTTTTGATTATGTGTTGGGTGAAAATAAAATTAAAATTACCTTCAACACATACTCCATTATAAAAAACCTCCTCTGGATATGAACAATTTAAAATACCTGGAACTTCATGTACGCAAACAACAAACTGGAAACAATTGTTGGGATGCGGGAAGACACCGTAAATTGTTCCATTACAGAAATCTTCTGGAAGACTCCATTCGGTTGTCGTAGTTGGAGTCAAGGTTGTTATGGATGTTGATGTTGTTGGAGTCAAGGTTGTTGATGTCGTTGTTCCAATTTGACACGTTTCAGGATCTCCTGTTAAACAGAAAGTTAATTTTCACAATAAACTTTAAAAATCATATTTACCTTCAACACAATCCCCATTATAGAAGACCAAATAGGGAGATGGACATGTACTAATATTAGAAACTTCACCAATGCAAATTACAAACTGAAAACAATTTTCTGGATGTGGTACGAGTTCGTTGGGTATATCTTTACAGAAGTCATCCGGAAGATCCATTCCATTAGCATAGCTAATAAAGTTAAATTTTGTTAAAAGAACAGCCAAAAAAATTATTTGAATTTTCATCTTTCCACTTTGAAGAACTTCAGCCAAATGACTTAATTCGATAATTTGCTACTTAATCCCCAAATTTTATGACCCAATTATTGCTGATTATTTTTATTTTAATTCGTAGTATTGCATTCTTGAAACATTTGATAAGATTAGTTGCAATCATTGTAATCATTAAATGATCTTGATGGAGGAATCTAATTAGTTACTCGTGCAGCATAGCAGCAAACTAAACATAAATATCCCTGATTTGTTTGAGTTGTCTGTTGGTTGAGGTTGATCTTCCATTTGTTCATGTATTGTTGAACTTTTCTTCCTGTGTGCTGTAGATGTGTCACAATATCGCCCGAGTTCTCTGCAGAATGATACAGTGCTGTATCATCTGCGAAAAGACCGATGTTGTTGGTTGTCTCTTTTACAACATCATACGTGAAGATGTTGTAGAGAGTTGGTGAAAGCACTGCTCCTTGTGGCACTCCGAATTTGATTACCTTGATTTCTGAGAACTGACCTTTAATAAAAACTGCGAAAGATCTTTCACTGAGGAAAGATCTTACAGTTTTTATAAGTGGCAGTGGAAATCTCAGTTTGAGAATTTTGTACAAGAGTCCGTTATGCCAGACTCTGTCAAATGCTTTTTCTACGTCCAGGAAGATCATGCCTGTTGACTTTTTGTTCTTTAAATTTTCTTTTGCTGAGTTGATCACTTTGATGAGCTGGTGAAATATTGATCTTCCAGTCCGGAAGCCGCACTGCTGGCTTGGGATGATGTTGTTATCCTCAAGATGATCGTTGATTCTGTTCAGCAATACTCTCTCCAGTATTTTGCTTATTGAGCTGAGTAGACTTATTGGCCTGTAGCTGCTTAGCTTATTTGCTGGTTTTCCAGGTTTTGGGATAGGAATCACTTTTGCGTGTTTCCAAACTTTGGGGAAGTGATTGAGTTTCAGATACGAATTGATGATCATTTTTAAGTATTCGAAACCTTTTTCGATGTTGCCAAAGCTTAAAAAAATCACCAAAATTGGAACTAAAATAATTTTTATTGTCATCCTTTCGACTCAATTGCCTTCATTATGCGTAAATGTGCAGCTTGATAAGATAATATTGAGAATTTATGAGGGTCCGATTGTTGTTGTTAATACAGAAAAATCCCCGAATTTCAACTTTATTTGCAATGTTAAAGATAAGATTAACTTGAAATAATTGTGTAATATTTATTAAAGGTCAACCTATATTCAGCATTAAGGTAGCAAATTGTCAACATTGTGTGCATTAATTTTAAATTTGTAATTTTATTGAATTAAATTTCTAATTTTTATAGTTTTTGAAAACTTCTAAATAATTTTAATTAACATTGATTCCTGTAACCATCAATGCATCCTCGAAAATGTTCATTAAAAACTTTATCTGCAGCACATTCACCAGGAATTGCAACACCAAACATGCAATAAAAAAATCGGAAATTGCAATCTTGATTTGGAATGAACTCAAAGTTATTTCCGATGCAAAGCTGATCCGGGCCTGATATCTCTTCCGTTGTTGTAGTTGTTGGATCTGTTGACTGAGTTAAAGCTTCGCATGTTTCGGGATCACCTGCCAATGACCAAAATGTTAATTTATAAGAGAAATAAAAGAACCAAATATTTTTAACAAACCCTTAACGCATGATCCATCGTAAAATACCTCAGATGGTCTACAATCAATAATACTTGGAACTTCTTTTATGCAAACAACATACTGCAAGCAATTGTTGGGAAGTGGCAATGTACCAAAGCTGATTCCATTACAAATATCATTTGGAAGACTACTTTCAGTTGTTGTTGTTGTTGGAGTCAAGGTTGTTGTTGTTGTTGTTGGAGTCGAGGTTGTTGTTGTTGGAGTTGAGGTTGAGGTTGTTGTTGTTGGAGTTAAGGTTGAGGTTGTTGTTGTTGGAGTTGAGGTTGTTGTTGTTAAAGTTGAGGTTGTTGTTGTTGAAGTTGAGGTTGTTGTTGTTGGAGTTGAGGTTGAGGTTGTTGTTGTTGTTGGAGTTGAGGTTGTTGTTGTTAAAGTTGAGGTTGTTGTTGTTGGAGTTGAGGTTGAGGTTGTTGTTGTTGGAGTCGAGGTTGTTGTTGTTGGAGTTGAGGTTGAGGTTGTTGTTGTAGGAGTTGAGGTTGTTGTTGCTGGAGTTGAGGTTGAGGTTGTTGTTGTTGGAGTTGATGTTGTTGTTGTTGTTGGAGTTGAGGTTGTTGTTGTTGTTGGAGTTGAGGTTGTTGTTGTTGTTGTTGTTGTTGTTGTTGGAGTTGTAGTTGTTGTTGTTGGAGTTGTAGTTGTTGTTGTTGGAGTTGAGGTTGACGTTGTTGTTGTTGGAGTTGAGGTTGTTGTTGTTGGAGTTGAGGTTGTTGTTGTTGTTGAAGTTGAGGTTGTTGTTGTTGTAGTAGAGGTTGTTGTTGTTGTTGGAGTTGAGGTTGTTGTTGTTGTAGTCGAAGTTGTTGTGAATGTTGTTGTCGTAAAAACTTCACAACTTTCAGGATCCCCTTTTATCAAAATTTAAAATATTTCGATTATTAATCCAAATATTTTAAAATAAAATACAAAGTTTACCTGCAACACATTGATCCTGGTAGAAAATATTTTTTGGAGGTTCACATTTAAAGACAAATGGTGATTCATTCAAGCAATACACAAAATGTGTACAGTGCTCTGGGTGAGGGAGAGTATTATTATAAAATCCATCACAAAAATCTACCGGAACATTTAATCCAATAACGATGGAATGAATCAGTCCTAAAAATATTAGGAAAGCATTAATTTTATTTTGCATCCTTTCAGTTCGAATTAATCCAATTAAATGAACATACTTGAGAATTTGCAATTTTATAATCAATTTATTAGCCACAATAAAAAGGAATCAGGTTCAAATTCCTTCAAGTAAGTGATAAGATTAGACAACATTTTTAATCTCTCAAATCTTTCTGACTAAACAGATTATTCCAAGTCTTCACATCGGTGTTTTCAAAACTCGGCATGATCGATCTCAGTTGAAATGACATGGTTTGAGACTCCTCAATATACTTTATGATATAGAATCTTTTTATATAAAAGTCTTTAAACCTGATGCACCTTACAATATATCTAATCAAACCTTTGTACTTGAGAAAGCTCTAAGGAGGCATCAAAATTTTAGTACATATTTCCTTTTATACCCGAGACTTCCGCCATTTCGTTTCGGACTTCTTCGAAATTAATTTCGGTTTCTTCGATATTAGATCCGAAAATTCAAACTTCAAAAAATAATTACATTATATAAACAATAAATTATTTTAATAAAAAGTAAAAAAGACACAATGTAAACCATCTGACTTATTTTTGACAAAGCTCAAAGGAAAAGACATTAATTACTCGTGCAGAATAGCAGCAAACTGAACATAAATCTTATGCTACCCAGATAATCAACTACAAACATCATCCAAACCGTTTCTAGAGCTTAAACTCTAGATATCAGTCACTGAGCTTTTAAACATGATTTTTGTGTGCAGCCCGGATATATTTGGCCTTCTGCACCTTAGGACTAGCTGCAATTTGCTTAAAAAACACAGTTCTAATATCTTAAAATATTTATTTATTATTACAAATATTATTGCCCTCGTTCACAAGTGTTCCAGTCCCCATCAACACATCCTCTAAATTGCTCATCAAAAATCTTATTCGGATCACATTGACCAGGCAGTGCCACTCCAAGAATACAATAGAAGAATCGGAAGCAATAGTTTGGATCTTGAACGAGTTTAAAGTCATATCCAACACAAAGTTCAGGTGGACCTGTTGTTCGTTCTGTTATTGTTGATTCAATTTCTTTTGGTGTTGTGGTTGTCGGTCCATAAACTTCACATGAAAATGGATCACCTTTAGGAACAAGATTTAATTTTAACAAAGTTTCGGGATTATTTAAATAAAGTTACCAGGAACACATGAGCCGTTGTAGAAGATCATGTAAGGATTTTGGCATGCAGCAACATTTGGAATTTCGTACAAGCAGACAATAAACTTTGTACAATTGTGTGGATGAGCCAAGACACTAAAGTTGAGTCCTTTACAAATGTCATTAGGAAGGGTAATTCTAGTTGTTGTGTCAATGGAACTCTCGGTTGTTGTTGTTGTTGTTGCTTCTGTTGTTGCTTCTGTTGTTGTTGTTGTTGTTGTTGAAGTTGACGTTGTTGTGCTCAAAGTTGTTGTTGAAGTTGTTGTGGTTGTTGATGGACTCAATGTTGTTACATTTACAAGAACCTGGCATGTAATTGGGTCACCTGGAAGTTTTTCAATATTATTTTCACTGTTCAGCAACATCCTAACAACCTTTAAGAACCATTTTACAAACCTTTAACACAATAAGTGTATGGAAGAAAGAAAATTTGATCTGGATATGCACAGGTGAAGAAGTAAGGTTCCTCAAAAAAGCAAATTATATATTCTGTGCATCGTTGTGGATCTGGATGTGCTAAAAATCCAAAATTATTTCCCTTACAAATGTCAGGATTAACTTCAGCACTTTCGATGTTTCCAAAACTTAAAAAAATCACCAAAATTGGAACTAAAATAATTTTTATTGCCATCCTTTCGACTCAATTAACTTCAATAAAATGTTAAAAATACACAATTTGGATAAGACTTTTTATTAAATTAACTAATTAGTATGCGTAAATTTGCAGCTTGATAAGATTAATTGAGAATTTATGAGGGTCCGATTGTTGTTCCCAATATAGAAAAATCCCCGAATTTCAACTTTATTTGCAGTGTTAAAGATAAGATTAACTAGAATTGAATCAATTTGTGAGTCGGTCATGCTGATTTTACTTAAAATTACTCGATAATTTTCTGTTTTCAATTCTAGTCTAACTTTAAGGTAGCACAGCCAGTGGGATGATGGTGTAAGGATTTAACCGGTTTCAGGTTTAGATGATGGAAGCTGGTTCTACACACGATACTTTACAATAGTAAATACAAGATTATAATTTTTTAAAATCTCTCTATTTTTATTGTTTTTTTACAAATTTAAAAAAGTTATTTTACAAGCATTTTTGTCCCCTTCAATGCATCCTCTAAACTGTTCATTAAAAATCTTTCCTGGACTGCATTCGCCAGGAAGTGCAACACCAAACATGCAGTAAAAGTATCGGAAGCAATAATCAGGATTTGCAACAAAAGTAAAGTTATTTCCGATACAAAGCTCAGGTGGTCCTACTGGTCGTTTCGTTGTTGTCGATGTTGTAGGCGTTGTGGTTTCAGTTGTTGTGGTCGTTGTTGGCTCAGTTGTTGTGGTCGTTGTTGGCTCAGTTGTTGTGGTCGTTGTTGGCTCAGTTGTTGTGGTCGTTGTTGTAAAAACTTGGCATGTCGAGGGATCTCCTATCAATTAGATAATTAGATTTGACTTTCGGTAAACAATAAAATAATTTTACCTTCAACACATGCTTCATTATAAAAAACCTCATTTACTTTACAATTGACAACACTTGCAATATCATTTGTGCAAACAATAAACTGGAAACAATTTTCGGGATGCGGGAAGAGACCGTAAGTTGTTCCATTACAGAAATCATTTGGAAGACTCCATTCGGTTGTTGTTGTTGGAGTGGAGGTAGTTGTGGTCGTTGTTGTGAAAATTTCACATGTCAAAGGATCACCTGAGTAAAAATTTGGCATTGACATTATCTTAGATAAAAAAATATAAATAAAATCACCTTCAACACATGCTTCAATATAAAAAACCTCCGCCGATCCACAATTGACAATAGTTTCAACTTCATTTATGCAAACAACAAACTGAAAACAATTATCGGGATGAGGAAATCTGCCATAGTTGATTCCATGACAGAAATCATTTGGAAGACTACTTTCAGTTGTTGTTGTTGTAGTTGGAGTCAAGGTTGTTATGGGTGCTGTTGATGTTGTTGTTCCAATTTGACACGTATCAGGATATCCTGTTAAACAGAAAATTAATGTTTACAATAAACTTTAAAAATCATATTTACCTTCAACACAATTCCCATTATAGAAGACCAAAGTGGGAAATGGACATGTTTGAATATTAGGAACTTCACCGACGCAAATTACAAACTGAAAACAATTTTCTGGATGTGGTACGAGTTCGTTGGGGCTATCTTTACAGAAGTCATCCGGGAGATCCACTCCATTAGCATAGCTAATAAAGTTAAATGTTGTTAAAAGAACAGCCAAAAAAATTATTTGAATTTTCATCTTTTCACTTTGAAAAACTTCAGTCAAATGACTTAATTCGATAATTTGCTACTTAATCCCCAAATTTTATGACCCAATTATTGCTGATTATTTTTATAACCATTCCTAGTATTGCAAAAAAAAGATCCCCAAATTCCACACTTGGTTGCTGATAAGATTAGTCGTCAATTAATTTGTTGCTGAAGTGCTTTCAAGTTGCTGATATGATTTTGCTTGGATAATCAGAGTACTTATTTACCTGACATATGCCGTCTGCATGTTTGTAAAATTTAAATGACATTCTTAAACAGCATTTTCAGCAACATTTTGAGCAAAATATCAGCAACGATTTTCAGCAACATTTTGAGCAAAATTTTCAGCAACATTTTGAACAAAATTTTGTTTAATAATATCAAACCAAAATCAACAACATTTCAAACAAAAAAAAACAACTTTTTTTAATATTTTTATTTCCTCAAATTGATTCTCACTCAAACCTACAAATTCAATCTACAATTTATATTTTTGAAGTGAATTTAAAAATTTTTACATTCAATGGCACAATCGGTCTTGCTGGTATGCAAGTTTCCCAATCTCCAAGAACACATCCCCTCCATCTCTCACTAAAAATCCTATCTGGTGCACATTCGCCTGGAATTGCAATTCCCATCATGCAGTAATAGAATCTGAAGCAATACTCTGGATCTGCAACATATCTAAAGTTGACTCCTGCACAAAGCTCTGGTGGACCGATGGGACGTTGAGTGGTTGTTGATGGAGTTGTTATTTCTGGTCCTGGTATTGTTGTTGTAACTGGTTCTTGTGTGGTTGTTGTGGTGGATTGAGTTGTTGTCGTTGTGGGCTTATCAGTAATGGTTGTTGTGATATATTCTGTAGTAGTTGTTGGAATTTCCGTAATCAGAGTTGTAGTTGTTGGCAATTCCGTTGTTGCGGTTTCTTCAATTGTTGTTGTTGTAGGCTCTTCGGTTGTTGTTGTTGTGGCTTCTTCAGTCGTTGTTGTTGTGGGCTCTTCAGTAGTTGTTTTTGTTGTTGTTGTGGTGGGTTCCTCGGTTGTTGTTGTAGTTGTTGTTGTGATTTCTTCCATTGTTGTTGTTGTTGTGGGTTCTTCAGTTGTTGTAGGTGAAATAAACACTTCACAAGTATATGGATCACCTTTTCGATAAGAAAACAAAAACACAAACAAAATTTATCGATGGAAAAAAATTATTTTTCTATCATGACTCATCAAATTAATGTCGTACCTAACACACAGTCCTGAGCAGGTTGATAAAAAATTTCATTCGATCGTAAACATTGCCTAACAATTGGATTTTCAAACAGACAAAGGACAAATTCTGTACATCGAGTAGGATCGGGATGAGCTAACATAACTCCATTAAGTCCTCTACAATAATCACTCGGAATGTCAACACAATTGGCTCCAAAAAGGATGCAAAATAAGAAAAATAATTTAACTGACATTTTTTGTCGTCTTTTGTGAATCAAAATTCAATAAAAACTGAACAGATTTCAGCAGATAAGTCGACCGATAAGCTACTGAGTCATCAGATTTAAGTTTTAAAAAAATTGCATTCGATAAGATTTCACCATAATTTGGATTTATCAGCACACACTTAAGCTCTAAGATTAGATTAAGTAATTTCTATTAAGTTTCTAGATTATACTTTTGGGATATACCCCTGGAAAAGTAAGCACTAAATGATCCAATAATTACTAATTCTTTCAATTTATTTAAATATGATTCGGAATCAATGTAAAGATTGGATTTTCTGGCTCACACGTTTCCCAATCTCCAAGGACACATCCTATCCATTTTTCACTGAAAATATTATCTGGTTTACAGTCGCCAGGCAGTGCTACGCCAAACAAGCAGTAATAGAATCTAAAACAATAATCAGGGTCTGGTATGAATCTCAAGTTATTTCCAATACAGAGTTCTGGTGGACCGTTTGGACGTTGAGTTGTTGTAGTTGCCAAGGGTGTTGTGATTTCTGGTCCCGCTTCAGATGTTGTGGTTGTTGTATCGCTCAAAGTTGTTGTTGTTGTATCACTCAAAGTTGTTGTTGTTGTATCGCTCAAAGTTGTTGTTGTTGTTGTTGTTGTTGTATCACTCAAAGTTGTTGTTGTTGTTGTTGTTGTATCACTCAAAGTTGTTGTTGTTGTATCGCTCAACGTTGTTGTTGTTGTTGTATCGCTCAACGTTGTTGTTGTTGTATCGCTCAAAGTTGTTGTTGTTGTGTCGCTCAATGTAGTTGTTGTTGTTCCATTTGTAAAAACTTCACATGTTGTAGAATTGCCTGCGAATTATTAGAAAGTAAATTTTGACAGACAATAATCAACAAAATCGTATTACCTGGAACGCATGAATCACTATAAAATACCTCAGTTGGATACGTACAATCGATAATATGTGCAACTTCATTTACGCAAACAACAAACTGAAAACAATTAATGGGATGTGGAAATCTACCAAAGTTGATTCCATGACAGAAATTATTTGCAAGACCACTTTCGGTTGTTGTAGTTGTTGTGTCACTCAAAGTTGTTGTAGTTGTTGTGTCACTCAAAGTTGTTGTAGTTGTGTCGCTTAAAGTTGTTGTAGTTGTGTCGCTTAAAGTTGTTGTAGTTGTGTCGCTTAAAGTTGTTGTTGTTGTGCTTTGGGTTGTGGTGGTAGGAGAAGCTGTTGAAGTAAATTCACAAATGTCTGGATAGCCTGTGAAATAAAAATGACATACAATAATGGTCATTCTTGTTCAATCGAGAAAAATCAGGATGAAGTATCAACACAATCAGCAAGCAAATAGTTTATCCACTTTTTTTAATCTAAACTCTTCAACATTATTCTTTAAAAATATTTTAGTCATCAAAAACATTATCTTTCAAACAAAATAACATTTTTTTGCTGATAGCTTATGAGTAAGTTTTTCAGTCATCAAAACTGATTTGTGCTTACATTTGATGAGACTTTATTGATAATTTACAAGTCAAGAAGATAATTTATGTTTAGGGGGTTGAAAATCTTAGTTGCTAAGTGACAACATTACTAAAAATCACTTGATAAAGGTGCAAAGAATGTTGAAATTTAAATTTTAGGCCCTTTTCTTACCTGGCATACATTCTTTATTTATTGCATCGAAAATGTGATTTTCCTCACAGTCAACTATGGTCGGAGTTTCCCAAAAACAAAAAATGTACTGCAAACAATTGTCAGGATGTGGCCGAATATCAAAATATCCACTTCCAACACAAATATCCGCCGGCAAACCAAAACTTTGTGTCCAAAATTGAACTAAAATTAATATTGTAACAAGTTTCATTTTTAAGCCCTTCAATGCTGTAACAACTGCTTAAATTGACAATTATAAACTAAATGCCAGCAGTCGAATTGAAGGTTGACTTGATAAGCTATCAGAAAAAAGGTAATAATACTTTTTGATAAGGATATAAATCACGTTTTATTTAATCCAAAGCCAAAAGTGAATAAATTTAATTCAGTGGCCCAATTGAAGTTACAATAGACACTGGATTTACAGGTACACATGTATCCCAATCTCCAAGCACACATCCCCTCCATCTCTCACTGAAAATCCTGTCTGGCTCACATTCACCGGGCAGTGCAATCCCAAACATGCAATAATAGAATCGGAAACAATAGTCAGGATCTGCAATGAATCTGAAATTGCTTCCAACACAAAGTTCTGGTGGACCAATTGGACGTTGAGTTGTTGTAATTTCTTTAGTTGTTATTTCTGGTCCTGCTTCTGTTGTTGTGGTTGTTGTTGGACCTTCTGGTGTCGTTGTTGTGGTGGATTGAGTTGTTGTCGTTGTTGTAGGCTCATCAGTAACTGTTGTTGTGGTTGTTGTTGTATATTCCGTTGTTGTTGTTGTGGTTGTTGGGACATATTCTCTTGTTGTTGTAGTTGTTGTTGGGCCTTCAGTAACCGTTGTTGTAGTTGTTGTTGGAGGCGTTTGAGTTGTTGTTGTAGTTGTTGTTGGAGGCATTTGAGTTGTTGTGGTTGTTGTTGTTGGAGGCATTTGAGTTGTTGTGGTTGTTGTTGTTGGAGGCATTTGAGTTGTTGTGGTTGTTGTTGTTGGAGGTATTTGAGTTGTTGTGGTTGTTGTTGTCGTTGTTGTTGTAGTTGTAACAAATTCACACGTAACAGGATCTCCTAAAATATGAAAATAATTTTTTCGACACCATCAGTCGACAGTTCCAAGTTTTAAATAATTAATTTACCATCTTCACATCTAGATGTGTCTTTATTGAAAATTTGGTTCGCTTCACAGTCAACAACTGTTGGGATTTGCATAATACATAAAACAAACTGAAAACAATTGTCAGGATGCGGTAAAAATTCAACTACTTCAGTGCCATCGCAAAAACCTTCAGGAATCCTCGCATTTGTAGACACAAAAATTGATGAAATTAAAAATAAAATCACAAATAATTTTTTATTGCTGCTTTGATTCATTTTAACAAGCACAACTGATGAAATTCATGAAGTAAATGCCATAAAATTTTAGGTTCGGTACGATAAGTTATCAGAAAAGATTTGTCATTCTTAAGGCAGATTTGTAAAATGACTTTGATAAGGCACTGTGGCATTAAAATGATTGCTTAATTTCGGCTCTTAGAGTAAAGAATTGATTTTGAAATCAAAAGTTAAAGTTTATGGCTAAATGAGTTGATAAGTTGATTAGTCATTAGTAATGCGGTGTTGTATGTTCTGAGGTATCTCCAGTGGGTGTTAAAGGTTACAACTACAATTACATTTCCAGCTCAGACTCGTTAACAACACCAGTTGATCCATTCATTATCTGCTGCCCAATAATCCTCATAAATTTTTAGCTTAGATGTAAACCAACGGTGTAAAACTGATCAAAATTATCAACTATATAAAAGATATGATCAATCAGTTCCGCACACTTGATTGAGACCAGATTTTGATATGAAAATTAGGATTTTAGGCCACTTTATCCTCCTCAAAATTCTCTTCAAGTTTAACTCAACTATTCTGAACATTTAGAAAGCCTGCCAGAATCCAGGAAAGTATTATCGTGTTTATGCCAAACATCATGACCAGAAACATTTGAATAGTCTGAAAAATCAATGAATCATCTTACAAATAATTTAGCCTGATCCCAAGGATGAATCACCTGTTTTGATATCAAAACTGACATTCTTTAGTTCCTATTCATTCAATAAATATTAGTCATCTTTAATTATTTGTGTTGATGGCTTAAAGTATTCAGCTAATCTAATCACACCAAATAAGGCAGCTCTTTTTTATTACATGAATGACTTTCAAGTGGTTTTACTGCATTTATAATGCGCAAGGGTAGGAAACTGATCAACAATGATTAAATTATGATTTATCAGTCTTGCGATCTTGATGAGGAGGCATTTTCTAAGGCCACTTTCGGAAGGATCAGCTGACCTAGGTTGACTAAAGATGCCTTACCCCAATAGCGAAAGTCGGTTGGTCGAATATAAATCCGGCACCAAGCTGAAGTAACTTCGATTTGAGTCCAGCACCATGCCAGAGTTATGCAAACTTGGTGCTGGATTTCTATTCGATAAAACGACTTGTGCTATTCGGGTTACTTTTATTAGTGGAAAAACAAAATGATGGGAAATTCTTAAAAATTTAATTGAGACGGTTCACGAATTTTTGGCTCAAACATGATTCCGAACACTTGCCAAAAAATTTACCTGAACTGCTTTTTGTATAATAGTAGAAATTTGAGGAACGAGGATCATATCTCCAAAAAGTTCATAATCTTTTGTTTTTAAAAGCTAATCATTGATTGATCGTTCAATATGACGTTTAAAAAAATTGTTGATATAAAGCACATGATTCATATCAATCAATCATTTATAGCAATTTATCAACAAGAACTTTTTAATTTAAAAATTATTTCATTTTATTGTTCAAATAAAAAAAAGTCAAGTGGATAATTTTACAGGAATAGCTTTAATTAACAAAACAAGCAGAACCTGCATTGATCACGGTTTCCACGGATGCAAATGTTCCATTCTGGATGGAAAATTTGATGATCCAGACACTCGCCAAGGTGAGGAACTTGAGCAATGCAGAAGTAATATTGATAGCAGTTATTTTGATGTGGAATTCGACGGAATAAAATTCCATCGCAAATATCACGTGGAATCTCAGGTCCATATGTCGTTGTCTCATTTGTTGATGGCTCATATGTGGTTGTTGTTGTTGTAGCTGTGGTTGTTGTCACTAAGTCGCAGGTTCCTGGATAGCCTAAAAAATACATTGAAAATTTGATTGATGTTGAAATGATTTAAAGAGTCATTAAAGCCTTACTTGGTTCACATCTTCCAAATGGATCATCTCCTGGATTTTCTTGAGGATATTGAACAAAAACTGAATCTCCTTCACATTCTTGAACAAATGGCACAGAAAAGATGCAAATGACAAACGAATTGCAGTTGGAAGGATGTGGAAAAGCTCCAGTTGAGTGTCCTCGATCTGTACAAAAACTTGGACCTACATCCTGTCCATTAATCTGCGCAACAGATTGCAATAAAATAATTCCAAAAACACAATAAAATAGCTTCATTTTTTTGATTTTAAACTTTATAGCTCAAAGAACAAATCCAAACTAAACAGTGCCACTTGAGTGAGCAATATTGATAACTTAAATTGGTACAATCGACCAGGAATTTGATAAAAGCTGTAATATAATTTGACTGTTTTGATAAGGCAGTACATAGGAAGCGATAAGAAATGATTAAGTTGAGGTTTTTAAATCAGAATCACTTCTGGTTTTATATCTTTCGACTTAAAGGTCGTTCCTGTATTATTTGCCATTTATTGCAGGGTCTGCTTAATCTTTTCTAAGATGAAAGCACTGACAGTACATCTTAAGCTTAACAAGGCTCTTAATTTACTCTGATGTACCTTAAAAATGCTGCTTTGTAGAGTTTATGTGAAAAAAAACGTAAAAAAGACATCCAGAGGCTGTAACTTCTTTGTATGTTCAATAATGCCAGAAAAATTATAAAAAAAATTAGCTTTTTCAATGCTACAAGCAATAGCATCATGGCTTGACCAGCTTGAAGTAGTTTCTACAAAATTATGCTCTATTTGAGTATGTACAGAAGATGATGTCCTATGAAAATGGAAGATAAATGGACAATGTAATAAGACATCAATGTAATACATCAAAGGAATACAAATGGAATACAAATGGATTATTTTTTTGGATAAACGTGTTTTATCCACGTGTTCTAAATTCCACGTGTTTTTTGTATTTTTCTTTTATTTGTGTAAATTATTGTAAAAGTATTAGTGTGTACTTAATTAAAGTACACTAACACTACGAAAAAGAACAAAAAGGACTTAATTTAATTAAGTCGCATACTGATGAACGCCCAAGACTCGCACACAAACTGAGGAAGATAAATAATTAATTGAAAGACCCATACAAATTTAGAGAGAACTTATAATAGTGATTTCTTCGAGCAATTGTGAAGTATATGGCAAATGCCAAATTTAGAACAAATATTATTTTCCTGCAAAAAAATATTTTTTTGATGATTTTTCATGGGATTTGATCCTAAGCAGGCTCGGGGTAATACATCGATGGAACACTTTTGTTACATGTTTGTAAAACAAATATTTTACATATAATAAATAATGATACATTTGATCTTCCATTGACGTCAACGGAAGATTATATGGAACATTTTGGTTACTATGGCCATAGTCTCAGTAGTCCATAGGAATTTAAACTTCAAGTTTCACTTGTCCTGAAAATGATATTAATCATTAAACAACTTTACATCTTGGATATCATTCGTTGAAGTCCCAAAAAAACCATTTTTATTTTTATTAAATTCCAGCACAAACTGCCAACTCAGAATAAGTACACTGAAGTGTCACAGAATCAAACAGCAATCCATAAGGACAGAATCTTAAATGTTTTTTACCCGCGATACATTCAAAGTATCGACTGCAATTTGTATGATGTGGAATGTACCCGAATCCACTTGATGGACATCGATGAACTGGAATTGGTGTTGTTGTTGGAAGCTTGAATGTTGTTGTAGGTTGATTTGTAGACATAAAAGTTGGAACCTCTGGAATTATTGTAGAGTCTGCTGTATAATCATTGATTGTTGTTGTAACGTCACTTTCGGTTGTTGTATAGGCTAAAGTTGATGAATTATAAGTTGTTGTAGTTGTAGTAAAAAGTTCACAAGTGTCAGCATTGCCTAAAATTGATTAAATTAACAGCCTTTACTCAAATCCTAATATCTAGTTAGGGGCACGAGCAGCCCCAAAAAGCCCTTTGAACCAGCTGCAGGTAAGATTTATTACGCAACTCACCAATTTGACATGATCCATAAGGTGGACTAGAATCAGGATAAGGATCAAAAATTTTCCCAGTAGGACAAACTTGTGGTATTGGAATTAACATTGCACACAGCACAAATGAGTTACATTTAAGTGGATCAGGATGTGGAAAGAGTCCCGACCCAACGCCTTGATCTATGCAGAAATTTTGCTCAATGACCTGTCCATTTATGCCTGCAGAAAATTGGAAGAAAATGACTAAATTTACCAAAAATATGACCAACAGCATTTATTTTTTTATTGTATTGAGCAAGCATCTGATGTGTATGAGGAACAATAATGAACTGTTTAAAACTAGAATACTTTAAGTGCTTTTTATACTGATAATTAATTTTTGTGATTGGAAAGTACAGGAAATTGAATATCAAAGACACATCCTCTTGGGATTATCATAACATTTTTTTTATAATTTGCTTTATGTTTCCTGTAAATTCATAACTTTCCTGTATGAATCCAGCACACACAGCTATATCTCGTGATGTTCACTAAAATGAAACTCAATCAAATAACCAGCTTTTTGGATAGACACGTTGATCTCAGATGCTTCCAATACTTTCAGATTATCGACTACAATTCATATAGTTACCGTCCGGAAGAATTAGTATTTATACATGTTTTACTTTTTACATTGATTAGTGATACATTTCATATCACTATGAATGACGTAGAATCAAGCTTCTAATCTTCAAATCTAAGTTTCGATTAAATTCAGGCTCTCGTTTCAATCTTCTGTGGGCGTGACGTGATACATTTCAGGTCCGTTCTGACAATATTCCATTATAAGGTAATCTTGTAGCTCTCGTTCCTATTTCTCCCGCTACACTTCAAGTTCCTGATCCGTTCCTTAATCCAACGTTGCCCAAAATGCCCAATTATGGCTTGATCTCGTACATTAAGCAGTCGAAGTATCTAAACTTCTGAAAAAGAACAAATTTGGAAATGGCTGGATTTGAACCGACGACCTTCGAGTTACCATACCGAATTTGTGCCAAGCGCCTTACCTATTCGACCAGCAAGGTACTTAACTGCAATTAGGATTTAAAATTGTTTCAGCTTCATTGTCACCCAAAGTTGTTGCTGTGTTGCTCAAAGTTGTAGTAAGCATCTTTGGCTCAGTTTGTGCTGCTGATCACAGTGATTGAAGTATGAGCAAAAACAACACAAAATTCTTGGTCACCTGTACCAATAAATATGCAGATTTGATTCTTGTGTTTCTGTACTTAGTTGATATCAGTCTAAAGTCAACAACAAGCAATGATGGCATTGCTGTTGAGTTTATTTACAAAAAATAATGTTTAAAACTCAATTTTATTATGTCAACTAATCCTTAAAGCAGCCCTGAAAAGTGAATTATTAAATGATGATCGGTATTTCCTTTAATTTCAAAAATTGGGGATTTTTTGTAAGACTCTGTAATTTTGGATGTATGCATTGTTGACTTCATGTTACAAAAATTAAATTTTTTGATAAGATCGGTGATTTTTTTAAGAAGTTGTATAACAAATTTGTAGAATAGACAATCATGCAGCAGAATAAAGGAGGCGTTGCTGATATTTTTGATTTAAAGACATTCAGTTTCAATACGATTTGTAAAGTATAGGGTCAAAAAATATTTTATTTATTTCACACCAGCGCATATTGCCAATTCAGGATAAGTACATTTCAGTGTCACAGAATCAAATAAAAAGCCTTCGTAACAGAATCTAAGATGTCGTACGCCTCGAATGCATTCAAAATAACGATTGCAATTTGTATGATGTGGAATGTACCCGAATCCACTTGGTGGACATCTATGAACTGGAATTGGTGTTGTTGTTGGAAGTCTGGATGTAGTTGTCAATGGTTTTTCAGTTGTTGTTGATTCATTTGTGGGCAAATCAGTTGTTGCATCAGGAATTGTTGTGTCGTATTCATTTTCAGTGGTCAGAGTTGGATCATCAAATTCTGTTGTTGTATGAATTACAGTTAATGTGGTCAACATGTCACAAGTACCTGGATATGCTAATGAAATTAAGTTAATGAAAAGGAGAAATTTTAAATTAATTAAGATTAACAAAATTTATAAATCTTTTTACGAAAATTCACCTGGTTGACATCTTCCAAATGGATCATCTCCTGGATTTTCTTGAGGATATGGAACAAAAACTGAATATTCTTCACATTCTTGAACAAATGGCATGGAAAAGATGCAAAGGACAAATAAAGTACAGTTGGTAGGATGTGGGTAAACTCCAGTTGAGTGTCCTCGATCTGTACAAAAGCTTGGACCTACATCTTGTCCATTAATCTGCGCAATAAATTGAAGTAAAATAACTCTATATAATAATATTTTTTTCAACATTTTGTCCCTCCGTCTAATCTTTTAAAAAGACCAAATTAAACTGATTAATTAAAATAATCAAGTTTTGTTGTAAGCGATGATAAAACAATTTATAATACCAACAAAATCGCAATTTAGCATTAAGCGGTTTTTTCTACTCAAGAATTGAATACAAACACATCAAACAATAATTAAATACAACCCAAGATATTTAAAAAAATCGCAAACAACGAGTACCAAATCAATAAGGTTCAATGAGCTGAAGTGGCTCGGTGGCGGAATGGTTTAGTATTTCGGTACCTAATTATTGTAGTACTGACACAGCGATTATGGGTTCGAGAATCGGCATGAGAAAATTTTCACTTGTCCTTTTTCGAATCATATGTACTGAAAATAAGGCTCACAGCTATCCTTTGTAGGCTACTGGCAGAAATGTCATCAGAGGAGTGGTTCGGATCCCACTGTAAATTGTAGGTCTAGGTTTGAGCGGGAGGTCTGGAGAACTCTCTCTAGTTAAACTATCATTAGCCTTGTAACTCATATATCTCGCAGCAATGGATCTTAAGATCTAAGTGCTAAAGTTTATTTTTTTTTTATTTTAATTCCCATTAGCACAAATTGCTAATTCAGGATAAGTGCATTTAAGTGTCACAGAATCAAACAGCAAATCTTCGTGACAGAATCGTAGATGCCTAATGCCTCTGATACACTCAAAGTATCGATTACAATTTGTGTGATGTGGAATGTACCCGAATCCACTTGGTGGACATCTATGAACAGGAATTGGTGTTGTTGTTGGAAGCCTGGATGTTGTTGTCAATGGTTTTTCAGTTGTTGTTGATTCATTTGTGGGCAAATCAGTTGTTGCATCAGGAATTGTTGTATCATATTCATTTTCAGTGGTCAGAGTTGGATCATCAAGTTCAGTTGTTGTGTAAATTGCAGTTGATGTTTCAGGAATTGTTGTTGTAGTCCAAACTTCACAAGTTTCAGCATTACCTAATGAAATGTAGCTTAGTGTCTAACCCTTTGCATAAATTATTCGCAGATCAAAGAACTTACCAGGTTCGCATTCTCCTTCACGATAACTAGAGTTGAAATGTGGAACAAAAACAGTATTTGGTGGACATGAGCGAACATTCGCAAAAGTCATCATACAAAAAATGTATAATCCACAGTTTTGGGGATCAGGATGAGGAATACGTCCATTGATAATACCACTGCAAACAGAATGATCAACATCAGCATTTGCCTTTACAACAATTTGCAATAAAATAAAGCAAAAAGTAAACTTCATTTTTAATTTTTTTTGATCTGAATTATTTGAGTAATGAATTCAAACTGATTAATACAAAAATACTTCAAGTGCCTTAATTGTGATAAATAATTTTATTAAACTGGTTTTAGACCATTTTACACACGAAAAACTTATATTTTTGTAAAAAATTTCATACAATCACAAATACAAAATACACTTGCAATTATTTAAATTGTTCTTATCCAGCACAGACTGCCAATTCAGGATAAGTACACTCAAGAGTTACAGAGTCGAACAACATTCCACCAGGACAGAACCTGAGGTGCCTAATACCACTAATGCATTCAAAGTATCGACTACAGTTTGTATGATGTGGGATGTTACCAAATCCACTTGGTGGACATCGATGAACAGGAATTGGTGCTGTTGTTGGAAGCCTTGATGTTGTAGATGTAGATGTTGCTGTTGGTTCTTCAGTAGTTGTTTCAGAAGATGAATAGTTTTTCGTGGTTGCTTCAATTGTGGCATTAGAAATGGTTGTCGAGTCTGTAGCAGCAATGGTAGTTGGGATTATATCATCAGTTTCTGTAGTTTCATGGATTAGAGTCGTAATGATTGTTGTTACTTCTGTCTCTGTTATTGTCATAATTTGAGTTGTTGTTTTAGGAGTTGGAATCAAAGGCTCACATGTTTCTGGGTTTCCTAGAAAATTTTACATTTTAAAATAAAATCACTTAATTTTAATTTAACACTTTTTTTGGTATAATTACCGAACACACAGTCCTGAGCAGGTGGATAAAAAATTTCATTCGTTCGTAAACACTGCCTAAGAATTGGATTTTCAAACAGGCAAAGGACAAATTCGGCACATCGAGTTGGATCTGGATGTGGTAGCAACACTCCATTTAGTCCTCTACAATAATCACCAGGAATATCTGTCATGATCATTTTATTATATTCACACCGTTTTCACGTGTGAATCTATTGGTTTTGTTCAGATTGAAAAATCAGTTTTTCGCATTTTGTGAGAAAACAAAGCAAAATTGGTTATAAAAGGGCAAGAAGAAAAGTTTGTGCCTGAAATTTTACATCATTTTCAAAAAACAGATTTCAAATTGGTTGTGGCATTGCTGAGAAAATCGCAAAATACGCTTTCTGTAAGCAAACAAGCAAGCAAGCAAGCAAGTTAATCAGCAAGAAATCTCAATAACGAGACATCGTAGAGACTTCTAGTTTTTTACATTTGATCCGTGCTGCTCTATAGAAGAGCTGTATTGTTTTTGGGTAAGGTAGGAACAGCCGTTGCTTCAGAAATGGCAAAAAACTTTCCTTTCTTACGAATTTTTTAAAACAAAAGTTGACTGTGATTTTTATAAAATTCAACTTTGGATGAAAATTTTTTTTTAAAAAACTTTTAAAGAATATTTGGCATATTCGTCAAGCTTTATACCTTCAAACTTATGCTGAGCGTAGCTCAGCTGACTCGATAGCTTTATATCTTCAAACTTATGCTGAGCGTAGCTCAGCTGACTCGATAGCTTTATATCTTCGAACTTATGCTGAGCGTAGCTCCACTGCCTCTCTAGCTTCATATCTTCAAACTAGTGCTGAGCGTAGCTCAGCTGACACTCTAGCTTTATATCTTCAAACTTATGCTGAGCGTAGCTCAGCTTACGCGATAGCTTTATAACTTCAAACTTATGCTGAGCGTAGCTCAGCTGACACTCTAGCTTTATATCTTCAAACTTATGCTGAGCGTAGCTCAGCTTACGCGATAGCTTTATAACTTCAAACTTATGCTGAGCGAAGCTTAGTTGACTTATCAAGCTTCATACCTCCATACTACTGATGGGCAAATCTTGGTCTATCCATAAGACTTATGATAGTACGGTGTGAATATAATCCGCATTGGGTTTCTACCCGATACACTAGTTTACTATTAATTATGGTTAAATTTTACGAAAATAAAAAGAAAAAATTAAAAAGGTCCTCGTGTTCTTGTTCGATGGACTTCTGCGCATTTTTGTAGCAACATTCAGTATTTAACTAGCAAATTAATACGAACCAGCCAGCAAAATATGGCATTAATTCATTTTGAAACATTTTAACTTACTATGAGCCTTATTTTACAAATTAAAACATTTAGTGAAAAATCAGGTAACAATTTTTAGAATTCATATTTTAACGGTTTTTTCAAAATTTGAAAAAATATCAAAATTGATCACACTCAATAATTTAAAGCATATTACAAACTGAAAGAAAATTTAAGGATGTGGAAGAAACTTAACAATTTCAATACCATCACAAATATTTCCAGGAAGGTAAAAACATATTAGAAATGATATTAACGTAATTAATAAAATAATCTGTTTGTTTTGCATCCTGACACTCGAAACTTTTAAAATTGAATGATTTAATTTTAGCAGGTATTTTGGGTATTGTAAATTGATTATTAATTAATACATGACACATGAAAAGATAAGAAAAATGTTTGATAAATAATAAGGTAGTGCTAGTAACAATCAAATTGACAAAAAAAATTAAACTTGATAATTTGTATGAATATAAATAAATTTTCATCACGCTTGTCACATTTCATGCCACACTCTTTTACTTTTATTCAAAAATTTTTTTTGTTTGACACTATTGTCACTCAGCTGTAGCACAGACAGCAAATCTTCGTAATTTACACTTTAAATCTATAGAATCAAAAAATAATCCAATCGGACAAAAATGCAAGTGCCTTTCACCAAAATGACATGAGAAATATCGACGACAATTTGAATAATTTGGAATTAGCACAATTCCATCTGGTGGACATTGATGTTTTTGCAATTCTGTTGTAGTTTCTGTTGGAGGCTCTAAAGTTGTCGTTACTTCTGACTCAGTTGTCACCTGTGTCGTTACTTCAGACTCAGTTGTCACCTCTGTTGTTACTTCAGACTCAGTTGTAATCTCTTGGGTGGTTTCAGACTCAGTTGTCACCTCTTGCGTAGTTTCAGACTCAGTTGTCATCTCTGTCGTTACTTCAGACTCAGTTGTAACTTCTGTCGTTACTTCAGACTCAGTTGTAATCTCTTGGGTGGTTCCAGACTCAGTTGTCACCTCTTGCGTGGTTTCAGACTCAGTTGTCAGCTCTTGCGTTACTTCAGACTCAGTTGTCTCTTCTGTCGTTACTTCAGACTTAGTTGTAATCTCTTGGGTGGTTTCAGACTCAGTTGTCACCTCTGTCTTTACTTTAGACTCAGTTGTAACCTCTTGCGTGGTTTCAGACTCAGTTGTCACCTCTTGGGTGGTTTCAGACTCAGTTGTCACCTCTGTTGTTACTTCAGACTCAGTTGTAACCTCTTGCGTGGTTTCAGACTCAGTTGTCACCTCTTGCGTGGTTTCAAACTCAGTTGTCACCTCTTGCGTTACTTCAGACTCAGTTGTCTTTTCTGTCGTTACTTCAGACTCAGTTGTAATCTCTTGGGTGGTTTCAGACTCAGTTGTCACCTCTTGCGTGGTTTCAGACTCAGTTGTCACCTCTTGCGTGGTTTCAGAATCAGTTGTCACCTCTGTTTTAGTTGTACTTGTCGTATGAGCAAATACCACACAAGATTCAGGGTCGCCTGTATTAAATATAAACCAGTTTAAACCATGAATGTTAGTTTTGAATGCTCAAATACCTGGCAAGCAATCTCTAACAGGTTGATAAAAAATCTCATTCTGCCGAGTACATCGAGATAGAACCGGTGTCTCAAAAACACAAATAATGAACTCTGTGCATCGATTTTTATCTGGATGTGATAAAATTTGATGCTCTCTTCCAACGCAGAAATCGTTTGGGATGTCTGCACTCGCTATTGTCTTGCAGATTAAAATAAAAATTAATATTTTTATAAAAAAAATTTTGCACATTTTTCTGTTTGAATTTACTGAAGTCAATAAAAAGCTTTTCAGGTTAAGCTATCATTTATATGTAGCTCCAGACAAAACACAAATAATAATTACCAAAGCTTAAGTTTTTCTTGGAAGGAGACAAAATCAGAATTGTTTCTTGGGTTTCAAGAGAGTTGACACTCAACAACAGACAACTCCAATAAGTTAAATTAATCTTATGCAGGAAGTATTTACAATATTCAATATTTCAAAAAGAAATTTATTTTTATTTTAAAGGAAATGTTTAGCCACTAATTCTGCAAACCAGCTCTGAAAGTTGAATGGTCTGAAATATTAAATGATAATCGGTACTTCCTATGATTGCTGAAAATTGGGGATTTTTTCATGTTTGGAATTAACGGATATTGATAGCAAATTTCATATTATGATAAGATTATCGGAAGCTTTAAAGGAAATAAAAGTACAGTTTCGATAATCATAATTCAAACCTGGTTGAATTTAATTTGTTTTTAATATAGATATGTACTTATTATGAATCGTTGTTTCCTGTACTCGATTTGACCAATTATCAATTGTTCAATACATATTTTTAATTATCAACTTAAGTTTCTAGAATTTGTAAGTCAACTTTTATGCTCAACCATCCCGAGACCCCCTTCTGCCTATCAAAATTATTTAAATCATTCTTCTAACAACACATCTGTTTATTAACTGCTATATTTAAAAGCGCCATCATTAGACCCAATGTTTTGTAAATCATTAGGTTACTGGACTGTTGTGTAACAAAGCATCTTGAACTTACTGATTAAATATAATAAATAAGTCAGTAGAGCAATCGTGAAATCAATAAAACACAAAGCAGTTAAGGAAATTACATTCGGTTATGGTAATGCTATTCATAACAGGGGCGTAGCTAGGGGGTCCCTAGGTGCCCTTCATTTTAGAGATGAAATCCTTCAAAAAATTTAAACTAAGTAAATAAGCATGCTTATTATCTGACCGATAAAACTATGAATTTTATTATTAAAATTAAGGAATGAAAGCAATTCAAGGACTTTATCGATATCCAGCACACACAGCCAACTCTGATGACACACATTTTAAAATCACAGAATCAAATAGTTTTTCCTCAGGACAGAATCGAAGGTGTCTAATTCCAGAGATACATTTAAAGTATCGAGCACAATTGGTATAATTAGGAATATATCCATTGCCACCAGGTGGACATCTGTGAATTGGCGGTGCTGCTGAAGATGTTGTTGAAACTCTTATCGTTGTCGTGCTTGAAATTTCATCAGTTGTTGATTCTTGAGCTGTAGTTATCTCTGTTGGAACTGTTGAATATTCAGTTGAATTATTTGTGGTTGATTCTGGCTCATCGGGTTCAGTTGTTGGATCGATTGACGTTGTTTCAGTCGCACTTGTTATTGTTGGAGTAGTAATAGAAGTCGTTGTTGTGACTATTGGTTGAGTTGTAAAAAGTTCACATGTGTCTGGATCACCTTCAGTTAAATGAATTAAAAAATCATGACTCGGTTGCTTCTGAGTGTGATAAAAGTTAATAAATCAGATTTATTACCTGGCTCGCATCTCCAAATTGAGGGATCAAAGATTAATCCTTGTTCACATTCAACGACTGTTGGTAACTACATTATAAATATTACAAATACTGAACAGTTCGTTGAATGAGGAAGAAACTCTATTATTTCTGTATTGTCGCAAAATCCAGTTGGTAATGCACTGCATTTTAACAAATAGATTGATATAATTAGTAAAATAATTTCAGACAAATGCTTGATTTGCATTCTGAAACTTGAAAATTTTAAAATCAAATGAATTAATTTGGCATTTAGCGAGTTAAAACAAAAAAAAAATATAAAATGGTTTGTGTAAAGATAATAAAGTAAAATTGATAAATGAGGGGTTGTTCACTTATGACGTCCGACATTTAAGGAGGGAGGGGGGTCTAGGATTTTGTGACAGCTAAAACAAAGGAAATTTATTTATTTGAAATGATTTAGAGTAAATTATCTAATTTAAAATAAATTTTATTTAATTTTTTTTTTTGAATTCACAAAATAAAAAAAAAAGATATTTCAAAAATTATCAGTCACTAATATTCTTCAGCTCCAGCACAGACAGCAAATCTTCGTATTTTGCATTTTAAATCCACAGAATCAAAAAATAATCCAATCGGACAAAAATGCAAATGCCTTTCACCAAAATGACATGAAAAATATCGACGACAATTTGAATAATTTGGAATTAGCACAATTCCATCTGGTGGACATTGATATATTGGCAATTCTGTTGTGGTTTCTGTTGGAGGCTTTAAAGTTGTGGTGGTTGTCATTGAATATATTGTGCATGTTTCTGGATTACCTGCAATTAACAATATATTATTTACAGATCACTGCTTAGCCACAGGAGTCTTGTTCTAAGGCTACACTGATCTCAGATAAGTTTTAACAAGATCCTATATTGAAGTACATGTAGATCGATTTCTAGAGTTAAGTGCCAGAGGTCAGTCTAGAAATCAGCTAGATCAATCTAGAAGATTGATTAATAAGCATTCGATCAGTTCCACAATCAGGCTAGCAATGTCATTAATTAAGAACTTAATCATCGATTCATCTTACCTGGCTCACAGCTGTCGGTCAAATAATTAAAAACTGTGTCTGGTTCGCATTTAACAATCGATGGCATCTGAAGAATGCAAATCACATATTTAGTACAGTCATCTGGATGTGGGATGATTTCAACAGTCGCAGTTCCATCACAAATCCTATCTAGCTGTCCATAACACTTTGACACTGTAAATATCAACACAGCTAAACTCAATAAAATATTTTTATTCATCTTGGTGCTCTGAAGTTTAAAAATTGAATAACACAATTTTGCAGACTATTTAATACTTAAGTAAAATGCAATTTGCGGAAGTGCCACTGATAACCTTAAATTGATTTGATAAAAGAAAAGGAAATCGGTGACTTTTTGTCGTAATTACGGTTAATAAAAGTTTTAGATACTTCGGTAGTTTAATAAGTACGGGAAATGTCGGAAACTTATCAGCACAGCGTACGGCAAAATAAATCCGATAAGAAAAATTTGATATCTGAGTAAATTTTGCGATTATCTTATTCTGAGTGAAATGTGAGAGCAGAGTTGGTTTTCTAGGTATAGAGCATCAGGGGATGGTTTTTTAGGTTTACATAAGGTACCCTAAACTCAAAATTGAAAATCTGTATGCTATACTTTGAGTTAATATAGAATTGTACTCAATCTTGAGAAAGAATCAGGAACTGTAATTGAAAAAGCTAGTGCCAGTAGCTAAAATATAACTTGGACATACAATTGATCTCAGATTATGAAATGATGTAGAAAAAGCACCAGCAACCAACTTCCAAGACTCTTCCTAATATTTAACAGTAAAATTAATATTAAATCTGCAAAATTCAAAAAAAAAACTATAAAAATAATTTCATTTTTTTTTTATTAATTTGTTAATGTTTCGTTTATTTGTCTATTTTATTAATAGGATGTGATTGGGTTTATAATTTATATTCATGATCATTTCAATGTTTTTTGACTAAGTTTTACAACCAGCTTCATTTTTAAAATTATGAAAATTAAATGATATTAAAGGACATTTTTGATTTTTGGATGCTTTCTATTTAAGGTTAATTTTAATTTATTCAAATTATTTTTTATTTGATTTGTTAGAATTGTTTTGAGTTTTATAGGAATTGTGATGGTTTTTAATTTACTAAAAAATATAAAAATAATATTGCGAAGATTTAAAATTAATTTTTCTTTATTTTATTTTGATTTTTAAAAAATATTTAAAAATATTATTTTCAAAAGTCAAAAATTATATTTGAAAATCTTTAAAAAAATTAATATTACGATTTTAGACTTCTTGACAGTGTGACGTAGAGCTGTCCGTTAATTACAATTTTTTCAAATTTTGTCTGAAAACTTCAATTCAACGTTGAGTTTAAAGCAGACCTTTGATTATTATTTAAATTTAAAAAAAAAATTCGAAAATAAATAATATAAAATAACTTACATAAAATATTTATTTTTCTTTCAAATCTTCAAAATAATTTCACACGTTTTTAAAAATGAGTTTTTTTTTTTATAAATTCTACTTAGAAAAAAAATAAAATCTCAAACATTTTTCAGTCTTGAGAATGATCGAAATGTATTTGAAGAAAGTGTTTTTGTCAACGAATTGAAAATAAATGAGGTTTTGGGTGAGTGTCAGCTAATCAAGTAGATTATAGAGATAAGTATGAAAATAAAGAGTCTTTACCCATTAAATTTTGAAATTTGTTTTGGTTTATTTTGAGAAAACTTGGAATCACTCGATGAGGTTTAAATAAATTATAGACCTGAATCTGAGATATGACAGCCTATCTTACCTAATCTGAACTTAATATAGCTGAAGCATCCTAGCTGACTGACATAAAACTATTAAAACTGCCTTGAGCGCAACATTAGTCATATTGACTAGTTAATCAATAATTGTAGGGTCCACTAAGAGCAAATTCAACAGAATTTTTCAAAATGTTTCTTACTAGTGAACCTTTAGCCGCAGTTATTAACTAGGCATCTTTTCTAATGCTCCATTCAGATCCTCTGAACCTGCAATATCCAAAATACCATTAACTTTTAATACAATTAGATATAAAAATTCAAAATCAGATTCCTAAAGTAGCTTGGATGCTGCCAGAACCCATTTTAAGTTCAAAACTTCCCCCAACAAATAAAAATTATTTTGACTCAAAGTTCTCATTCCCAATTTTTTCAGCAAACTTTAAAGTAACCCAAACTTTCACATCCTGTTCGTCATTTTCTATTTCTTTGTTTCCTACAAAAAAAGCATGTCCTTATCGTTAAATATACTCATACATACGATTAATTTTTATCAATTATTAATATTCTTATTATTTCTCGTATTATGGCGACTACAAAATAAATTTTGTTAATTAGATCCCATTACTTATGTCTTAAGCTTTCTCACGATCGAGTGGCGTTTGCTTTAATTGTAAAATTATACTTCTCATTCGAGCATTGTCCTTAATCGACTTACTAGCCTTGGTTGATTGTGTAAAATCACAAAGTTTTGCTATTCGTTCCCACTCAGTGCCTGGCTCGATTTCTTCGACGTCTGCGACGCATTCTTTTTCAGCATTTCTGGAATGTCAAAGTTTTTTATGAATTTAGAGCAATTTTTACGGGAAATTTATTTTAAGTTTAAAACAACATTTAATTAATCTACAACTGCATGCTTTAATGTACAATACGATACACTTACTTAGCTGATTCCCTATTTATGTTAGGCATTGTTAATGAGAAAATAAATTATATATAATTAATTAATTATTAGTAGTATTAAACAAGACATATATCGATGGAAGTTTGATATATTAACAATACTTTTGACTCAAGGTAAAGTATTAAAAGCATTATTTTCCTGGATGTTGAAATTTCATTTTATAAGATGAATAACAAATCACAATTGGCATCTTATCTCTAGTGTAAGTTCCAGAGCTCGAAGTCGACTCAATTCAAGTGAAATCGGAACTGACTTCGAGAAAATGAAGTCAACTCGAGTTGACTCGAGTCGACTCGAACCCTCAACTTCGAGCTCTGGTAAGTTCGAAGTCGAATTCATCATTGAATCTAGGATCAAGCTGGCACTGTGCCATATTATTCACATTTGTACTATTTAAGCTTTATAATATTTAAGTTGATTCTGCTCACATTATTGTAATTATCTGGACATTCTCAAATGACACACAATTTAAAAAAAAATTTGCATTACTTAGATACTGGCCGGTTGAAACCTGGCATCAAACCGTTACCGAATAAATCCAGCCTCGACTAGAGTCTATACATATAAGAATTAGTTCCAGAGTCCATAATGAAAACAGGAGTTTTAAGATCTCTTAACAAAACAACAGTTCCCACACCAACATTTAAATACACAATGTTAATATTCTCACCAAAGACCAAAAACCTTAATATCCATCATATTCTAAATATCCTCTAACCTGTTCATAGTCTTAGTTTTGGCAATCGATTCCTCGTGTCTTTTATACCAATCTTCAAGCTCCTTTTCAGCCTGTTTACGTAGAGCCTCTTTTGCTTTTTCTTCAGCGGCATCTTTATCTTGAAGACGTAGAAGCTGCTCTTCGCGCCATTTCTTGATCTTTTCAGGTACTTCTGTCGATATTGGTTTACTTTCGAAAGCTGGAAAATTAAAATAAAAATAATATTTTGTAATTTTTGAAGAATTGAGAATAGTTTGTGGCACAGTTTCTCAAACTTTTTTTGGTGTGCGACACTTTTTTTACTGAATTTTTCTTTTAATACACTAGAAAGACGCAGTTTAAAAAACTTTGATTTGAAGGGTTCGTAGACTTCAAAAAAGTTTCAGACATAATTGAGGGGGACAAGCTTTGGTGACTAGATAATACTCTGATTGTTTAAGCTTTTATGTTCAGTTGCTGATAGGAACACGAATGCATGTTGCTCAAATCTAGCCAGTAATGCAGTTGTGGTCTACTTTTATGCTAGGATACGACATTTTGTGCCAAAAGAGATGGTCATGTAAAAGTTCACTCATATTAGAAAACAGTTCTAGATGCAAAGTTGTCCAGATCTAGACAAAGGTTGGCTCTAATAGTTTAAAGGGATATTATAACAGCCAACCTAGTTGGAGTATCAGCTTTTGTAGACTTAAATTCAACAACTTAAGTCAAAAAGAGAACATTGTCCAGCAATGTAACCGTTGACGGCATTATCTCCTATATTAAGATCACTTTTTGGCCATATGCTGGCTAGGATTTCAACTAATTTCACCTCATTGGTTCATATGTTGTTACTTTACATCCCCAAAATAATATTCATTGCCAAGCAAGTACAAAAAGTTATCAGGAATAAAAAAGACAGAAAACAAACAAGTACATAGCAACATGGCAACATACTGTCTCATGATAAAAAATCCCATAAAAACATTTTGTTTACATTTAATCCGCAGATTCTTGTTCCACTTTTGAAAATTAAATTATGTTGACTCATGCGGATTGCAAAAAAAAATATTTGAGGCTGAATTAAAAATTAAATTTCAAGTGGATTTAAGGAATGAACCGGAAAAAATCAAAAAAATTCCACTTTAAAATTGATCAATAAACGCAATCATCCAAAAAATCATGATTGTCTATGATTAATGGAATCGTAGATGACGTCACAATATGGAAAATCATTTTCAAGTCACAATTTTTTAATGGCAGTTTTAAAATTAAAGCAGTAAGCAACACACCTTCAAACGAATTCATATCGTTATCGTCATTAAAATCATTTGAGTTTTCTAAAAAATTAACAAAAAAAATCACAATCAATAAAAAGTAAAGAAAAGAAAAATTCTAAAAATCCCACCTTGAAATGCCTGCGGGATTTCATCTTCTAAACCGGCTAGTCCATCCTTCTCGCGTGCTAAAAAGTCTTCAACCAAGTCGCTCATTTTTGTGACAATTTTTTAAATCAAACTTAATTTAGAATTTTATTTTATTTACTTTTTATCTTCAAATTTTTCTTTTGCTTTCTTTCGAGCGTCGAAAAGTGGAAAAATATTGTTAAAGGGTGCGACTCTTGGATTTTTCTAGAGTAAACCTGACAAGTAAAAGTAAGTTTATAAATTCTATTATCAAGAAAGCGCTTCTGAGCGTCGAAATATTGCCAGTCCGACAAATAAGCACAGTAAACTTGCACTATATATCCACAATGTTACCGGCTCGATTGCTCGTCCGTAACACAATTCAATATCAATTGGTGAGGAGCATAAGCTACACGCCAGTCCGTAAAATGCCTTTCAAGAAGCACGAAGTTGTACCTGATGTAATTCCAACAGCACCGACTAATGTCGCTAAAGTTGATTACGTATCTGGAGGTAAGATAATATTTAAATTTTTAAAAATAAGTTTTTAATTTTATTCTTAAATTTTCTCGCAGTTTCTGCCAACTTAGGCAATGTTTTGACACCCACTCAGGTCAAAGATGCTCCAACTGTTGATTGGGATGCTGAGGCTGATGCATTTTATACCCTTTGTATGACTGATCCAGATGCTGTGAGTATTACATTGACTGATTGGGATTTAAATTAAGATTGATTGTTGATGTTTTGGGGAATTGCTTTGGGGCAATTTTTTGAATTTATTTAGGTCTGTTTACAGACAAGATGCTAAAAAGACGTGAATTTGTAAACAATTTGTTGATTTTTTGTTATTTTGTCATTATTAAAGTTCGTGTTGTGAGCTTTGTAGGGTTCAATTAAGTCTTGATCCCTATATTTATCTAACACTTGACATTGTAATCAAACTAAGTGGCACACTCTCAATTGCAATAACTTTGACATTTATAAGTTATGATTAAAGGCTGATAGATAGTTTACCTTAGTGAGCATAGACCTACATGAGTGAAAACGACCAACCATCAATAAATAATGCCGCAAATATTGATTTTTTTTTAATTTATTGTAATTTTCATACAAGCAATTAGATAAATTATTCATAGAACTAAAGGCAAACTCAATTTGCTGTTGCAAACAACATGTCATAGATATTTATGCTTAATCATGTATATTAGTGTATGAAAATGTTCAGTCTATCAAAATGGTCAATATTGCACGAATTATAGATCTTTTATGCTGTGAATTCTATTAATAATTGCAATGATATGCAAATTATACCTTTATCCTCATGGTCGTTACTCTTGAATAAATAATGTATTGATTTTTTTTCTACTTATTCATTATTAGCCGTCACGTCAAAACCCAGAATACCGCGAATGGCACCACTGGCTCATTGGAAATATTCCCGGAAAGAATATTTCAAAAGGCGAAGTTTTGAGTGATTATGTTGGTTCAGGACCACCGGAAAAGACTGGTAAGTTACTCATGATTCAAAAATCACTGCAAATATTTATATTTCTATTTAAATTTGCTCTCGGGGAGGTGCCCGGGCACTTAAGGACTACGCCCCTTGCTGGTTTCTTGTGCTAATCGGGTTGTTCAAGAAACACTCAATTTGAATGTTGATCATTGATTTTTAATTCTCACTTGAGCCACTCTAATTAGGCTTAAAAACTAGCACCTGCTGTTTAAGAATCAAATACAACCAGTTTAACTTAATATTCTTTTAAACTAGCCAAAATCTAATTCGTATTTTAAATTCTCCAAAACAGGTCTTCATCGCTACATCTTCCTCGTCTTCAAACAATCTGGAAAATTGACATTTGACGAGCCAAGACTCACAAATCGATCAGCTGACAACCGTGGATGCTTTAAAATTCAAAAGTTTGCTGAAAAATACAATCTTGGCGTTCCAGTTGCTGGCAACTTTTATCAAGCTGAATGGGACACTTATGTTCCTGAATTGTATAAGCAACTAGGTGCTTAAGGCATGAAGACATGAAGCATTATTTGAGCATTTGAAATTGTAATCACAGAATTAGATTTGTACCTTTTGAAAGAAGAATAAACTGTCAACAACTAACGATAAAAAAAATTACTGATTTTATATCTTTTTATTAAGGCATTAAGCAAGCTTTATTTTCATGCCAAATGTAGATAAAGCAATCTTTATTAGCCATAAATTTTGATAATTTATAAAAAAAAAAGTCGCTATGCTGATAAGTATGCTTCAATTGACTCATTCATTAAATGATTCTTAGTTGTAGTTTATTTCTCGATACGAAAAGTTGAAAATTTATTAATTCTAAAAACTGATCATTTAGTGACAATTGAGGCAATTTTGTTATTTAATAAAAATATTGTGGATATTAAAGCACCAAAAAAAGTAAGTGAAAACTATTCAAAAATAGCCTTAAAATTAAAACACATAATTGATAAAATTGAAGAATGGTGAATCAAGATCTGAAATTTTGTGGGTTGAATGTGTGCGTGATACACAGATTCTTTACTTAAAATCAGCATCATCTGTTTGTAGAAGATAATGAATATCCAATTGAATGTTTTAAAAAAGTGATGGCTAACCACTGTGCCATGAATTTGATCATAGCTTACCACTAATTGTGCCGTGGCACAAAATAAGGTTAAACACCACTGTTTTATAAGTTTTTATTTTTTTTTATTTTCAGCGACTTGGCATGACTTTGATCCTTTTTTGAAACTTCGTCAAAATGAATCAAGAACTCAACATTATTGACAACAATTGCTGTCCTATTGACCAACGATTCATATTTGAAATGACCAAATCTAGAAAAAACACCAAAAACGAAGGACACGCAGTTTACAAGATTCTAAAATTTTCATCAGAATGGACGCACGAAGAAGTGATTAGACAAATTTCAAAATTGAGTCCTTCAACTTATCCAAATTTATTTATATTCGTGGTTGAATTAAATGAGTTAAAATTCTTGGGATCAAAATCAGCACAAAAGAATGTGATATTCAAGATTAAATTGTTGAAAAATATTTTGCTTAACTTTTGTGAAAATCGATCAGCAATCCTCCAGGTAACATCAAAAACTGAAAAAATAACAAAATTTTATTACAAAGAAAAGCGTTTTGATGAGTTTTTGGATGTCAGTTTACAGCAGAATCAGCATGAAGTCATTAAAGATTTTTCAACATTTTTAAAAAGTTTATTGAAAGGAGAACTTCCTGAATTGGAATCAGATTTGATTGATCAAATTATAATTGCAGAGCATTTTGAATTGATTTTAAAAATAATTCAAATTTTGGAATTTTCAAAAAAGTTTTATAATGATTTAATTTTAAAATGTGCTGCAAAGAGGTCAAGTGAGAATTTAATGGATATATGGAATATACAAGGTCATAGTTTCGAAGATGAAATTGCAAATACAATTATCAATGAAGGCACAAACATCTCAGGACTGTCAGTTGCTGTCGAAAATTCCAACATCGAAGTTGTCAATTTCTTAGTTAAAAATATGCCGCATTTAATCAGCAAACTACCATTTGAGCATCAAATAGAAGTCACTACAACAGCACTTAACTCCAAAAACTATGAAATTTTATGTGATTTGATTGAATTTGCTGACTTTCCGTTTCCAAAAGGTTTTGAAACCATAAAAATTGACAATACGAGATTATGTCAAATTTTAAAAGACCGAGAAGAATTTTCGGCAGCAATCCTGGAACAAAATATTGAAAAAATGTCAAAATTTATCGAAAATAATTCAACCCTTAAAATTGTGTACAGCATTTATAATGAGTCAGCACTTTGTTTAGCATTGGATACTAAAAATTTTAAATCGTTTTGCTATTTAAAGTCTCTTGGGTTCTTAGCGATAGAATTCGATCGTTATAAACAATTTATTGATGACGATAAAGATTTGGAGCTGATTTCCGAGCAGACTATGCAACAAACGAAAGATAATGTTGAAGACTCTCTAGCTGATGAACAAAAGGCAGTCAAATTATTGACATTAAGATCATTCATTCATAACAAAAGAATTGATAAGCAGACAGAAGTGGATTATCGACGTAAAATCAAAAAATGGTATAAAGATATTTATGATAGTAAATTCGGATCAGAACTCCTTGATGCTGCATCACAATGTAGTCATTTGAAAATAATATTTGACTTTGAATGTAAAACTGTAAGTAATTTTTAATCCGTTTGTAAAATTAAAAATTAAAAATATTTTCTTTAATCTAGATCGAGAACATGGACATGCAAGATATTGGAGCCTTAGGATCAACATACACTGGATATAAATGGATATTCATTGCAGCACAAACGTCCGACAATTTGAACCAAGAGCTGCAAATTAAAGGAATCATTGCACATGAGTTGTGTCATTATGTCCTACGAATAGTTTATGAAAATCAGGAGAAGCCGTATCGAATATGCAGCCATGAAGTTTCAATAGTTTTTGAGGCTATAGTATCGAATTATAAGGAATTATTAAGCAATGATATCAAAGATAATGTTGATGATGGATGTGAAGGAATCATTTCAACAGTCTATAAAAAATATGCAAGTGAAGATCATGTTGCTGAGTTGATTGTGAGGGTTCCTCAAATATTGGCGCAATTTGTACGTGACCCAGAAAAATGCAATGAAATAACAACTAGATTCAACTTGTTGTTTGACTTTTATGAGCAATATGTTGTGCCTGAGTTGAGAAAGTTTAATCTGACAAGATTGGAAGACATCCGAAAATTGAACAAAAATATTGGAATTTTGAAGGAACTTGAACAAAATTTGTGTGACTTTTCAACCACAAAGGAGCCATGTGATTATATTAACGAAGATCTTGTCATAATAATCACAAATATTCCAAAACTCTTCCTTATCAGCATTTTCAATTATTTCCAAAATAAATATGCAAATTTTATAGATTCATCTGTGATATTTACGGCCTCAGATATCCTCAAAAATCAATCAATGTTTACCGATTTTAAAAAAGTTGTAGATGAAAATAGAAATTTATGTGTTTTTGTGGACTGTTTTGGAGATTTTGGAAGTAACATCAAGCACATAGTTGTTAACAGCTCATCAAAATACTTCTTTGTTGTATTCTACGATGAAGATTATGATGACTTGGCAGAATACCTAAAGGATGTCAATGCAAAAATAACAAAAAAGGAAATAAGTTTTTTTTGGAATGATTTGGACCCGAAAACGCAAGAAAATTTACTAAAATCAAAAGTTAAGTTTCAAACAAAACCAAAAATTCCTCTGATTGACTTGCTGGAAGTTAAAAACGATCAAAATGAGAATTTAAACAAAATTCTTGATTATCAGTTGTTGGATTTATTGATTAATCGATCGGAAGTAACTATCAATGTAGATTCTGTGAACATAGTCGACGATAAAGCATTCAAGTCATTATTTAAAAATAGAATTCTTATAAAAACATTTAAAATTCCAACTCAAGATCTCAATGAAGACAGCTCAGTTCCAGTTAAAGCTATTAACTCAATCGAAGTATTTCCAGATGAAATGCTCCAAAATTCAACGAATAACAACATCATCTTAATATCTGATGTCGCTGGAACTGGTAAAAGCTGGATACTCAAAAACATAACAACTAAATGCAAGACGCAATATCCACAAAGATGGATTACTTATGTGAATTTGAATCAATGCATCAATTTGATAAAATCCCAAAAAACTGACATAACGTACGTCCGCTTCATGACACAATTAATATTAAAATCTAAAAATAATTTTGAAAAGAGAATTTACGAAAAAATGTACAAAAATGGAGCCACGTGCGTCCTATTTGATGGATACGATGAGATTGCCGCAGATTATGGTTCATTTTTGATCAAAATGTTTCGATCATTTGAAGCTAATAATGGCAATCAATTATGGATCACAACTAGGGATTATCTTGAGAAGGATTTACAGGAAAAGTTGCATCTTACTACAGTTTACAAAATTAAGCCATTTACTAAAAGTGATGGGATAGATTTGATAGCTTTACATTGGATGGTAGATGAAATTGAAGAGGACTCAAAAACATTTCATGAATTAGCTCAAGCCTTGTGCAGTAAAATCTCATCAGATGAGCACAATTTAATTGGAATTCCTCAATTCTACGCATTGATTGCGGACGTCTTTAAAGACAACAAAATTACGGATGAGAAAATTTCAAACTATTTCATTTATTTCAAATTTGTGGAGAAGCAATTCGGAATTTGGGCATACGAAAATGTAGCATCCAGAAAGCAAGACCGAATTGATGCAGAAAGCAAGTCACTGACATACACAGAAATCCACCAGTATCTTGCCATGAGAGGATTATTTCCAAATATTTCACAATTTTGTCAACTTATCCGTGATATCATCGACTGGCCTGACAATAAGATAGCTGACTGTGGAATGACAACAAAAATTGAAGACATTTTAAGTTTTTCACATAAGACTTTGATGGAATATTTTGCGGCTGACTTTATCGTCAAAAACTTAAAGAATAACTATTGGCAAAATTTTGCAGACTTTTTTAGGTTTTTGACAAAATTCTTGACAGATCCACGATTTAATATTGTGAGGATGTTCTTTAATGATGCTTTGTCTGACGGTGTAGTTTTAAGGAAGCTAGACAATAAGATTCAAAGATTCTCAAAAGAATTCAGCCAAAATTCAACTGGATTAGAGAACTTTTCAGCAGTTTTTAAAGAAAATCAGGAAAATCTTGTAAATTTTCTGTTACTTATCCTGAAAAATGGAAGCTATGACAAAGTTAAGAATCTTTTGCATCAAAATATTCGAGAAATAATCAGCAATACTCAAAATTCACAGCAAATCATAAAGTTCCAATCATTTTACATTGGATTCCTAACTCCAGTAGACCTAAAAGACTTTTTGGTCAAAAGAAATGTTCTCGTCCAGTTAATAAACTCTAAACTTGATTTAGTCGTGTTTGAGGATTTAATAGAAAGACTGGAAGAAGAAATCGATGTTAAACATTTAGTAAAGCACAGAGATCATGTTGATAGGAACTTATTATCCTCATTGTGTTGGTCAAAAGGCTACAATGCAGATATACTAGCAGGAATCCTAAAACTTGTAAAAAAATATTTAAATAATTTAGAAATATTTGATATGATAGAAAAATGTGACAGTAATGGCAACAACATGCTGCACATTTGTGTAGAGAAACAAAATGGTGAATCTTTGATATTTACGTGGAAAGAGTTAGAAAATTTTTGCTCTCAATTTATGCCCGAACAAAAGTTTAAAGACATTATTAATCAGCAAACATCAATCAATAATCACAGCCTGCTGCACTTAGCTGCAAGTTGCAAAAATCTTGATTTTCATTCAATTGTATGGAATCTTGTGTCCAAAAATTTAGAAAATCGAGAAGATCTTTGGAGTTTAATATCAAAACAAGACAAAAATGGCTACAACTTTGTTCATCATCTTGTGAGCAGCAATACAGCAATTGTCGTTGACTTTACATTCTTAAAACTCAAAGAAAGGCTCAGCGATGCACACTTCAAAATGATTCTGAATTCCAAAGGATTTGCTAAACGAAACTTACTTCAAACAGCCGTCTGTAACACAAAAGACATCAACCTACATCAAGTTCTTTGGACAGTTTTCAAAAATACATTTAAATCTGGAAAAGAACTGCTCGATGTTCTCAATGAAGTTGACATTTACTTCTGGAATGTCTTCCAACTTGCTGCATCATTTACAACAGATGAAATTTTTGAATTTATAATTAATGAAGTTGAACAAATTTGTCAAATTGAAGAAATTAAGAAAGTTTTAGCAAACACAAAGACCTGGAAACGAAGCTTGTTGTTGACAGCTGCTGAATGCAATAAATCTGCTAAGCTTCATGAAACTTTATGGACGTATATTCAAAAATATTTCAACTCCACTGAAGTTATGGAAATTGTAAGGCAGACAAGTAAGGATGGGAAGAATCTGTTGATGATAACTAGTGAGAAGAATACGCAAGAGGTTACGAATTTGACATGGAAGCAAATCCTTAAATCAATTGATAAGAATGAGAATAATATTAACGAATTAATAAAAATGATCCAACCTCACGAAGTCGTTCTCAAAAGTATTTTAAACATTCAAATTTTTAAAGATGACTCAACAAAAATTCCAACTAAAAACCTCATCAGCGATCCATTTGGAATATTTCCATCAAAGCAGATATCTTATAAAGATTCAAATGACTTAAGATCTTATGCATCATGTGATCGACTAGAAGTACATGAAAGTTTGTGGGAATTTATGATTAAAACCTTTGAAAATCGCGATGAATTACAGAATTTAATCTTGCAAAAAGACGACGAAGGAAACAACTTTTTGCATCTCTTGACAATCAGCAGCACATCAGGAATTATTGAATATACTTTCGGAGTCCTCAAAAATAATTTCAACTTTAAGCAGTTCCAAGATACTTTAAACTCAAAAGGATTTCATGGAAGAAATTTATTCCATACAGCTGCATGTGCATCAAGGAATATCGAGGTCCATCGAACTCTATTAACCAATCTAAGAACGTCTTGTAAATCAGAAAAGGACGTCTTTGCAACTCTAAATGAAGTCGATGACGAAAAAAGAAACATTTTGGAATGTCTGTTGTGCTTTTCAAGTCCACACGTGACAAACTTTATGATTGAGGAATTGTTAAAAATTGAATCTAGTGACTTAATTAAAAATCAAATGGAAAATATCAATGCTTTTAAGGAAAACCTTCCACAATCAGTTATTCGACATAATAAGTCTATCGATTCACATCAAAATTTGTGGACAACTCTTTGTAAATATTTTGATACTTTAGAATTGATGGAAATGATAAAGCACAATGACATCGAAGGTAAGAACATCCTGCAAGCCTCAATTGCTTATAATTCAGTTGAGATACTTAAAACTACATGGCAGGAAGTAAATAACATTGCGGATAATTTTGATGGCAAGGAACTGATCGACTTGATTCAGCATAAAGACATAAATGGAAGAAATTTGATGCATTTGTGCATTGACTCGCAAATGGAAGCAAAACTTGAATTCTTATGGACGAAAATTGAAGAATATTTCAATAATGAGCAGTTTGAAGACTTTGTAGCGCAGCAATCATCTTCAAAAGGTCACACCATCTTTCATCATGCAGCATATTGCCAACAAGTCGACTTCCATGCTATTTTATGGACACTGGTGAAGAATTCATTTAAATCTTATGATAAGTTGAAGAATTTGGCATTGCAAGTTGATAAAGATGGCAATAACTTCTTACATCTATCTGTAGTTGAGAGTGATCCGAAAGTCATTGAAGTGACATTCAAAATCCTTCAAGAAAGCTTAAACGAAGCTGACTATTGCAACATTTTAAAATCAACAGGCTTTGAAGGAAGGAACATCATCCAGCGAGCAATTTGTGAATCAGATAATCCAGAAATGCACCAAAATTTATGGAAAATTATTAAAACTTCAGACAAGATGTTCTTACAAATTATAGGGCACAAAGATGATCATAAAAACAACATATTCCATCTCCTAGCATGCTTCTCATCATGTGAAATCTTTGACTTGACAGTTACAAATTTAGAAAAAGTTGCATCACGCGAAGAAATTAAAAATTTAATAATTAGCTTGGATTTTTGGAAGCGAAACTTCTTACAAATCATTGCAGAATCGGATAAATCTTTGAAATTCCACAAAAGCTTATGGGCAGTCATTCAAAAGCACTTAGATGCACATGAATTATTTGAAATGATCAAAAATAGAGATGAAGATGGGAAAACTTATTTGAAGACTATAAATGACCAAAATGATCAAAATTTGATAGTATTAAGTTGGGATGAAATGTCAAAATTTGTTAATGGAAGTGATCAAGATGAGAAGGAGCTAATGGATGTCATCAAAAATTACGACTCAATACTAAACTTCATTTTAAAAGCTCCAAATGTTCTCAATGATCCTTTTCAAATCCTAATGACATCAACTGCCAACAAAGAAGGCTCAAATGATTTACAAGCTTATGTCACATGTGATCAAATTAAAGTACATCAGGGCCTTTGGGATTATTTGTTAAAAACTTTTCAGAATCAAGAGGAACTAAAGAATTTTATAATTCAAAAAGATGAGGAAGGCAAGAACTACATTCAAGTTTTAGTGGCAAAAAATAAAATTGAAATAATTGAGTTCACATTCAGAGTGATTAATGACATTTTTGATGATAGTCAGTACCTCGAGATAGTCAAGTCAAAAACTTCAAAAGGCTCAAATTTACTTCAATTTGCTTTGCAAGTAACGACGGACATCAACATTATTAAATTTATTTGGAGAGTTTTAGAAAATTCAAGCAAATCAGATCAAGAATTCTCCGAATTTCTCATAGAAGTGAACTCCGAGAACAGGAACATTTTGAACATTTGTGCTGCACATTCGACTGAAGAAGCTTTAGAATTTTTAATCAGCAAATTAAACAAAATTGAAAGTTTAGAAAATAATCGACAACATTAAGGAATTTAAATATTTTTCAAAGAAGTCTTTTGCAATCAGCAGTTATCAAAGTTAAACCATTAAGCTTTATTACAAGTCTTTTTGAAATGATTTTTAAATACTTCTCAACATTAGAAGTGTCCGAGATCATATCAAATACTGATACATTTGGAAGGAACATTTTACACAATTGTGTTGGCGCCAAAAATAGTGAAAATTTAATTTTTATTTTTAATAAATGCGAAAATGTTTTCAAACTGCTAGATTTGGAACCAAAGTTTAAAGATCTCTTCAAAAAGCACACAAATGACCAGAAATTCAATGTTTTAGACCACGCTGGGTATTGCAAGGATTCCGAGTTTCATGGAACTTTTTGGATTTTCTTGTTAAAAATATTTCAAGATCGAAATGAATTGAAGGATTTAGTCATGCACAAAACAAAAAATTTAAACAATTACATCAACATCCTAGTATCCGAAAATAATGCTGAGATTTTCTTCATGACAATCAAAATTTTGAAAAAGAATCTTAATGACAGTCAATATCTCGAAATTTTAACATCCAGGAGCTTTAATGAAAGAACTCTTCTACAAAGAGTTGCGTGCTCTTCGAAAGAAATCACAATGCATCAAGCTGTTTGGGAGACTGTTCAAGATTTATACAAATCACACGCTGACTTCCTTAAAAGCCTTGAAGATTGTGATAAAGATGGCGACAACTTGATTCATCTTGCAGCACGTTTTGGATCAAATTACACATTTGAATTCACAATTTTAAAACTTGAAGGAATTTTATCAAATGAGGAAATCAAGAAATTTCTCAAAACTTTAGGATGTAAAGATAGGAATTTTATGCAACGTGCAGCATCATGGAATAAATCACTTCCAACTCATGTTGTCTTGTGGAAAACTTTATCAAAATATTTCTCAAATACTGAAATTGTTGAGTTTATCAAGCACACAATTGCCAAAAATGCTGAACTTAATATGTTTGCTTTGGCTGTTAGCTACAATACTAAAGAAGTTTTGGACTTTACATGGAAGAAAATCAAATTTTACATCAAAAAGAGAGAGGATCAAGTTAATTTTTTAAAAGGAACTTGGCAAATTGGAGAGACTTTGCATGAACTGTCGAAAAAAAATAAAAATGATCCGGGAGTTCAAGAATGGGTTGAGAATTTGCTAAGTGAGTATAAGTTGGAGTCCATCATTAATGAAGAGTCGTATATGAAAAAGATTAGGAAGCTTATTGGATAAATTCGGGGATTGTTATTTGAAAGTGGACATCAAAGCATCTTTTGATATATTTTTATTAAATGTGTTGTATTAAGTTCAATAAAAACTAGTTATGGACATTTAATAACCTTCACTCATCCTACTTAATCTCGACTACAACATAGCTATGTCCAAACCTAGTCTACATTCTTTAACATAGAAAATTTGATTACAAAACATTTTAATTGTGTATCTAGTTACATTTAAAGCTAGCTATGTTGTCTCTAAACGCTTTTAAGGCCCACATGGATGGAAATAAAACTGCAGCCGTTCATATTTATCGTCATATTCTTCCTGACTTATCATTACAAAATCAATTTTGTCAAATTTCCTTTCTAGCAGTTCCTTTTTCTTCATTAATGGACTATTAGTCAAGCAATAATTTCCAACAACATTTGTGACTTTTCCACTGCTTATAAACAGTTTTAAGACATCATTTGATGGAAGCAGCAGTTCCAATGACTTTAAACCACGAATTTTTTGAATAAATCTTTCATGATTTTCGACAATAAATTTTAAAAATTTCTCATAATTGACATTCACGATTGTTAAGCTCTGAAGTTTTGGGAGATTTTTGGCAATTTGTGTCCAACTTGCGATATCAAAAAGGACATCCTCGTAGGTTATGACGAGACTTTCAAGATTTGGACTGGACAAATAATGCAGGAGGTCCTGATTGCAGCTTTCAATATGAAATTCCTTCAAATGTCTCAAATTTCTTAGCGGATTTGCAGTCACTTTGATATCCGGATAGCATCCGAAAAGTCGATGATCAATTCCAAAATGAACATTGAGGCATTTGAGACCAGGCAGGCTGGTTGTGTCAAATTCATCAAAGTTTTGATTTTTATTCCCTCGATAATATCGGAAGTATGTCAAATTTTTCAGCACGACAAGTTCCTTGTCTTCTTCAGTTGGACTTTGTGGCTTCTGGATGTTGAAATAAGGCAGCAGACCATGAGTTGTGAGGCTTTTGAGGTTCTTAAGTTTTGATATTCCATCAGCAATTTCAGCTTCGCAGCTCCATGAAAAGACTCGAAGTTCTTCAAGGCATTCGGACTGTTTAAGTAGGAATTTATTCAAGTATGTGTAGTCACATTCAGCATAGAATGATGGAACGATCCTCAACGTATTAAGCTTGAAGTTCATCTTGTCAATCGTCTCAGCTGAAAATATTATATCCATTTGACCAACTTTAAGTTCCAGACACAGTAAGTCATTTTGTTGACACAGGAATGAAATCAGTGATTCATGATGAATTTGAGTCTCGACGGAACTTCGAAAACAGAACTTTTTTAAATTTTTACAGTTCCTTAGCTCATGAAAAATCACAGCTGGATCAATTTTGTAGAAAAAAGCTTCCAAATTTTCAAGTTTTGTCAAATTTAATTCACCAAAAATTTCATCTTCACATTCGAGTAAGCTCATTAACTGTGCAATTATGATGTCATCCTGCTCATTATCAACTGATCGCTGCTTATGCAATCGCTGTGAATTCATGAGATTCAATTTAAGCTTTATTGTCTTTGGCATAAAATGCAATAGCCTGAAATATATGCAAGATCCATTACTGCACTCAATTTCAACGTTCCTCACATATTTTCCATATTCCTTAATAAATGGCACTTTGGATTTCCAATTTTTCTCATTCAACCTCAATGTTAATTTCTTCATGATGTCTGGTGAGTGAATGATTACATCTCGGAATGAACTTGATGCTTCAAGGCATGATTTGAGGGAAAATATGTCAAGATGGATGAGGACTAGCTCGATAAGCTCCGGTGATAAGTAGTTGAGCATTATTGCTGGAAGAAAAATGATAGGAATTGATTAACAACTTGATATGGAGTTAATGTAATGTTAAGAGGGTCAATCAAAGCGTAATTGTACATCCTTCAGGAAAAAAAGTGGACAATTTTCATGTTCATTGGTTTTATCTGTTTTATAGAACCGGCTTTAAGGACTGCATGTTGAGGCCAGTTGCAAACTAGATCTCAACGTGAACAGACGTGTTTACAAATCGCTCCGCAAATTATTCAAAAATCTCAAAGAAACAAAACAGAGACTACCTGAGAAGCTTTTTGTTTGCAAAAAGTTTCAAAATCTCAGTTTGATTCTCAAAACATCAAAATGGTAGCATCACCAAAAACTACCAACAACGAAGAAAATCTTTCTCAAAATCAGCATGGACTTAATAGTTCTCAACAACAACACTCATCTTCAGTGACAATTCTCAATATTGAGGAAATTTTCAGTGAAGATGTTTCACAAGCAGCCGACATTGAGATGACAAATCTCAAACCAAAAAAACAAATATCAATAAAGAAGTTTCTCAATGAAGCAAGTAAAGCAGAAAAACGCCCTCGAGAAGTGATAGTTCACAACGCTCTTTTAAAAAGAGTAGCAAACGAAAGCAAACCAAAAGATGGAAACAAACCACTGTTCGTACTCCCACCAATGAAGAAAGCTTCGTCTTCTGGAAAACCGTATCTATTTGGTTCACCAGAACAGGAGAAAAAAAGATCGACAACTTCTTCGTACTGGGGAGAAAACAGCAAAACATCAGAGCAACAAAAGACAATTTCCGTAAACACGGAAAGCAACAACAACAAATCTCAACAAAAATCAAAACCACCTCCAATTGTCATCAGCACAGGAGGAGCTGGTGAAATCAAGAGATTGACGAATGAAATAAACAATCAACCTGGAAGTTTCTTAATTGAGACCAAAAAGGGCAAACAAGGAACAAAAACGGTAACAACGGAGAGTTGGGATTACTACGAGAAATTCATCCAACTACTCAAAGACAAAAAGCATCACTTCCACACATACTCCAGCCAAGAACCACTGAAGAAGTACGTACTCTATGGACTCCCAGATATGGAAATCAGTGAGTTGGAGAAGGAACTTCAAACCGTAAAAATCACACCAGTAAAAATTGTCAAAATGACAATGAAACACAAAAGACACGAACAAGACGACGACCAGAACTACCTCGTGTACTTCAAAAAAGATGTAGAACAAGGTGGAAATTTCCTGGAATTCCTCAGAAAAATCAAAATTGTCAGCAGTTTCAAAATTAAATGGGCTGACTACAAAAATAGACAAGCTGGTCCATCTCAATGTTCGAAATGTCTGCAGTTTGGTCATGGACAAAACGGTTGTAACAAACCGTCCGTTTGCTTCAGATGCTCTGAGCAACATGACTCGAAAACGTGCCAGTACATATCGAAAGAGACCAACAAGGTTCCACTCGGAAAACTCAAATGTTTCTTCTGCGGTGAAAAACATACAGCAATTTTCACAGGTTGTAAAACCAGACAAGAAATAATTGAAAAATGGAAATCAAAATCACAGAATGGAAACAACCAAAATCAAAACAAAACAGCAGGCCATTATTCATATGGACAACGGAGAAACAATCCTCCAACACCGCATCGTCCTGAGAGATCAACCAGAAACGTCCAACATGCACCAAAACCTCAATGGAGAAAGGAGTATATGGAACCATCAACATCTGGTACACAAAAGCCTGTTCATCAAAAACAAGTTCCAGTCAACCACAAACCAAGGAACACAAATCCTCCTCCAAATCACAAACCCTCAAATCAGGGAAATAAAAATAACTTGAACAACCAACAAAACAATAAAGAAAGAGGAAAACATTGGAAAAAGAATCAAAGAAAAAAGCAAAACGAGCGCATTAATAACAATCAACATCAAAAACCAAAGCAAGATGTTGAGCTTATGGACTCAGAAGACATCGGTGCAACAAGTCAGACCTCGAATGAAGTCTTCCCAGAACCTTCATTCAGTGTTGAGGTAGTGAATCGAAACATAACAACTAATCAACAAGCTCAAAGCACCAGCACAAGAGATAAAAACATCTCAGAAATAGAGGAATCAAAGTGCAAGTACCTTATCAGCGAGCTTCTCAAATTAATCGCCAAAAATCCAGAGTTCATCGACGAAATACTCCAAGCAATCGGCTCAAGTGCTAAAAACACCGCATACAATAATGGATTGTAGACAACAAAGTATCAACGTCCTCTACTGGAATGCTAACGGCCTCACTGACAAAATGTTAGCATTTCTCGACTACCTAAGCAAGCAAAACGTCGATGTTGCTTGCATCTCAGAAACATTCCTAAAACCAAACTCAAAAATTGACTCGCATCCAGACTACGTAATTCATCGATTGGATCGCGTGGATAGACCAAAGGGTGGTGTTGCAATCATCGTCAAAAGAAATCTAAAACATCAGCTTCAACCAAGCTACAACACAAAACTAATGGAATGCATTGGAATCAAAGTCTTCATCAATGACACGGATAGTTGTCACATCTTCTCAGTCTATCTCCCAGGAGGAAGCAAAGGAGGGGTAATAGATCTACATCTGAGAGATGACATCAACAAAATAACAAATCTGAGAGGAAATTACTACATCTGTGGAGACTTCAATGCAAAACATCGAGAATGGAACTGCAACGTTGCAAATAAATCAGGAAATATTCTTCAGGAAATGTCAGGAGAGTTCATGATCTACTTTCCTGACTCGCCAACGTACTACCCAGAAGATCGAAACAAATCAGTGTCAACAATTGACCTGATGCTCTCGAATTCCAACCTCGAAACAACAGAACTTCAATGCACAGAGGCAATGAGTGATCACTGCGCTGTGTATTTCCAAATCAAAACATCAAAAATCGACAGAACTGAAAATACAGTGTACAGATATGACTACAAAAACGCAAACTGGAAAAAGTTCAAAGCACAAATTTCACGCCGCATTGAAGACAACATTGGAGAAAATTCTTGCAATACAACAGATGAGATCGAGAATCACATTAAGATTCTATCTGAACTCATCATGGAAGCGAGGAACTCAAGTGTAAAAATGAAAAAGATCAAGTTCGAATCAACTAAACTCACACCGGAGATTAAAGATCTAATCAACACAAAAAGGAGTCTTCGTCGAAGATGGCAGAGAAGCAGAGATAATCAACTCAAATCTGAATTGAATTATCTGCAGAGAGTCATCAATGAGAAAATTAAAGAACTCAAAAACAAAAACTGGAATAAGCGTCTCTCAGAGATTCAACCGTCAAACCAAACAGTTTGGAGAATAGCAAAATTTTGCAAAAAAGGTTCAAAAACAATGCCTCCATTGACAAATCTGGGTAAAACGTTCATCACCAACAAAGAAAAAGCCAGCGCACTCAGCGAGTATTTTCGTGAAGCTCACGAAAATCCTCTGGAACAAAACGATCCACAACATACACAGGAAGTAAACAACACAGTCAAAGAAGCATTGGAACAAGACAATGATGAGAATCCAGAACTAACAGATGTAAACGAAATCGTGAGCATCATAAGAAATCTGAAAAATCCAAAAGCTCCGGGACTAGATGAAGTCAACAACATACTCATCAAAAATCTTCCTGAAAAAGGTTTCGAATACTTGAAATTCATCATCAATTCGTGTCTGAAACTCAACCACTTCCCCAAAGTTTGGAAACATGCAAAAGTGATTCCTATTCCAAAACCTGGAAAACCAGCAAATGAGCTAAGCAGCTACAGGCCAATAAGTCTACTCAGCTCAATAAGCAAAATACTGGAGAGAGTATTACTGAATAGAATCAACGATCATCTTGAGGATAACAACATCATCCCAAACCAGCAGTGCGGCTTCCGGACTGGAAGATCAACATCTCACCAGCTCATCAAAGTGATCAAATCAGCAAAAGAAAACTTAAACAACAAAAAGTCAACAGGCATGATCTTCCTGGATGTAGAAAAAGCATTTGACAGAGTCTGGCATAACGGACTCTTGTACAAAATGCTCAAACTGAGATTTCCACTGCCACTTATAAAAACTGTAAGATCTTTCCTCAGTGAAAGATCTTTCGCAGTTTTTATTAAAGGTCAGTTCTCAGAAATCAAGGTAATCAAATTCGGAGTGCCACAAGGAGCAGTGCTTTCACCAACTCTCTACAACATCTTCACGTATGATGTTGTAAGAGAGACAACCAACAACATCGGTCTTTTCGCAGATGATACAGCACTGTATCATTCTGCAGAGAACTCGGCTGATATTGTGACATATCTACAGCACACAGGAAGAAAAGTTCAACAATACATGAACAAATGGAAGATCAACCTCAACAAACAGAAGACTCAAGCCTTATTCATCACAAACAGGCACTCCAGGCAACTACCAGGAAATAACATCAAATTTCTCAACGAAAACATCAAATGGGAAACAGAAGCTAAATATCTGGGAATGGTGATCGACAAGAGAGTGACATTAAAGCCGCATGTGGAGTATGTGACCAATAGGGCTCACACCGCATTAAGACAGCTTTATCCGCTCATCAGCAGGAACTCACAACTCGACGTACGAAACAAACTTCTCATCTACAAGCTAGCCATCAGACCAATATTCACATATGGTTGTCCAGCGTTTGGAAGCATGGCAAAAACCCATCTTCAAAAACTTCAAGTACTGCAAAACAAATTCTTGAGAATTGTTCTCAATAAAACAAGATATGAAAGGATCACCGATCTTCATACAGAAGCGAAAATACCGTCCATCGAAGACTACGTCGGAAAGTTGCAAGCGAACTTCAACAGTCGTCTAGCATCTCAAAACACCGAATAAATCAAATGAAATACAAAACAAAGTAAAATCCGTAAATGAAATCAAAATTAAGAGACAAAAGGCAAATTGAATGCCTGAAACCTTAAAACAAAAAGCAACAAAATGTATAGAAACTTTGTACATACTTAAATTTAAATGTAAATAAATAAAAAGTTTGATTTAAAAAAAAATAAAAAAAAAAAAAAAAAAAAAAAAAAAAAAAAAAAAAAAACTGCATGTTGAGGCAAAAATTTTGAAAATTTAAAATAGATCAGTTGATCTCAAACTGTGTTCCACGGCACACTAAAAATCAAAAGATGAAGCATGAAAAGGGATCATCCAGATGCTAGTAGATCCTAGTATACCTAGCAAAAGAGACACTTTATGTACCAAAGACCTCAAAATTACAATTACTTGGTCTGGGCCTGGGCACATCCAAGTGTGCCGTTTGGAAAAAGTTTGAGAAACACTGCTCTAGGGATTGATAGTTTCAGCATGACAACACTAACTTTGCAAATTCATTCACAATTCGTAATTACATTTCAATCATCATTAAAGCATCAACAATAAACAGTAATTGCTTTATAAGTTAAACAAAAAGGAAAAAAGATTTTTAAACATAAAATCTCTAACAATTGAAGTATTCAGATGGAACGAAAAACAAAATTATTCAAATATTTGTTCAATGATTCATTCAGAAAAAAACACTGACTCGAAATTTTAATAATAGATTATTGATTGGAATCTCGCAATTTTCAGATAACTGGATTCCACAATGTTACATCTTAGGTTTTAGCAATTATAAAAATACTTACAAAGTTAATAAATTCTTACGAAATAATCTTGTCCTTGAGAATTAATCACTTGTTGGTTTTGTTTATTATTTTGACTTTTAATTGTGTCAATTCCTTTTTAATTCAACATATCGACGATTTAATGATTACTTTAGAAACTCTGAATCCAAATAAATACTGTAGTCTGATTTCAGTGCTTTATACTGCAAATTTGAGAAGAAAAGTTACAAAAACATCTTCGCAAAGTACACCAAAGTAAACAATTTTCCATTTTCGAAAACAGCTGTGAATGTGGAAAAGTTTTATTTTCTTTTTTCACGTTGAATGGAAAACTTCTGTTAAAAGTATTGAAGCAGTAGCAAAGCAGTTTTAATAAAGCTCATACAATTAAAGTTCATTAAAAAGCTTTGATTTCAATTCTTTGGAAATCAATTTTTTATCATGAAATAATCCTGACTAAATACCGAGACATTCCAAAAACTTCTCTAGTTCTTAACTTCAAAAGAACCTTTTGATTTTAAATCCATTTTATCTTCAATTTTTACATCAACTAAGTCTTTGATCTGTCAATCAGTTACTTCTTATTTACTTCTACTTCCTTGGGCGCACGTGGGCCAAGACAGCTCTATCCTTCGAGACCTTCTGCCAGTTCTATTAAGGACTCTAGCGGTATTAAGCACTCTATCAGTTACTTCAATTTTGAGTAATTCTGATGGATACTGTCCTCCTTTAACTTTTATTTTGACGACGTTAGGCATGAAATCGATGAGTTGATAAATTATCAAATAATCCTTGCCACATTCAACTTCAACATTTCGGACATATTTGCCGTATTTTTTTAATAATTTCAACTTTTGATTCCCATTTGTGGTCTGCGATTATGAATAGTAGTTTCTTCATGATAGCTGCTGATTTAATAAGTGTGGCTTTGAATATTTTGCAAACCTGCAGACATTGTCTTAGTGAGATTGACATTAAGATTGATGAAAATGAGTTCAAGAAGCTCTGATTAGTGGATGTTTGCTGTAAAAAAATTAATCAAAATTTAAAAAACAGATGAATTTTATTTTGAACTTAATCGATTTCATACCAGCTTCAATTTTATCACAATCTAAAATGAGAAGATTCAATATTGGAACTGCAATTTGTGAATTTTTCTTTTGACGTGACCTGCCTCAACATTTCATTTTAATAGAAATATTCGAAAATAACATAAAAATCTGGTGCTGGAAATATAAAAAAATCAACAAGGTTTATTTAGGCACAAAGAAAGTCATTTTTTATTTTTAAAATCTAATTAATGAGTAAATTACCTCAAAGCAATCAAAATCATCTTTAAAAATTCTCAATAAAAATGTAAAAGTTCATATTTTTCATTATATTCATCATCAGTTGCCATCGATAAGTTGAAATTTTTAAATTTTTTCTTCAACAATTTTTGATTTTTGTACATAAAATGATCGCTGACAGTATAACTTCCAATAGCTTTTGTAACTTCTCCATTTGTAATTATCAGCTTAAGGACATCATTTAATGAAAAGTGTAGCTCCAATGTCTTCAATCCATGATTGTTATTCTTCATGACTTTCACCAAATTTTCATAATTTTCAATAACAAACTTGAAGAACTTTTCATACTTAATGTCCATAATTGTGAGATGATGGAGATTTGGCAGGTTCTTAGTCATTTCAATGGAAGTCTCGATATCATAAAAATCATCATCGTAAGGTATGACAAGACTTTCTAGATTTGAACTAGCTAGAAACTTCAACAATCCTTGATCATGGCTGTCAATGTGGAACTCCTTCAAATTCGTCAAATTTCTTAGTGGATTTGCCGTCACTTCTACAATCGGATCAGTTCCAACAATTACAAAATTAGATCCAAATTGAACATTCAGGCATTTAAGATTTGGCAAGCAAGTCAAGTCAAATTCATCAAAATTCTCGTTTTTATTCTTTTGTGAGAATCTGTAATAAGTCAAGTTGCTGAATATTGATGGATCTAATGGTTCCTGTATCTTAAAACAAGGCAAAAGTCCATGAGTCGTTAGCTTTTTAAGGTTTTTCAGACTCAAAATTCCGCCAATAATTATATTTTCAAATTTTCTGGGAAATGTTCGGAGTTCTTCAAGACAATCTGATTGTGTCAACAGGAACCGATTGAGATTTGAATAGTCATTGTCTATGTCATGTGTTGTGACAATTTTCAAAGTTGTAAGTTCAAAGTTCATCAATCCATCCATGAAAATGTTTTCAATTTGTGCAACTTCCAGTTCCAAATGCTTTAAATGCTTCTGCTGCTGTAAAAACGATCTCAAGACTTTATCACAATATTGATCCTTTGCTGTACAATGAAAATGGAATTTTTTCACATTTTTACAGCACAGAAGTTCATTAAGAATTGTTGTTGGATCGAATTTGAAAAAAGAAATTTCCAAATTTTCTAATTTCGTCAATTTAAATTCTTGGAATATTCTCTCAACTTTGCAAGTTAACGACCTTGTTAATTCTTCAACTACAGCTGCATCTGACTCACCCTGATCCTTAGGATTTCCACATAACCTTGTTGTCATTGTGATTTTAAGTTTTGTGATGTTTGGCATGAAGATTAAAAGTCGATAAAACATGAAGCATCCATTAAAGCAATGAAACTCAACATTTCTGAATTGTGGTCCATAATCCCTATTTAAAAATGGCACCATCGACTTCCAGTTATCATTTGTAATTTTAACTGGAATTTTGTTCATACATTTTGACGAGCGAATAATGACATCTCTAAATATGATTGATACATGTAGGCATGCTTTTAAGGAGTTGACGTCAAGGTTTGTCAAAATTAGTTCGATGAGCTCTGGTGAGAGTTGATTGAATGGATTGGCTATAAGAAGGAAAATGCAATTAGACAAAAGCTTGAAGGAACATCTGAGATTGGTCATGGAAGTGTGGTTTGTCTATACTTCTGTCATGACACTAAGCTTTATTAAGGTAGAGCTTTGAAATTGACTCAATTTAAGACACTAGCAAATTTCAAGCCTCTCGGCCTAGCTTTAACATATACCCAAAATACTACAAACCTTCTGATGTATTTCCGTCCATTCCAGATGACTGACTTCTTCTGGAGAATACCTTAGAGATGTTCTCAAAAATCTTAGGCATTTCTGAAAAAGCAAGGTCGTTAAAAATCAAATATAAACAAAATATTCATAGTAAAGCAAACTTGATGTAAACAGGTTCAACCATAACACAGCAGTGTTAATGTATATGCAATGAGTCATTCGGACTTGAGATTTGTAATTGAATGATTTTACTTCACTGAGTTAAATTATTTATTTAATAACTAAGATTATCTTTTATTAGTCATAAAAGGCATTAATCTTCTTGACACTGAAATTTATTACCTTTAAAAATTATTCGTTATTATTTTATCAATTAAAATATTGATAATGATTTATGTTTTTGCAATTCTTATTTCATTAATTTGGCACATTCGAATTTATTCAGTTTTTATTAGCTTAAGTAGTTCACTAGAGAAGTTTACACATTTAATTAATTAAGATTTCTTTAATAGAGTCAAAATAATATAATTTTAAGCAGTAGCTTAGCGATTTGACCGTACCAATCAAAATAATCGAAAAGAAAATAAAGGAAAAAGTGGAAAAATTTCAATTTTCTTTATCCGTTAAAGTAAGTTCTGATCATTGGTAAGCCATTGGTGCCTATGAGAGATATATTAGTAAAATCAGAGGGATTTTCAGTCTGAGACAGGTTTCTTAATATATGAACACCAAAATCTACATCTGCAATCATCCTTGGAGCTTCCTTTAAGGTAGATGCATGGTTAGAGTGACGTTAGCAGCTTAAGATGGTTCAACCAACTTAGGTTTTCGTGTGACTATGTTCATTTTATAAATACTACTTCAACGCCTCCAACGTCCAAGACATAATTGTAAATGGTCATACTTTGAATAATATTCATCTTCAGTCATTCTAGTTAACTCAAATTTTTTGAAATTTTCATTTAACAAATCCTTATATTTCCACATAATGCCGTCATTGTTGCAATAAGTTCCTGAAGCAGCGCTTTTATTCTCTTCAAAATTTATTTTAAAAAAATCATTTTCGGGGTAAAAATGAAGTCTAAGTGACTTAAAATTTGGATTTCTTTGCATCAATTTTAAATAAATTTCATAATTTTGAATGAATTTTAAAAAATTTTCTTCTCGAACATTCAAAAAAGTTAAATGCTTAAGATTTGTGAGGTTTTGACTCCAGCTTTCAGAACTCAGTAAGAATTGGTCATGTGGGATAACAAGACTTTCAAGGAACTCACTGCTTAGATATTTAAGTAAGTCATTGTCATAGCAATCAAAATGAAATTCTTTTAAATTTTGTAAGTTTCTGAGTGGATTTGAGGTTAAATCTATATATCCAAAAAATATGTTCATACATTTAAGATTTGGTGCACAGCTAGTGTCAATTTTGTCGAAATATTCGTTTGTATTTCCAGTTAAGTAGCGCAAGTAAGTTAAAATTGGAAAAAGAATTTTCTTCTGTGGCTTTTGAGCTTCTTGAATTTGAAAACATGGCAATAACTCTTGTGTTGTTAATCGTTTAAGGTTCTTTAAATTTTTAATAGTTTGAGCTATCTTTGATTCCATAATATATGATGCAATCCTTAGTTCTTCAAGGCTATCAGCTTGTTGATTTAAAAATACGTTTAAATATTCATAATTGCAACTTTCATCACAATATGATTCAATTTTAAGAGTTTTTAACTTAAAATTCATCTTGTCAACTGTATCTGCTGCAAAGATCAAGTCAATTGATAAATTTGTGTGAAAATCTAAATGTTCCAGGTTCTTTTGATTGCAAATAAGAGGCATGAAGAATTTTTCAGAAAATTCAGTCTCAAAATAGCTTTTAAAAGTGACTTTTTTCAAGTTTTTGCACAACAGAAGGTCATAAAAGATGGACGGTGGATCCTTCGTTGTAGACAAAATTGTCAAATCTTCTAAATTTAGCAGCTTCACCCCACCAAGTCTTTTGTTCTTCCATTTTAATAAACTTAGTAGTTTTGCATTGAAATATAATTTCAACTTACTTTGATTTTGTTTATTTGAATGACTTTCCGACATGTCAATGCTGAGTTTAGTCACATTTGGCATCAAATGCATAAACATAAAGTAAATATAGCGTTCATCTGTACATTCAAAATCAACATGTTGAATATATTTTCCATACTTTTTTATGAATTTCGCTTTCGATTTCCAATTGTTGCCAGCTAAGTGTAATTTTAAGTTTTTCATGATTTTTGGTGAATTAATGATGAAATTTCTTAATGATTTTGATACTTCTAGACATGATTTGATGGAATTTGTATCAAGATGACTGAAAATCAGTTCAGTAAGTTCAGTTGAGAGTTTTTCAAAAGTTGACTCATGTCTGTTTACATTTGCATTGATAGTACCGCAAGATTTTGGCAAAACTCTTCTGATTGATTTGGATTTTCGTGACATTTTGAAGAATTTCTAATAAAAAAGTTTTAAAAGCAATTAAAATATCAGTAAGCACCTTCAACCAGCACAACTACTAGCTTTTAAATGAAAAATATCTTAAAAAGATTGTGACTTAATTCAAATACGCACAATCGATACATTGCCTAGTTCTTAGTCAATCCTCAAGTTGTAAGTCACAATTAAAAGTAATAACAATTAAGTTGAGGCAGTGTGGCCGAGAACTTATATGTATTTGACTTATTATTGCCGGTTGTTAAGTAAATTCAATGTCAGTGATGTTTGTTTTCTAATTCTTATAGGAATTAGAATTTTACTAAAAAACTTCATTGAAGAAGTGTGTGTTTAGTATAAGAAAAATTAAGAAGCAACAACATTGTGCAGTAAACGATGATTTTTTAATAAATCTTAATTAAATTAATATACTTGGTGATTTTAATCAATTCTCATTCAATTTGTCTTATCAAATGATGATTTGAATATATATAATTTTTAATTGACGCAAACGACTTATGTATTGCAATCTAGCTGATTAGCTGATAAGAAATATAAAATTGCATTTGTACTGAAATCGTTGGACTAATCAGACGTTAATTAAAACAAACAGTGAGATGGAAAAAACATATTTGGGATTTGATTGCTCAACACAAAAAGTAAGTGTCTTAAGCGTGCTTAAGTCTTTTCACATGTGACCTTTAATACCGTAAATTCACCTTTGAACGCTATTAAAAATTCTATTCATCCATAAATTATATCCATTAATAGAAATACAAGAATGAGTTTTAATTCTTTAATTATTGTTTATTGTTCCTTACAAATAAATAAAGTTGAAAGCTGTTCAATTAAATGATAATTTGGAAACGCTGTATCAAGCAGAAGTAAAATTTGATCTTGATTTTCCGGAATATCAAACGAATGGCGGTGTCAGGGCTAGTGAAAAGCCAAATGAATTTTATTGCAATCCAGTTATGTGGATACGAGCACTAGAAACTGTCCTGGATAGACTTATGTTACAGGGTGCAAATTTTATGACTGTCATATCAATTTCTGGTAGTACTCAGCAGCATGGATCTGTATATTGGAATAAAAATGGAATTGACACTTTACATAATTTAGATCCAGATAATTTCCTGTACAAGCAACTAAATGAAGATGCATTTGCTATAAAAAGATCTCCAATATGGATGGATTCATCAACTGGAAAGCAATGCAAAGAGATTGAAGAGTTTGTTGGGGGAAAGGATGAAATGGTTAGAATAACAGGAAGTAAATGTTATGAGCGATTTACCGGAGCACAAATCAGAAAGATTTTTCAAGAACAACTTGATAATTATAATAATACTGAACGGATTTCCTTAATTTCTTCATTTTTGGCTTCCATTTTTCTTAATAAAATTGCACCAATCGATCATTCTGATGGATCGGGAATGAATTTACTTGATATTAATACACGTTGTTGGTCTAAAAAGTGCTTAGATGCATGTGCTGATAATTTAGAAGAAAAACTTGGTGATGCGATTCCAACAGATACAATAATTGGAAAAATTGGTCAATTTTTCATACAGCGATACAGCTTTAATCCCGAATGTAAAATCGTAGCTTTTACAGGCGATAATCCAAGTGCTTTAGCTGGACTTAATATTAATGATGATTGCTTAGCATTTAGTTTAGGCACATCGGATACAATAATGCTCAGTTTAGATAATCGTCCAGCATTTAATGATGACGGCCATATACTTATACATCCAACAAAGAAAAATGGATTTATGGGACTCTTGTGCTTTAAGAATGCAGCCTTAATTCGAGATACATTTAAGAAAGCTGAAGCAAATAATAGTTGGGAAATTTTTTCTGAATTATTACAAAGTTCATCTCGTGGAAATAATGGGTGATATTAGAAATTTTTTAATTCTTAAGACTGCATGATTTATTGAATATTTTTTAGATATATGGCTGCACATTTTCTTTCACAAGAAATACTTCCAAATGTTAAAGGCACTTTAAGATGGTCAATTCTTGATAATTTTGAAAACACTGGCAAACGAGCTCAACTCATTCAATTTCCAACACAACAAATTGAAATAAGAGCTTTAATTGAAGGCCAAATGTTAAATCGGAAAATTTACGCTATGGAAATTGGTTTTAAATTTGGCAGCAAAAGTAAAATTTTGGCAACTGGAGGGTAAATTCATAACTTACATCCTCAATCATGTTAATGACTTACATATATTTTTTTTTTCAGAACCAGTAATAATCATACAATTCTCCAAGTTATGAGTGATGTCTTCAATTCTCCAGTTTACATTCAAAAAACTCCTGAAGCAGCTTGCTTAGGTGCTGCATATCGAGCAAAATATGTCATGTATAAGGAATCAGCTATCGAAAGAGGCGATACTTATGATGATTACCACAACTACATAAAAAATTATTGTGATAAAAAGCATTGTTACATTCAAAGAGTGGCGGAACCACATGCAGACAGTCAGGAAATTTATGATCCAATGTTAGTACGATACAGGGAATTAATCAAGGTCATGATGCAGCAACAAGAATAAATAATAAAACTCATTTGCATTCCATTCGACTTATATCTTACCCGAAGACCACAAGTCGATTAATCGTTCTGAAATCCGACATCAAGCATATTCTGGCGATTTAAATCTGGCTCCATGCTAGGGTCATGTCAATTCGGGTTAGCCAAAAGCATGAATTTATATTGCAATAATGGGGTGGGGAACTTTAACTAGGCTACTGGGTAGTAATAAGAAGGCTGGTCGTTTTGTTTATTTTTTCTAAAAAAATAAGTTTTTGGACAAAACGACTGCATTGGGTCAACATAAACAATCTTGATCTTCTTGGACACTTAATTGGTCACTTAATATTAATAATAATAATAATGTGCTGTATTATTTTGGAAAAAAATTTAAAAATATAATTGGGGTTTTTATTAACAAAACAATCTTCTAAATGTCCTACCTCAACATCTTCTTTCAGTGACGTTTGATTACACATCGGCACCTCAAACCACTATACATAAAATAACACTAAATTATACTCCAAGAAACAAAGCTTAAAATCAATTCAAACAAAATTTTATTTCTAAATTCACAAAATGAATTTTTATTTCGTCTTAAAGCCTAGAAAGCAACTTGCTGGATCTTCAGTTTCATACAAAATTAAAACATCACGAAATTTGTCAAGCAGCTGAAGGAGTTGTGATCGTCGCAAGTTTTCATAAAACATAATTTCTTCTAAATGATGCTCGCCTTGAAAGTATCCGCTTTGCTTCAATCTGACCATCAAATTTAGATCTTCAAAGTTGACACTTGCTGGGACTTTTAGAATCGCTAGTCGATCACATTCATCAAATGAGTTTAGCAATCCTTGTAGCTTTTCGTCTTCATTCTCTTCCTCACTTTTACCACTGCCGGTTCTATCATCCACACTCATGTTGCTATTAAATGATTTGTGGCTACTTGGAATTTGACGAACAGATGAAGAACTAACAGGCACATCTAATGGATCACTCATTGTTGGTGATTTTTCAGGTGATAATGCTGACGACTGTTTTGTTGGTGTCGATCCAAAGTCAGACAATGATAATCCTGAAGTGTCATTAGGTTTCTCATAGCTTGGCATGAATTGGACATATGTATGGAGTTGCATTAGTAAATGATGCTGTAGCATCCATAAGACCATTTGTGCAAGTCTACCTTGTCGTGCTGGATGCTGAAGTGGTGTTGTTAAATGTCCAATCGATGTTGGCAGACTAAAGTCGCTTATTACTTCAATTAGTTGCATTCCTGGGAACTTGTTGGCAAATCTCTCGACGAGGGGTGAATTAACATGAATGGGTGCGTCCTGAAATTGAATGGAAAGTAGGTTTTAGTATAGATTTAGGAATCATAACGTATAGGGTTTCATATGGAATTGTAGGCCCTTGAGATCCTAGTGTAGGCCCTTGAGCGTAACTTAGAATGTCTTTCTAAGTCTGTATGAAAAGTATGGATTGGTTATGAATTGGTGTAAACCTAAGAATCCAAATCGTCGATCAAAGAATCAATTTACCAATCCTCTAGATTCTAAGATTAAATCCACAAACTATAATAAAGCTGAACTTACCGAACTGATCACATAAACATTTGTTTCACACAATGGATAAATGATCGTTGCCTTCGCCCAATACACTAGATGTCCAACCATCTGATAAACTTGATCTAATGGAAGGTCTGCATCACTACTCATGCTTTGTAGACTCTTTAGTGGATTATAAGACTCAATTAGCTGTAGAAGGATCTTTGCACTTGATGGAGGAACACAGTCAAGCAATTCTGATGGATCAACAAGCAATAAGAATCCATGATAAGGCTTGAGTGACACGATCGCACGATCAATAACTTCTGGATCAATTAAAGGTTGCGATTTAGTTTTTCTGTCTGAAAATCGTGCTCTCCAGGCTTTTTGTGGCAAACAGAAGCATAAAGTTACTGACTCATTTAAAACAACATTGATAAGGCCGGTGCTACAAAGGTCAAAATACAGTGTCTTCAAACATTGTGCCAATGATGATTTTTGTAGGATGGTGTCAAAGATCTTTTCACTCTTGTGATCGTAAATTGTGTCGTCATGAATCTTTAGCATTGTCTTCATCTCCTTTGTAAGGTAATTGACGCGACGTTCTTCATAAAGCAGACCTAGTCCGAGACGCTTACTAAGTTCATAATAGCATTTTACTGGATACAAAATTTAAGTCGTCATTAGCTAATGTACTTAAAAATGTCAATCATAATTACCAATAGAGTAGCTACACTGAGCCTGTAGAGCAAACACAATGTTAATCAATATGAAAGAGTTCTTCGTTTCCATCAATGCAGGATGACTGACGAATCGGATGTCATTAATTTTTAACTCAAACTTCTGATTGGCCAGTTCCAATTTACAAGCAAAAAGACTCGACAAGACTTCATCCGATTCTAGTTGTACATTCATTGATGCTGTATCTATTCCTGCTAATCTCATTGTGTTGCCTTCCTTTTGCTGCTCTTCCAATAATGTAATTGAGTATGGATTCTTCTTTCTATCATTTTGGCTTGTTTCATTTTCTTCTTTAATTTGTACGTACGGATACCTAAAGATGTTGATAATTGAGAATTTGTGGATGTTGTACTGAATATTTGTAATACCTGAATAACAGTCGATCTCCTTTGGAGTCTGATTTTACTAAAATTATGCTCAATGGATTCTCCATTAAACTTCAATATGTTAAAAAAAATAAGAACTTTCTTTGACTTTCTTTATCACAATAACAACTAGTAATAAAGGTCAATGTCAATCTAAGACTTGAAGCGCATTTGACAAACTTTTGTGTAAACTTTATTAAAGTTTGAGAATTGTTTAATTTTGATGCAGGCTTCTAGAGGTACTTGAGGGAACCTATCTAAAACTTGTAAACTTATCATAAAATTTGATTGTGACTAGGACAGAGAGGGTTCAAAGTAGCTGTAGGCACTTGTCCCTGGTTTAATACTAATCTAATAAGCAGCTTGGAAGTATGTTGATCATTTCATTTGTTATTGAATGTAAAATTAGGCAGAACTATTGACAAAGTATCGACACTTACGATTTTCGATTAAGAAATCCAGAATTTTTGCTAAAAACAACAAGTAAGAGGGAAAAATGTCAAGTGAACGATATTCACACCGCCAAAAATATTATAAATCAGTGTGAATATCAATCATCATCAGCAATCATTAATCAGTAAGCTTAAACATTTATGATCATACTAGCTATTTTAAGAAAGGAACCTTGGATTAAAATTCCCAAATAATAGTAGTAATAATAGCGAATCATTCAAAACTCAAAAAAAAGATCCTAACGTTTAGATAAGAATTCAAAACTTTTCGAACATCACAGCTGCCCGCGAGGTTTTGCTTTGTATTATTTTCGAACAAAATCAGGTAATTCTTTACATTCAACAACTTTCTGGATGTTCTCAATTAAAAACATTGTCATAAATTCTATAAAAAGGCCAACACTCTCATTATTATCAAGTCGAATGTCAGCAACATCACCAGAAGCTAAGAAAATGAAAATTGCATCAAATACAATCGGAACACATTCAGGAACATTTCATTGCGATGAGGTTCTTGCGGTTTTTATGTTAAGAAATCATCCAGAATTCAAAAGCCACGGATTATTGAGGTCTAGAGACCAAAGTTTATTAGATCAATGTGATATTGTTGTGGATGTTGGTGCTGTTTATGATCCATCAAAGAAAAGGTACGACCATCATCAGTCGACATTTCAAGAGACATTTTCATCAATTCGATCAGATTTTGGAGATAAATTTGGAAATATTAGACTCAGTTCTGCTGGCTTAGTCTACGTCCATTATGGTGAAAAAATCATCACAGAAGTCCTCAAGCAATTTGACACAACATTGACGGACAATCAACTCAAAAGTGTCTTTAGTAAAATTTATTCTGGATTTATACAAGAAATTGATGCAATTGACAATGGAGTTCCTCAATTTGATGGCGAGCCAAAGTATCGAGTCAATTCTCACCTTAGTAGCCGAGTGAAATCATTCAATCCTGACTGGATGGACGACAAAACACCACAAGAAATTGATGAGGCATTTGAGGAAGCTGTCAAGTATGTCGGTAATGAATTTATTGAAAAAATTAAATTTTTCGCACTTTCGTGGCTGCCTGCAAGAAAGATTGTAGAGGAAGCTGTTCAAAATCGACTTAATGTCCACGACAGTGGAAGTATTATTGAACTTCATAGATTCTGTCCATGGCAAGAGCACTTAAGGGACATTGAGAAAGATCATGGAAATGTTGAAATTAAATTTGTCATTTTCAATGGCGGTGGTAGAGACAACGATTTTCGTGTTCAAGCAGTTCCAGTTGAACAAGGTTCATTTGTGTGCCGGAAGTTTATCAACAAGAAATGGTTTGGATTGAGAGATGAGGAGCTAGAGAAAGTATCAGGAATTAAAGGAGGAAAATTTGTTCATGCAACTGGATTTATTGGTGGGAATCACACTAGAGACGGTGCTCTTGAAATGGCTATAAAGTCACTTGTTGATGATGAATAAATGTTGAAAGAAAACAATAAACTAAAATTTTCTAGTAAAATTGAAATTTGATAGCTGGTTTTTAAAATAATTTTTTTATTATTGTGTAAATTTTTGCTGTATTTGCAGATATTTTGCATGTTTTGCAGAGGTTGATGAGCAGTTCGTCCAATTTTGATGGCTGAATGTTACAAAACCTCTGCTTTTAGTGATTTCTTAAAAAAGGCATGATTTAATTATTAGGAGGCTGAGTTTGAGGTACTCAGACTGTTCAGAGTATCTCAGAGTCATTTGGTACCTTGATGCCAAACAAGCCATATCGTATGGTTCAAAGATTAAACTAAGAAATACCTAAGAAACCGCCCGTGAGGTATATCGACTACATTTGTCAGTTATTGATATGAGTTGGTTAAACGTTGTCGATGGAATATTAAAACCTTATGAAATGTTCCCCTATACCTAACCTATTCTTATATTACAATATAAATCATGGCCATAAGTTAAATAAGATCTAAAGTTCAAAACCTCCAAACCATACCCTAGCTTCACCGGTTTGTATAAAATTCTCACAACTCCCGAAAAATTCCCTTACACAAACTATCCCGATCATCGAATTTTCGAAAATGCGCAATCATATGATTTTCCTCAATTGTCTTCCTTACTTTCCTTTTGTTTACATTCCCCTTTTAGTCACTTTCGAATAGTTACATCCGTAAGAATTTTTTATAAAAAAAACCTTTAACAAAAATATTTTTCCCATTTTAAATATGCTTAAAGCAATAAAATTTAGATCATCAAATGGACAATTGGAAGTCCTTGATCAGCTTTTACTTCCCCACACAATGAGTTACATAAAAATAAGCACAGTCGAAGATGGATGGAATGTGATTAATAAAATGCAGGTTGGTTTTTAATTTTTTATGTCCAAAAATCCAGTATAAAGCATAGAAAAATATTTAATTTTAGGTCCGCGGTGCTCCATGCATAGCAATTGTCGGTGCACTTAGTTTAGCCGTTGAGATTTGGAATGAGGAAGTAGCAGACAAGAAAATATTCTTAAGTGAGATTGAAGGGAAGTTAAACTACTTGATTTCAGCACGTCCAACGGCTGTCAATATGAAGAAGGAATCTCAAAATTTGATGGAGTTTGCGACGAGTCTGTGTAATGATTCAGAATGTGATCCAAGTGATATGAAAAAGAAATTTATTGATCAAATTATACAAATGCTCGAGAAAGATATTGCAGACAATAAGGCAATTGGAAAGTATGGAAGTGAAGCTATTATGGCAACTTGCAAGGGCTCAAGCCAGTCTGTAAATTTATTAACTCATTGTAATACGGGAAGTCTTGCAACAGCTGGATATGGAACGGCTCTTGGTGTTGTTCGTGCCATGCAGGAGAGTGGCAAACTCAATCGAATCTACATGACTGAAACTCGTCCATATAATCAAGGGAGTCGTCTTACTGCCTTCGAAATGGTCCATGAGAAATTTAGTGCAACATTAATCTGTGATTCATCTGTGGCCTATCTCTTCCAGAAGAAGCACATTAAGGCTGTCGTTGTTGGTGCTGATCGTGTTGCTGTTAATGGCGATACAGCCAATAAAATTGGAACTTATCAAATTGCATGCTTAGCACAACATCACGGTGTTGACTTTTATGTCTGTGCACCATTCTCGTCCATTGATCCGTCAATTAGTTCCGGTGATCAAATCATTATCGAGGAACGACCAGAACGGGAAATGACTTATGTTAATGGCGTTCGAATTGCGGCACAAGGAATTGAAGTATGGAATCCTGCATTTGATATTACCCCAGCGAGTCTGATTAAGGGAATTATTACCGAGAAAGGTGTCTATGAGCCAAAAGACTTGAAGGACTGCTTCGCACAAAGTTGAATAACATAAATGTTGCCTTGAGTGTTGTACTGGATGATGTCAGGTTTTAGTTGATTTTGTTAATTTATTTTCTTTTGGGGTCTTTGTGGTTTTGGATATTGTTGATGTCAAATTTTGGACGTAGACTAAGTATATTCACTCATTAGCATTTAATAAGCCGTTCCATTTTATTATTTTTAAATGAATCATTATTTTTGTAACATAAAATGGCTTGTAGCAGAAGATGGAGTAAACTCAAGTCAGGGTTATGGTCCCAAATATTTCTTTGTTGTTGTTTGAATCTCTTAAACACTCATTGGATCAGATACTTAGGTACAAGCATTATCAAGTTCAGTATGCACAATTGTGTTAACAAAACCTGGTTTGAGTAAAAACTACACACAAGCCATGTCTAAAGCCCAACTCAAAGGTCTTCCTTATCTATATTTTATATTCAAATATGTTTTATTGCTTTATTTTGAGGTTATGAGAATGTAACATTTCCAATTATTGGGTCCATAACTAAGCGCGATTCTGTCGAAAGAAAAAGATCGTAAATTTTATGTTTCGTGATAATTAAAGGACCCTTGAAACCTCAAAACGAACCACCATATTTTTGTTATCTTCATAGCTGTAATTTGTACAATTCTAACCAGTTAAGAAGTCTATCAAATATTGACATCAACATTATTTAAAACCTAATCATCTCAATTGAAATAAAGCCCAGTTTGAATAAGAGTGAGTTACATAGAAAAGACATTTAATTAATTTTAATTTAAATATTACTAAAGCACAAATTAAAAACATCTGAATATTCAGCTGTTCACTGATTCATTTTACTCTATTAAGCCAAACTCTAAGCCTAAATACTGAACTTAACAGCCACTATACTTGCTAATAATTCTGTTATTCTGATAGCTTTTTATATCTACAACTAATTGGGACCTCCAAGTGTCCCTCATCTTACTCACCCCCAAAAATAACACAACAACTAAATCCTTACATCAATTTTTGTTTTAATTTAAAAAAAATTTACTAAGCATTAACGAATTTAAGTGTTTGTTGTAAGAACCAAAGAAGAGAAAAGTTTTGCTCGAAATTTTCCAATTTTTTTTAATTTTTTTCCATAGCTTACAAAATTATGTACAACATTCGATTAATTTTTTCATGTTTTATGTCAACAAAATGATAATGAAATAAAAATTATTATGTATATAAATGAATGGATTTTGATTTGAAAGCAGCTTTCTGAGTTGTGTTGATACCTAAATAAGATTGCACCAGTGATTCTCAAGCTGTGTGCTGCGATTTATTAGTGTGCCTTGTAATGATGTAATTGGTTTTACAGGATTTATTGGTGAGAGTATTTAAACCTAAGCATCAAAGTTGTCAAACCAATTAATTGTTCATTGAAATCGTCAGGTCTTGTACAATATTCCTGCATCATTCGATTTATTTCCAGATTAATAAGGACAGAAATTTTACAATTATTTGTGTTTTGTTTTAAAATTTAAGTTTGACACTCCTAGTAAGGAGTGGTTTTACAAATGTTAACATAAAATTCCGGAACTGATCAGTTCAGAATTCATATTTTAATTGTAAGAGACTCCATTAGACTTCCTGGTTGCTCCTATTGTAGCATGTTTAAGCAATGATTTGATAAAGTAAAACAATGATGTTGGTTTATAGTCACTAAATTCTGTCTTAACTTTAAAATGCTGAAAATCATTTAAATTTTGAATAAAACCTTTTATTGTGGCTTACAACTTTTATTATAAATTTCAACTTTAATGTTTACAAACAATCAAATTATTCGATCCGTTCGCTGATTAAAGGTTAGCTCCAATAAGATTAACGATCCGGTTTTTGTAGCGCTTTGAAATGTCTTTCTCGATCTAAAATTAAGAGAGCAAATTATTTATATATCAGTTTATAATTAATTGCCTTAAAATTAGTGAATATTGTTAAGTTACTCTTGGAGCTTGTTTCTAAAACAAGGGATGCTTTACATGCATCAGAACTTATCAAACAGACTATATTAACCAGATTAAGTAAATCAAAGGCAGAATAAGTTCATTGATGCGAAACTAATAGCTTTCAACCCCTCTTAATATTAAAACAAGTCTCCCTTATTCTAAATAGCGATAGCTTTGCCTTGGTTCAATATCAATAAACCCCACCAAATCAAAACCAGCAAACTTACATGTTTCAGAAGACCTTTAGTTTGTTCAATCATTTTTGTCAGGTTTGGTACCAACCCAGCTGCACATTCTTTTAATTCCACTGATTTATTCTTATACGAAACTTGATTCTGCTTGAATTTTTCAATACCACGTAGCTTTTGTTTTAATTTATTTGACAAAATATCAACAAATTTCGGTGAGTGTTTGATCTGATAAATTTGCATATAAGTTGATGCTGTCAATGCAGCTAGAACTGCATCAATCTTTTTGACCATATTATTGATACTCTTGGCATCATGATCTGTGTCATGATCGAGCAAAGACATTGAAATCACATGATTTTTGTCACTTGTTGAGAGCTCATAAAGTCTAAGTTTAAGGAACGATTCAAGCTCATAAAGCTCATCGAGTAAACTGTCACGGTAGTTTGGGGAATCAAATAAGGTATAAGCCTCATCATTCTTGGCAATACCACCACTCATACCGTCTGATTCAATGACAATTCCACTTCCTTCCAGTGATATGTTGAAGTCAATTTCATTTGCATCTTGACTTTCTGCATCATCGCCCCAATTAATCTCACCAACTTCTAAATTCACTTCAGCATCTCCACCAAAATCGATTTCTGCATTTGCATCGTCATCTCCGAAATCAACACCTTCATCATCCCCAAAGTCAATTGCACTGTCTTCATTTGAGTTATCAGCATTATCAGTAAGACTGAATGGCAATGGTGGTTCTTCAACCTTAATTGGTGCTTCATTGTATTTATATTCATAAACTGTTGTATTTCCTTTCTCAATCAAGTGCTTAATGACCGGCAAGCAATGCTTGTTGCCACAGAAATTTTGATATAAAGTCACAGAACTTTTGATGTCTGGAATTAAATTTTTAACTATTTTATCCTGCATATCGGGTAAGTCTTTGATCTTCTCGACCAGTTCCTGTTTGATGTTCTCTCCTTTAATGCCAAGTTGCTGACATGCAATATTAAATTCATTCTTTAAGACATTCTCAGACTTTACAGCATCTTGTGACTTTGTCAATGCTTCATTCGATAATTTTTCTAATGTTGTCATTTGTTTACGGGCACTCGGAATTTCATAGTTGATATTTCTGGCTAAAAGTTGTGCTGCTTCTGCTAAGTATAAACTGTCTTTCTCGTAGGACTTGATAACTGCTATCCAGTCTTTCATTCGTTGGGATGAATATGATCCAAATATGTTTTTAGATTCTTTTTCGGTCATTTTAAGGATGTCGATGATCTCCTGGCAGTGGAAATAGTTGATGTCTGGAAAAATGAAGATAAATTAATGTCTGAAGTAATGGCAATATCTTGGGTTTGTGTCTGCATTTAAAGTTCTTCAAGTACATCAATACCGTTCACTATATTAGCCAGAGGTCGAAGTCGATGAAGCAAACTCACTTCACTTCACTAAAATTTCAATCGGTTTCAAATTAGGCTCGAGTGAACTCATTTTTTTCGTGTTCACTCGAGTCGACTTTTAACCGAGTTGATTTTTTCGTGTTCACTTTAGTCAACTTTTAACCGAGTTGATTTTTTCGTGTTCACTTTAGTCGACTTGAATCCGACTTGAGTTCACTAAGGAAAAAAATGTAATATACAAAACTGATTTCTGCTAGTGCTTGTGAAGTATATGTGATTACATACAAAATTGCAGAATTTGTCCTTTTTTACTTTTCATAACCATAAAGCAAACTAAACGAATTAATTTAAAATATTTTTTAGATTTCATATATTTTTTTGCACTATAGATTATTTTTCTGATTTGAAATTATTTATTACGAACTGCTACAATTATGAATGAAATTATTTTAATTCACACCATATTTCCAATTTTGGTGAATATATTTTAATCTCATATTTATTTGTTTGACAACATTGATATATTGATAAGTGCACTGAATGAATCGTAAATTCTATTTTTCTTCTCACTTGTTTTTAATTTCACCATTAAATATAACACTTTTTTTTTAATTATAGAGTTAAATTTCTTTAAGGTACTAACATAAATAATGAAAAAAATTTAAAACTTGAATTATAATAAACTGGAAGTTTGAAAAATATTTTAAATTAATTCGTTTAGTTTGCTATATGGTTATGAAAAGTAAAAAAGGACAAATTCTGCAATTTTGTATGTAATCACATATACTTCACAAGTACTAGCAGAAATCAGTTTGGTATATTACAGTTTTTTTCCTTAGTGAACTCAAGTCGGTTTCAGGTCGACTAAAGTCAACACGAAAATATCAACTCGGTTAAAAGTCGACTCGAGTGAACACGAAAAAAATGAGTTCACTCGAGCTGACTTGAAACTGATTGAAATTTTAGTGAAGTGAAGTGAAGTGAAACGACTTCACTTCACCAACTTCGACCTCTGATATTAACTCGACTTCCTCAAACCAAAAAATTTACTTACATGACCCCGACAGCAGCTCAATCAACTTCTCATTCCCTGGCATATCCTTAATTGCTTCATTAATTTTATTTCTCACATCTTTGATATTCTTCTGCCAATTCTTGTCAGCTATACGACGACTAACAAGCCAGTCCGATAATTTATTTACGTGAATGTCAATTGGAATGTCTTGCTCGTTCATCTTTCCAAATTTATTTAATTTAGATTTTTAAAAAATAAGAGAAACTTTCACTGCCAACTAGGCTCCTGATGTTTACAAGTGGGAGTGCGTTCAGAAAATTGACATTTGGACATATATAAACTTTTTATGTTACCTGTAAAAATTGAGTTCGAAAAGAAATAAAAACAAAATTTTGTAACTTTTTTTTTTTATTGAAAAGAGTAATTTTGAATTAAATCATAAAATGCAGAAATACGAGAAGTTGGAAAAGATTGGGGAAGGAACATACGGGACGGTTTTTAAAGGAAGAAACCGAGAAACAATGGAAATTGTAGCTTTAAAGCGAGTCCGACTAGGTTTGACAATTTTTTCTTTCTTTTGTGAAATTTCTTATCAAAAAATAAAAATTTATAGATGAAGACGACGAAGGAGTTCCAAGTTCAGCTTTGCGTGAGATCTGCTTACTTAAAGAGCTCAAACACAAAAACATTGTGAGACTCTATGATGTGCTGCATTCAGATAAAAAGTTGACTCTAGTCTTCGAGCACTGCGATCAAGATTTAAAGAAATATTTTGACTCGCTTAATGGGGAAATTTCATTAGAAATTGTCAAGTCTTTCATGTATCAACTGCTCAGAGGATTGGCATTCTGTCACAGTCATAATGTCCTCCATCGAGATCTTAAGCCACAAAATTTATTGATCAATAAGAATAATGAGCTGAAGGTGAGTAGCTACTGCTAGTTTAGTAGTCTTAAGAAACATAAATTTTTAATTAAGGAACGAAATAATGATTTGCATAAATTTTAGCTTGCTGACTTTGGACTTGCACGAGCTTTTGGCATTCCAGTAAAATGTTATTCTGCTGAAGTTGTAACTTTATGGTACCGACCTCCTGATGTGCTTTTTGGTGCGAAATTGTACACAACAAGTATCGATTGCTGGTAAGTTTACATAATTTGTATTCATACAGAACAGTGCTGCACGATCTATGAACACTAGTGTGACTTCATAATGTGGCTTAGCTAAACTGACGATTGATTGGATCTTACGGGTTTGCATATTGCACAAAAAGGCCAAATTATTAGGCATAGCTACCATTTTGCTCAAATCTTTCAACTTTTAAGGGTGAACCTAGCTTAAAGCTGACTTTAGTGCAAGATTAGTTTCATTATTCAACGCTGTGCTGTCCACAGTGCTTGTTTAGTGGTTTCTCGTATTGCATGATCATGATTATTTGTAATCCCAAGATCCTTTTCACAATTCAGAATTTTTGAGCAGCATTAACAAAAACTATTCTTTAATTTTAGGTCTGCTGGGTGTATTTTTGCAGAATTAGCCAATGCCGGACGTCCACTCTTTCCAGGATCAGACGTCGATGATCAACTAAAGAGAATCTTCAAACTTCTAGGTACACCAACTGAAGATTCATGGCCAGGTTTAACTCAATTGTCAGACTACAAACCTTTTCCATGTAAGTATCTCCAACAATTATTCTAAACTGGATATTGTGTGATGTCAAGAGCATTTTTATGGCGTTCTTTTAAACTGAGGCTGATTCAATAATATTTGCTGAACATAACCTATTCACAGTCAAATTTCATTCATACTCCATGTAGCATTTACTAATTTTAAGTGACAATTTTATGGAATTTTTTTCATTAATTTATTTTCTCTATTTCCAGTATATCCATCAACAAACAATTGGAACCAAGTTGTACCACGTCTGAACAGTAAAGGCCGCGATTTACTTCACAAACTACTCGTTTGTCGTCCAACATTAAGACTAAGTGCTGAACAAGCAATGGCTCATCCATATTTTACTGATAATTAAAAGAATTTGCGTTAATTTTGTTTTACGTACTATTTTGAGGATGGTTTCTTAGATATATTCTATAAAGAATCCTAGGGAACATGAAGGGTAAGGCTGAAGTATACCTAAAGTAAAGCTAGGACAAAAAGTGTAATTATTATGATATATCTGAGAAACAAGTCTCTGAATCACATAAGAACTTTGATATCAACTCGATCTTCAGTTCATATGCAACTGGAGTATCTTAATGATAACAAAAAAATCCAATCCCTAGCGAGACTAACTGGCAAATTGCTAGTCTTTCTATTCTACAACTTGCAATTTACTAGTTATTATTAATACAACTTACTGTTAATAAATTACACTTGCTATTTACTAGCAAATTACCATGTAAAATGTTTGATCAAATCTTCTTAAGTTCGAATCTTACGAAAAATCATCAAAAAAAGAATTTTTTGCGTCATAAAAAATTTTGTTCTAAATTTGGCATTTGCCATAAACTTCACAAGAGCGCGCAGAAATCACCTTTATAAGGTCGATCCAAATTTGTATGTGACTTTCAATTAATTATTTATCTTCCTCAGGTTTGCGTGCGAGTCATGGGCGTTCATCACTATTCGACTTAATTAAATTAAGTCTTTTATTTATTTTTCATAGTGTTAGTGTACTTTAATTAACTTTAAATAAGTACACACTAATACTTTTACAATAATTTACACAAATAAGAAAAATTAAAAAAACACGTGGAAATCAACGGTTATATTCATTTAAATTTTTTACAAATTTACTAGTAAATTACTAGTTAAATTGTAAGCGAATTGACTAGTCAATTAGCAAGTGAAAATGCGGGTCTTTGGCGATGATTTGAACTTGGATTTTGACTAGTAAATAGCAAGTAGCAAATGGAAAGTTATCCAGTAAATTACTAGGAAATTAGTAGTAAATTTCTGCTAGGGAATAATTACCGATTATTGCATTGATAATCTAGTCATTTGCATTTAAAAGAAATCAAGAAAAACAATTTTATTCATTCCTTTTGAGTAAACATTTTAGTAGAATTTACTTGACTATAACGAAATGAAAGTTTTGAATCATAAAATAAAATAATAAATTTGATATTAATTCATTAATATTGTCACGAGTTTTAATTTTTACAATTTATAAAATATTTGTTTTTTAACATTTGAAGTCAAATGTTTATTTTTTGGATTTAACGAACTTTTTTCTTATTTTTCTGCGCACTTAGATAACAAATATAACATGATCGTTGTCGTTATATGACTCAATCCTTAGTGTTATACAGGGGAAAATGAGCTTTATCAACATCTTAAATATCATCAAATTTTGATTAAATTGATCAAGTAAATTATAAAGTAAAGATAAAAAGTAGTAAATCAAGTCAAATTTCAATCATTTTAACAAAATAAAATCATCAAATGTTGTTAAATTAATCAAAATTAATTATTCAACTTAGTTGAATTCCCCCTTTTGTTTATAACATGTTAGTGATTATAAAGTTAAAATTTATTAAACAATTAACTATTTACGAAGTTTGATCTTTACAAATTATTATTAAATCATCAACTTAAAATTGAGTTCAACTTAATTCTTGCAAAAATTAAATAGAAAACATTTGAAAAGTATGAAATTTCATTTAAAAGTTTTCTTTGAATTTTGATGATTCACATGATGAAATACATTTTTTGGTGAGAAGCTTTATCTAATTTTGTGTAATAGCTTAGTTTTAGTTTGCTTAGAGAATGTAGAGTTTTAAATATTTAAAAAAACACTCAAGTTATTCATTCAATTGTGAGAAATTCAAAGAATTTTTCCAAATAAAGACAATTTCCAAATTTGATATCAAACCTTAATTCTAAAATGGTTTTAAACTTTATTTATAATTAATGTCATTCAACAATTAATATTCAATTAATTTAAATCCTTTATTTTTATTAAATTTCTGTTTCAAACATCAGCAAAAAAAGCAAAATCAGTTTCAGTTTTGCACATTACAATTTGTTTATTTCGGTAATCATCCACTTGAGTACAAACAACTTAACCAAATTGTAAACGTTTTATCAGAAAACCGACATTTTTTAAAGATGAAAAAAAAACTGATAAAAATTCTGTTAAGCACTCTTTTAGATAAATATTGTCAACAAATCATTTGTTGTATGCAATTTCAATTTAATTCTGATATTTTTATATTAAACTATCCATTGACAGTTAATTATATTCAAATGGAATAAAGAGAGAGGATTTGATTTTTCGACGAGGGGAGTGGGGGAAATTTTGTGGAGGTTTTACAATTTTTATGCAAAAATCCAAATGAGGGCGGGAGGGACTTGGCTAAGTGAATCGGATTCTACTATAAACTGTGTTGTTTAAACTTTTTCCAGCCACGGCACACACACACTTCACTTCAGATATTTTTTCACGGCACACTAAAGATGTCTTAAGACAAACCAGTGTACCACAGCACACAATCCTTTTCTAGAGGGTGAAGCAGGCGCGTAGCCAGGAGGATCTTGTCCCGCTCATAAGCGTTTTAAGTCGTGTTCTCGCTGCGTTCAAAACGTTTAAGCGGGGGCAAGACCCTTCTGGCTACGCGCCTGGGGTGAAGTACAACAGATTCTGTTCTAATTTGAATCGTAGTTCCTCCAGCTTAAAAAACTGGGCTTTCTCCATGCTTCACTATTCGGCTCCGCCTTTTGCAGGGCTTCAAAATCTTCAATTAAGCACGAAATTCTCTTATGTCTACTAAACTTGGTTAATTATTTTGCACCAAAGCTTTAGGTCAACTCGATAATAGTAATATCGATTTCCCTTTGAAGCGACCCAAGATAACCTCAGGCTTTGCTAACTTCCAATTTTAAATCTTTACAGACATCATTAATACACAAACAGAACCAACGAAACGCGAATCTTTAATTTCAAAGAAACAAAAATAAAAAAAAATTCATCAAAATTCATTTAGCACGTCCAAGAAACCGACCTCGAGAGCAGCCAGCTCCAAGAATGGGTATAAATAACCTTACAAACAAGATGATTCAATCAACAAAGAACTTCCACATGCTAGTTCTGCAACATCTTGATGGAGATGAGCTTATAAGACTCACGGAAGTTGATTCAGAACTTAATAAAGAAATTTCAAATTGTCCACATTGCATGTGCAAGATAGCAGTTCACTTGACAATTGAGAAGTATAACAAGTTTAAGGAATTGGAATCGATTGTCAAAAGTAATAGACAATACAGGAATTTCAAGCTTACATGTGGAAATCAGGAAGAATTCAGTGAATTGTTCCTGCCAATTTTGTCAATCTTTTTCCAATCAATCATCAGAATTGACGCAAATGGAGTTATGCTGCCGACTAATCAGTATGAGTTGAGCTTACCAAACCTTAAATTCTTGAAAATTTCATTCTCAAATTTGAATGCCTTAAGTGTCTTTTTAAATGCGACTGACAAGTACCAAAAGCTGCACATTGAGAACTTTAATGACGCAATTTCAGATCGGCAATATATTGATCAAATCATGCGGTTCCGTAATGTCAGACTAGTTAATATGGAGTATATTGACATGATAGCAATCAAGAACTTGGACTTTTTGTACAGCAATTGTGTTGACTTTCAATTTGAGTGTAACAGAAAGTCAGACTATAAAAGTCTAGCTAAACTATTTGAAATCATTCAATGCAAGGAAATTCAGATTCGATGGATGAAAAGAGGGTGCGAGGGATACAGACTAACTCTCCACAGATTGAAGAGAATCGAGGAAATTTCAATTCCAATTGTGGATTTATTTGAAAGACGAAAAAGAAGGAAGATTAGTAATTGTGACACAAGTTGCTTACCTCCTGAATATTTTCTAGTTTTACTGGAAATCAGCGAGCTTTCTTGGAGCTTTATGAAGAAAATCGGTAATGTCTTGACGGACTTGCAGGCGCTGTCAATTTTCGACTTGTCGGAACGTGAAAAAAGAAACTTTTTTTTAACTTTTAAAAACCTTGAAACAATAACTACGATTGGCGGGATCAACAATCAAATGGAAACGGAAACAACGACAGATAGGAAGTCAATGGAATTAAAATACAGCTCTAAGGATCCATTATTCAAGCTGTCATCTGAAAATCTTGAGCTTGTCTTTAGACATTTCACAGCTGATGACTTCCAGAATGCAGCGGAAGTGTCTGGATCATGGAACAATATAATCAGCAAATCATCAAGATTCATGAGCTTATTGAAGCTGAGACTAGTCAAAATTAAGCGTGGAAATGCTGAGGACCTGGCCTATTCCTTGAAACATTTTGAAAATATCGAAATTTCATGCAATTACGATGCAAAAGTCGTTCCTGATGTCATCTGTGTCCTCAATTTTTATTCAAATTTTATCGTGGACCTTTACTTGCATGAAATTAAAGCAAAAAGAGTCGAGCCATTTTTCATGCCGAACTTAAAGTTTCTGACTCTTCATTCAGTCAGTGACAATTTTTGTGGAAGTTTCCTTGACAGCTGCTTGACTCTTAGATCTGTCAAGTTCCAAAATATGCTGTTTAGTGAAAAGTTCTTTTATCGCATCCAAAACATGCGACAATTGGAACGCCTTCATTTTGTGGACATAGAATGTGAACATGTCAAGTCCCCACAACCAAGAGTTGAGTTAAAATTAAAGAACATTAAGCATGTTGAGTTGTCATTCTCAATGGTTAAATTAATTAAGGAAAGTGGCAACAGTAGCATGATTGAGAGGTTCTTGCAGGATCCTTGTTTTCAGTCTATTGAGAGTATAACATTGAGTGGGTTACGTGGAAATGTGATCAACAGGATCCTCAGACTTTTTAAACAATTATCAAAAATAGAATTGATGAACTTTTGGAAAACTGATTATCGCGATTTAGATCGATTTGAGTTGAAAGTTGACCTTTATGTCCAAAACGCTTATTATTTGGAAAATTTGAACTGGCAGCTGGCCTTCCAGAACCATGGAGTAATTCATGTAGGGACACCAATAATTGAGAACCGTAGACATATTGAAGAATCACATAGAAACTTCCTTCGGATGTTAGGAACATCCGGCAAGAGAATGATTAAGAACAATACATTTGCTATTGAAAGTCCAATGACTTCATCCATAGATCCTTTACTTCAAATTTCATCTGACCTGCACGACTTAATTTTCCAGCATTTTTCATATAACGAAGCTTTGAACTCATTGGAAGTGTCAAGAAGCTGGAATGTATTATGTAAAGTATCAAGGATTGTCATGGACAAGTTTAAACTCAAACTTCCAGTAGCAGACAATTATATCAATCGAGACATCATCAACACATTCAGCAGGAATCATCAAAATGTTTTCTTACATACGCACAGTTTTTCATTCATTACTCGATTTAGTCAGAATTTGAGGAGCTTGACGATCATCTGTAATGGAAATGAAGTTCAGCCAGAAAAGAATCAAGGTTTTGGGAGTAAGCCAGAGAAGAAGGAAAAATCTTGGAACTTCCCGAACCTTGAACATTTAACAATTCGCAAGTATAACATGAGGAGTGGACATATAGACAATGTCAAGAACTTGCTGTCATATTTCAAGAGATGTACGAGATTGAAGTCCATGGTGATTTACGAGTCACTTGATTCATCAACAGCCAATGACTTTTTTACAATATTAAGGAACAACAAGGATTTAAAAGAATTGAGAATTGTCATGATTAAAGCAATTGTTAAATATTTCGAATTTGACTGGGCTGACGGTATTGAGTGTGAGTTACAGAAGTTGACATTAGGTTTTCATGAAACTGAACTTCATAAAGGCAACAATGTCGATCAAAAGTTGTTGAGCTTCCTTAAACTACACAGAAACACGTGTGAAGAGCTGGTTCTCAGCTACTGCTCAACTCCAATGTTTAATGAAGTTTTTGCTAATTTTCCAAAAATTCACACATTTTATGCAACCAATGGATTTAATATGGACGGAGCTAACCTTCCTGTCAACATTACAATCGAAAATTGCATCCTTCCATTTGGCCTTGCAACTGCTCACATGCCTTATCTTATTGAACGACTTCCAAATGTTGAGAAACTCTTTTTATCTAAAATTGACAATGAAGTTGTTCAGTCAATGGCAATAAATTTGGAGCGTCTTAAGAACCTGTCATATTACACTGAACATGAAAATTGTATTCGGCGATATCGTCAACTGACAGCAAATACAGGTTTGAGGAGGGTCATGTTTATAAAATTGGAAAATATTAAATTTGAAGGAATTACAATGGCAAGCATCTTTCAAGAAAAAGGTCCTTTTAAGTGGGTGGAACCACCGCGTAGATTTAGAAGTTATGGACGATATGAGCGGGATGAAGATGATGATGATGATGAAGAATTTGCGGAAATGGAGAGGTTTAGGACTTAAGAAGGAGATTATCAAACTTTCATCATTTCGATTCTTTTGATTAAAATTAAAGAAATGTTTTTTTAAAGTTTTGATTTCTAATTTTTTTCATAATTTAGAATGGAAAAAGGTCACCCGATTGACACAAGTTGATTAAGCTGACCAATCGGGTCAGTAATTAAGATTGACCAAACAATTTTTTGTTTTCAGTGACTTTAAGAATCAAATACAATCATCATATTCGCAAAAATTAAAGAAATTCTTGCTTCCGTGCGTGGCAAAAAAATTATAATTAAGAAAGGTTTATCCATCTAAAAGTTTAGAGTATGTACGCCTGTTATTAAAATAAAATTAATAAATAATTTTTTAACAATAAAATAAATTCACAAATATTTCATTTTTCTATCAATACTTTTTTTTGATAATTCTTTTTTATTTTAATTTATTTAAATTTTCTAGCATTTTATTTTTAAATTGTTTTTTCATTTTCATTCATTTACATCAACTAGACAAGAAAAAATAAAAATAATAGTAATAAAGTGAAGAAGAAAAGTTGTTAGAACATAAAAAATAAAGTGACTTGTTATCTCTTCTATGAAGCCCCAAAATAGTCAGCACAATATACACAAATCACATGACAGCATATCTAGTAATTGAATTCTTTTTTCCCCACAAAATTATTCACGCTGCCTTAAATTGGCTTATAAAGCAACGTTGTGACGTATTTTTTGCGATAACGATGAGATGCTGACAAGACCATAACTGAATCTTTAATACTTAATGCATACAAGTGATTCAACATGACGTGATTCGGTTCGGGAAGTAAGCATGGCTCGCATGATAATGGCGTGTCCTTATTCAATATAACTTGAAGAAGATGTGGTGGAAGGATTGGAGGTCCATTGACTTTCTCCCATGGCTTAATTTGTGGGATATCCTGCGAGTACTCTTTTGCTTCTGAATTCCCTGTATCTTCAGAGTCTTTTGCGAGTGCTTGGAACACTTCAAAGTCACTTTTACGTACGCTTAACATGTTGTTGCGACTTCCGACGTCATTTTCGATGTTTTTCTGGAATTAAATGTTAAAATTGATGTTATTATAAGCTTGGACGACACCCAAAGTTTCATACGCGGCTACTAAGATAGGAATTTAGTCAGCAAAGTATAATCAACCTTAAAATAATTTCTTAGGTCAGTTATTAAGTAAACTCTATAATAAATAAAACAAAAACGGCAACAGTTTTAATTGAAAAAAAATATCTAAGCGTCAATAAGGCGGTTTTAAGTTTCTTAAGTAATGGATTATTATCGTAGGTCAGTCCCTCCCATACCCAATTAACAGCTTAAAACTTACCATTTTAGGATCATGCTTCCACTCGCCATCAACAAAGAATTTAAATTGATGTTCGCCTTCCGGGACATCAACAATAGTAACAAAATCACCGTGAGATTTTACCATCGGTAAGGCCTTCCAATTGCTAAACGTTCCACTTATGTATACTTGCTTGCCACCACCTTCCCATTTGAAGACTGTCGGTAAGGCGGATTTTTGAATTTCAATCATTTCAGGCTGTACTGGTGTGCCAACATGTCCTTCGCTTAAAGTGTTTGCTGGAATGAGAAAGAATTTGCTTGAGTTAAGGTTTGGAATTTTGGGGGGGTTTGGGAACTTCGGTTCATTTTATCAGCTGTGAGGACCATGAATATTGACAAACTTAGGTCCACTACGGTCTTCACATCTAAAAAGGACCTTAAAGCTTTAAGCTTGCATTTTAAACTCAAAAATTCACTTTTGTGCAAATTTTTTTCTCTTTGCAATTCCCAAAAGCTTGTTTACAAAACAATCCCGCCACAAATAATGCACCAGACCTCCATAGCTTCCGCAACATACTCAAAACTCACCTCTTTGTCTTTGCACTCGAATTGGAAACTCATTTTCGTGCGGCAGCGATCTCGAATAAAGTGAATCGTCATCTTCAACAGTCAAACGATTGGAATTAATTGGTCGCTTATCAAAAACAAATGCTTGTCCGTCTACAAAAGAAAATAACAACAATAATAAAAATAAGTTGTTGAAGCAATTAATTCAAGGCAATTAAATGATGTTCGAGGGACAGAGATGGAGAGATAAAATTTTTTTTGTTCTATTTTTGCGTATTTGAATGTGAAAATTTTTCTAATTACCTCTAATTGGAGATCCTGGAATTAGGTCTTGCGAGCCTGACTTGTGTCGCTCACGCGGCATTGCACCTTGTTGATTACCCATCGCTAATTAGTGCAATTTTTTTTAAATTCCTATTATATTTTAAAAATCTTTTGTTTTGATTAAATTTTTTTTTCTTTTCTTTCTTTTTATTTGAGTTCTAAATTTTATTTTTTATCTTAGAACTTTTTGAATGTACGAAAAACGAGCAATTATGATTAACGGAAATATTTTTGAATTTTTTATGACAGTTATGAACAATTTTTAAAATAATTCTAGCAGTATGTTTCACTCTTTTGTAGGTTTTATTTAAATACTAATGAGAATGGACTAGCAACTCTTCATTTCTGAAAAATAATATCCTATATACCTGAAGAAACTTATATACTGAGAAAGAATCTCAATTTAATACAAATATCACTTCAAACTTAGCTATTGTGTTTAGTTATGATGCTGGCATTGATAAGTTGTTCATAATTTGAACATATAATGGTGAGCAAAGGTAGCGGTACACCTAATAGTATCACTAAATGGTCAACAGGGGTATAAGAGCAACAAAGGAAGCAAGTAAAAGCTTAATCCAATTTTCTTTTAATAAAACCAGTGCTGTTTATTCAAAAGTTTTATAAATGCAATTTAAAAATCATAAAAATAGCCACAATCTGTATCTGCCTGAATTTAGTTCCATTTTTACTGCCCAGTTGGTCCCGCGACTCGATCATTATGAATAATTGTAACCTCTTGAACCCTCATATTCGGTGTCATAAATGAAGCCAATGTATCAGCACCTTGACGAGCTAAACGATCAAATGGGAAGCCCATAGCACGTTTATCAGGATACAATCGATCACGAATGCCACAGAATGATGCTGCATCACTGCAAATTCCACCAAGATCTTGATTGATTCGGTCTAGTTCATAGTTGGAGACCATAACGAAGTATTCCATTCGATAGCCTTGAGTTGTACCTTTGGGAATCAACATATGATTCGGCCATCCACAGCCGCAGTAGTTAAATTGAGCGTCAGTGGTTCCTGTTGAGAAAAGTTTATTTAAAATTAAAATATATATGAGAAGTTTAATCTTACCAGCTGGACTGTCCAAATTTCTAAATGTTCGATCAAATGGAACCGTAATTGTTGATTCTGCTGATCGGCGTCTCAAAGTGTTTTGTCCAGGACGCACTAGAAATAAGAAACGATGAGATAATTCAGCAATAAAGTAACCAAAAATACTTACAGTTAGCAACAAACTTGTCCATTTCAATCATCAAGCGGCGCTGATCACGGAATAGCATCTGTTGTCCACGATCATCGAATTTAGGAGCCATGAATAGACGAACCATTCCAAAACGTTGAGCACCTGAGTCATTATTGACCTGGATGTTGATTGTGAATGGGATGTGTTGCAAGTGAGTGAATCTGAAAAGAAGTTTAAGACATTAAACAAGATTCTTAAATCCTAAGGTCCTTCGTACCTAGCAAAGACATCACCACGTGGCAAAAAGTCCATTCCTTTAGACATGTTAACATCAGATTGTTGCCAGAATGTATGGAACTGATTAGTACGTCCATTTTCAAGTTGAATGCCAACAGCAGTGACTTGAATACCTGGGAAAGTCAATTGCTGTGCTGTGTACGGTGGAAGTCGAATTTTATGCTCATTAAATAAGTCATCAACATCCTGATGCAAACGATAGAACACTGGATCACGCATTGATGTTGCTGAATCTCCAATTGTTGAGAAACTCTCCAAATGACGATGATCAGGATCGTGTACGAATGATAGAATTGTATGTCCCATATTGTGGTAGTTACCTGAATATGAAAGTTTATATTAAGCACCAAAAATATTCGATTAGTTCCAAATCTCACCATAATAATCAGGATTAGGTGACAACGATGATGCATCCAACATGTTCCCTAAATGATCAATTCCAGTAACTTCGTCTAATGGGAATCGCTGTCCTCTAGGATCAATATAAAAACCTTGTTGAATTGCTTCAAGGAATCGTGCTCTCCATCGTTCCATAGTTGGAATATCCAAGTTGATTTGATCCAAAGTTCGATTGATGTTTTTCAAGACTGAATTGTCTTGTCGTGCTGAAAAATGGAACTTTAAATAATGTTAATTATGATTTCAATTGATAAAACTAACCTGGCCATGATCGAGAAGCAATAAGTGAGTCTAATTTTGGGAAGTAACCTTCAGGAATCGGATCTCGTAAACTGTTGAGTGGTTTAACTCTTGGCAGGTTATTACAAGAACGTTCAGCAGTATAACGAGCCATAATCTGTATTGATGTCATTGAGGTTGTATTAAATTATAATATTAAGCTTGAGATTATATTATTTTGGCATACCTGTTGATGCATATAGTAGAACAGTTCACCACGTCTATCTTTGCGGACAATGTTGATGTCACTTGACTCAGATGGATAGATTAAATGCCTGTAAAATAATATAAATTCATAATTTCTGTAGGATACAGCTATGAGTGACTATAATTGAACGTACCAATGCCAGTGATGAATATTGATCTAAAAAGGTTGGACATAAAAATGTTAGATTAAAATTTAAAGAGCATAAAACTGATCAAAAATGATCGAAATTTGTCATTTTATATAATTTATATTACTTACACCTAAATCTTCACGGAAGTACCATAATCTGTTGAAAAATAAAATCCAAAATTAGACTATGTAACACAAGAATTAGATGGATCAAAAGTAGCCATTGTAAATCGAGTATACATTACCTATGCTCAGGATCCAAATCAGAAGCAGTATAATCCCTAGGAATAATAATCGGCCTTCTCATTCCTTGTCTAACAACATTAGCTTCCTCACGAGCTCTTCCAAAACTTCTCGAGTCTATAAACTTACTCGGAAAAGTTTCAACAAAGAGTGGCAAGTCTAGATCCTTAGTATCAGGTCGATGAAGAATTGCAACCGACAATGAATAGTTGAACATTTGAGCGTTGACTCGGTCACGTGCATAGACGGCATAGCTTTGAAGCTGTTCGATGTCTTTGGCCTCTGTAAAATTAATGGAAATGGAACTAATTAGTGAATGAGTCTTCTAGAGTTGATATGACCAACACCTACTCATAAACACATCAGTTAATGCTGCAGCAAGCTTCTGATGTCTCGGCATGAACAATGAAAAATTCTCCTGCTTCTCCAGTTGAGCTGGAATGGTGATGTCAGGTATTCCAGAGTCTCTAACTTGAACTGTCACATCTCCTTCCTCACCAAATCGACTTTGAATCTCACTTCCAATGCTTTGATATCGTTCCTCTAAAAACCTACTCGGAATCTGAAAAACTGTGTTGTTCTTGCCTTTTGGTGTAAAGACAGGCTCGCCAGGTCTCTCTAGAAGTAAAAGAAGGTTCTTCTTATTAGCCATGATTGCTACTTGACGATTGAAACTCTGAAATGAGACTGATAAATTGTATGCAAAATTGGCAGCACTTATATACTAAATTAGCACTTGATATATTTGAGGAAAATCCACTAAGTGGTGTAGACCAACCACAAAATATTCTTGTGAGAATTTAAAATTAATTCGGGTTTTTTACGCACTGGATATGCAGCCGCAAAATGCATAAATGTAAATTTAAAAAGATGACGAGGAATTAAACTGAACGTGTAAATTCTGACTGATAAGAACATTTTTCTTATGTGTGCTATGTATTTGGTACTATTTATTCAGTGATTTATTAGGAAATTGCTACAAAAATCATGAATTTTATAATTTCAATTCCAATGCTTACTGTCCTGTTGGACCTGAGACTCGATCATTATGAATAATTGTAACCTCTTGAACCTTCATATTCGGTGTCATAAATGAAGCAAGTGTATCAGCACCTTGACGACCCAAACGATCAAATGGATAGCCCATAGGACGTCTATCAGGATACAATCGATCCCGAATGCCACAGAATGATGCTGCATCGCTACAAGCTCCACCTAGATCTTGATTGACGCGATCTTCTTCATAGTTCGAGATCATCACGAAGAATTCCATACGATAGCCTTGATCTGTTCCTTTAGGAATCAACATGTGATTTGGCCAGCCACAGCCGCAGAAGTTGAATGATGAATCTTCAAGGAAGTATATTAAAACTTCCATCTAGTAGAAATATAAAGTTTACTTACCTTGTCGATTGTCCAAATTCCTGAATGTTCTTTCGAAGGGAATTGTGACAGTAGATTCAGCTGATCTACGTCTCAATGTGTTCTGTCCAGGACGCACTAGAAATAAAATTCAATAAGTAAGTGCCATAAATAAAGTAGCCAAAAGTGCTCACAGTTTGCAACAAATTTGTCCATCTCAATCATATAGCGACGTTGATCACGGAATGACATTTGCTGTCCACGGTCATCAACTTTTGGAGCCATGAAGACACGAACCATTCCCATTTTTGGTGCACTTGAGTCATTGTTGGCTTGTACGTTAATAGTGAATGGGATGTGCTGCAAATGAGTGAATCTAAAAGGAAGTTAAGACATTAACAACTGATTCTTAAATCTTAAGGTCCTTTATACCTAGCAAAGACATCACCACGTGGCATGAAGTCCATCCCCTTGGTCATATTGATATCTGACTGCTGCCAGAATGTATGGAACTGATTAGTACGTCCATTATCAAGTTGAATGCCAACTGCAGTGACTCGAATGCTAGGATAAGTCAACTGCTGTGCTGTATATGGATTCATACGGATTTTATATTCATTAAACATATCATCAATATTTTGATGCCAACGATAAAAGACTGGATCACGCATAGCTGTTGCTGAGTCTCCAATAACACCAAAGCTTTCCAAATGACGATGATCAGGATCGTGGACATAGGAGATTATTGTATGTCCCATGTTGTGAAGATCACCTGAGTTGATGACATAAAGTATTAAATTTGAGGCTGTAATTATCTGCATACTTACCATAATAATTGGGATTTGGTGACAGCTGCTGTGATGCTTCCAAAATATTTCCCAAAATATCAATTCCTGTTGTCTCATCCAGCGCTACTTTTCTTCCTTGTAAATCAGTATATGCATTTTCATTAACAGCTTCTAGGAATCTTTGACGCCATCTTTCCATAGTTGAAATTTCCAAGTCAATTTGGTCCAACGTTCGTTTAATTGGCATTAAAGTGGAGTTTGACGGACGAGCTGAGTTTTCAAAATTTATGGATTATTGAAACTTTTGGAAATTAATTGAGTTTGTATATATACCAGGCCATGGACGAGAAGCGACAAGTGAATCTAATTTTGGGAAGTATCCTTCAGGAATCGGTTCACGTAAGCTGGTAAGAGCGACAGTTTTTGGCAAGTTGTTGCAGAAACGTTCGATGTTGTAGCGACCCATGATCTGAAAAAAACAAAGGAGTAGCAGGGACAAAATCAACCGGAACAGGTACTCAGGCTCGAAGACTATGCAGTATACAATCAGCTTCAATACAACTATAGCCAGATACCGTAATATTAGGTAAAATATCGAAAAAGCTTCCTTGTTTCCGAGCCTGCCCATTGTAGGGTCTAAATGAGTCTCATATGAGTGCATTCATCATTAATAACCTTACCTGCTGATGCATGTAGTAAAACAATTCACCACGTCTATCCTTACGGACAATGTTGATGTCACTTGACTCAGCTGGATATACCAAATGCCTAGAATTAGTCAAATTATCCATAAAATTCATAGAACTATAAGAAATACATAAGGAAATTATTACCAATGCCAATGATGCACGTTGATCTAATAATAATTTAAAAATCAGCACATGATGCTTTCTATATAACAAAAAATTGCAAATACTCACCCCTAAGTCCTCACGGAAGTACCACAGCCTAAAACACAATAAAATTGAATGATTCCATATCAAAAATCCACAATTAAACCTCACCTATGCTCAGGTTCTAAATCAGAAGCAGTATAATCCCTAGGAACAGTAATAGGTCGTCGATTTCCTTGCTTAACCACATTCGCTTCCTGACGAGCCATTCCAAAACTCCTTGAGTCAATAAACTTGCTTGGGAAGCTTTCAATGAAGATTGGCAGGTCCAAGTCCTTTGTGTCAGGTCGATGAAGGAGTACAACAGACAATGCATAATTGAAAAGTTGAGAATTAACTCGGTCACGTGCATAGACGGCATAGCTTTGAAGTTGATCTATGTCTTTGGCCTCTGTTTAATTAATGGAAATGGAACTGATTAGTGGATGAATCTTCTGCAGGTGATATGTCGATCACTTACTCATAAAAACATCAATCAGTGCTGCAGCGAGCTTCTTATGTCTCGGTATGAACAACGAGAAGTTATCCGACTTATCCAATTGAGCTGGAACGGTGATATTTGGTAATGCTGTGTCTCTTACCTGAATTGTCACATCAGCCTCGTCACCAAATCGACTTTGTATGTCGCTTCCAATATTTTGATACTTTTCCTCCAAGAACTTGTCAGGAACTTGAAAGACAACATTGTCCTTGCCTTTTGGTGTGAAAACTGGCTCACCAGGTCTATCAAACAACAAGAGAAGATTCTTCTTATCAGCCATGACTTTATTTGAGGTTTAGAGATGCAAAACTTGGAAGTGCAACTGGTGAAAATACAGCATCGAATGTGGTGCTTTTATAGTCTGAAATTTGCTGATATTTTTGGAATTAATCATATGATGGTGAAGGCAGGCCACAAAAAATTCATGTGTGAAAATATTTTGGCGGATGTGCATTTTTATTATGCATTAACAGGAACTACAATGTAACTGCAATGAGCATGTGAACGAAAAAGTTTATGATTGATAAGAGTTTTTTGACATCTTTTACAGCATCAATTGTTCATTATAATTTCAGTTATTTGTAGACTTGAGAGGGACATTGCTGTAAATTTCATTTCCTTACTATTAGGCAGCTTTCAAAGAAAATGGGGCCTGACTGTGCAGAAGCTAAAATAAATTGTTATTTGACTGGCTCGTAGCTGCAATTGTGGAAAAATCATTTAAACTATGGATACTGTCGTTTGATGCTGCTGCTGTAAGCCACATGCTTAATAAATCTAGAAGATAGAGCCTAAGAAACCAGCTCCAACATCACGACATTACTAAAAAACAACCTTCATTTTCTAAACAGATGCTTTTGCTATTATAAAATGTGTTTTATTCCCAATAATTTTAAACTAAGTCTTTTTTCTGTCAATTCAAATTTTCATTATAAAAAATAAATTTATTTCTACTTTTTGCTTTTCTCGCTGTCTTTTTTGGTAAGTTTAATCATTAATTATTTAACTCATTTTAAAATTTCCAAATATTTTCTAGGTAAAACTCACTCATCACCATGTCCACCATGCGATTTAAAATCAATAAACTGTTTCATTTTATGGCCACCAATTGCAATTCTTGGAACATGTTCTGCTGATCAGACATGGAAGGCTTGTTATAGTTCGAGCGAGCTAACAAGCTGCTGCTGTGCGCCGATGATTCCAACAACTCTTGAGCCATCAGTAATAACCAGAGGACCTTCAAATATTCAGTGTCCACCTTGTGTATCGAAATCTAGCAATTGTTACTTTACAGATCCTTATATTCCATCTCTTGGCTTCTGCTTGGCTGGATATGATTTTTATGGATGTTATGAATTATCGGGTGATATCACAAATTGTTGTTGTAAACTTAATATTCAACCAGATTGTACAACTGCAGATTTAGAGGCTATAAAGTTTTAAAATTTTTTAAAAAAAATCTTCATGTTTTAATGGTTTTGAGGGAAGTCACGCAAATTTGTTGACCTTTTACCACATGAAACACTGTCTAGTTTCGGTCAGTTGTCATTCTACAGAACAGAAACTTTATTCTCATTAGTGACCCCAAACCTCCCCTCTCTATTCTTTAATATCACATTGTTTTTAATATGGCATAGCTTATTAGCTATTTAAAACACATATTTAGATACAATCCGTTAACAGCTGCTTAAATAAAAATGACAATGAATGTCATTAAAATTACCGACAAAGAAGGAAAGTATTGCGATGACAAATTTCTTTTATAAAAATATATTCAGACAGTTTTGAATAATATAGCCAATTGAGAAGAAGAAAGATGGAAGTTTTCTTCATTTTTGTATCTTTGTTGCTTATTTTTGGTAAGTTTGGTGTAAATTTTCTGTTTATTTGTGCTCTGTGATCCAAAAAGACCTACCTGACCTCTAGTTCTAGTTCTATTTTAACCTTATTTACATGATTTTGCAAATTTTAATACCTATTGAGCTATAGTACAGAAAAAAGGTTCAAAACCACATTTTTAAGTCAAAACTGAATTTACAATGAGGCTAAATTTGACTTATTTATGTTCACTGCACCTAAAATTTATGAATTTTAGAAATTAAACCTTTATAATCTTCAAATTTCTGTTCTAGCAAACGGCAACCAATATCAAAGTTCAAAGTATTCCGCTGTAAGAAACCGAGGTTCTTATGACCTTAATGCAATCGAATCAATTCTCCAGACAGACCAAAAAGCTGTCAACGATGTGATCGAAAAAAGTATTCAGCAAGTCGAAACACTTGTCAAAACACTCGAAGATAACGATATAAGAGAAGCTGACGATGTGAAAAAGTTGCTTGAATTTTTAGTTGACACGTCAGCTCCTGAAGCTGCATTAGTTCGTCATAAGCGGCAAATTCAACCAATAATGCCATTGGATGCAACTGTGGATACAACAACTCCAACATTTTGCACTGAAGTTCAGAACTCATACCAAAAGGCAAACAATCTATCATCAACAGCTCGTAATGTGATGAGTTCATCAGCATCAAGTATCAGTGCAGCAACTGATTCAATGAATACTTTTCTGACACTTTCAGCTAATGCTGATCCTTTTATGAAAGAAATTTACTTGAATTTGGCAAAAACGATGAAAACCTTGATTACAATTCAAACAAAGACGATGAATGACGTGCAAAATGCTCTTTTTGAGTTGACTTATGCTGGTGCAACTTACCAGGAACAAATGGCTACAAAGAATTGTGCAAATTCGACTGATCCACCGGTTGTTAAGTATACGACTCCCGAAGCAGCAACAACTAATTCCACAACAACAGTTACTACAACTACAACTGTTTCGCAGTCTAATCAGAATGGTAAGCATTAAAAGTGTGATTAGGGATGTGCTTAGGAATCAATCATGGTGGAAAATTAAGTAGGACGAAAATATTTAAATACGGGATTTAAATTGGCGTAATATGGACTTAACTCTGATAAAGTTTCAACTCGATATGAGAACCTGTTCCCGCTGACTTCACACACACACTTATTCCTATTTATAACCTTTTTATAAAGAGATTAAAAAGGTTTTTAATTTGAATTCAATGTAATTTTATTTTCAGCTGAATCTGTCCAATGCCCCAAATGTTTCATGGGTACAATCCAATGTCCAGTAATCATCGCTTTGGGAGGACCATCAAGTGGAACTTGTCCAGCTGGACGGACTATGATTAAATGCTCTTTTTCTGAAATCAGCAGATGCTGTTGCAAATAAATTTTATGAACATTTCCTTATCATTTAATTAATGATTTGATTTTTAAAAAAATAAACGAAATAAATTGTTTATTGATAGTTTTCGGTGAAATGCAACATGTTCAATAGGTTTACTTACTTACTTCGATGATCTTAAAGATCAATTGTGATCCATGGTTCCTTTAGATGGTGCCTTAAGATGGTTCTATCGCTGGCTAGAGCTTGCCAATTACCAATACCACGTGTAATACTATCTCTGTCAACAGTTAAATAGGTTTGCCGACTGTTTTCTGTAGAGTCGTTTTTCTATGATATTTAAAAAGATGGCTAGAACGGTTGTGCATTTTTTACAAGCTTGTTTGCTTATGATATCATTCAAAACTTTACTTAAGCTTTACAGATATGACCAAGGGAAGTTTGTGTGTAACTCAGGCGTGTAGCTAGGTTTTCAGAGAAGGGATGCCCGACTGAGGAATTCAGGTCAATGAAAAGCACAAAACTAAAAGTACAGCAACAATAAACTCACATAATACTTAATATATATAAAAGCTTATATATGAAATAAATACAAAAAATTATGACGTTTAAGAGACTATCCTTTATTTATATAATGAACATAAAAGCCACACATCTATGCACACAACAATGAGCACGCGCATTATCTAGACAAACTACTTTGTCGCCGTTTTTCTTTACAGTTTTAAGAGCGATAATCTTTTTGTGAATTTAAATTGACATTTTAAAAGAAAATATTCTCCGAACTGTACAAAAGTAAAAACTTCTCTTCAATCAATCAACTTGATAAGATAGCTTATCAATAATTAATCATAGAAAGTGAAGTAAGCATTTTTACTAAGTTTGAAATTTGAGGATATTTATTAGGAATCAACTGTACAATATGTTTTAGCAATTCAATTATTGTCAAGACCTTAAAAATAACAGTTCAAAAAATTAATAAATATGAATGAAGACATCGTATCCGGTAAGATTTTGATTGAAAAAAGGCTTTTGGGTCTGATTAAAAAATTATCTTTTACTTTTAAGTGGAGATTCCTGTCGCTATCAGCACCAAAAATATTCAACATGAATGTGACACATTAAACGATGGAATTAAATTTCTATTAAGCATAGCAACCCTTGAAAAGACTATTTTAAATCTTAAAATCACTGTAAAAGAAGATTTCAAGGTGATCAGTTTACTCAGCCTCAAAAAACTGAACAAGAAGTTTAAGGATCAATGCATCATCATCTTTGTATCAACAGTCAACGGCAACAAGTTCTTGATTTATTGGAAATCAGAAAATATTCAGCAATTTTTGTCACTCAAGCCTTATGGGAAGAGTTTTTCTGTGACAGATGGACAACTTTGTGAATATGTTGTTGAGTTTCTGGAAAATGAACTGCGAACTGGACATTTAGGTGAGAAAAATTCATTTGTTGGTATGCATTTATAGACTCTAATAGCACACGGCTAAGAAAAGTCGCAAACAAGTGGCAACAGATTAGTTTGAGGCTGGCGAGGAGTCTAATTTATTGTGATTTTGATTATGCTTTTTAAAAATGCCGATCTCGAAAACTTTCGGGAAAACGAGATTAATCAGGACCGTGATTCACCAGTATATCCCAATCTCAATCTCAATAGCGAGATTAAGATTAACATTAGACATATGGTAGTTTAGGGCTTTGCTTCTTTGTGACTTTTCTACAGCTTTAGCCACTCAGAGTGAATAGAGATGAATTGACAAAGGGCTCGTTCACTTATTACGTAACGCAAAAAAAAACGAGTTTTTAGACCCCCCCCCCCTTGTAACAAAGCGTAACAAAATCTTAGACCCCCCATAACGTAACAATAATTTTTTTCATTTAAATTGTTTATCAAATGTTTATTATACTTCCTTTAAGGATGTAAAAGTAAATAGAAGGAAAGCAATAAAAAAATATATTAATCGTTTACATCCATATTATTAACTAAACGCAAAAAAACTCATAAGTTTTGTAATCATTAGTCGTTTTCCCAAATTGGTTGAAAATGATCTTCAACTGCAAATACATTTTGATATTCAACAATAATATCAGTATTTGCACGTTCCTCTTCAATATCCAAGTTCTCAGCTTCTACCCAATCCAAATCCTCTTGCAATATTGCTTATACATAAAAAAATTTAAAATTAATATAGAAAAAATTATAAAAAAATATATTTTTTGAAAAGTTACGTAACAAAATTTAGACCCCCCCTCCCCGTGTAACAAACCGTAACAAAATCTTAGACCCCCCCCCCCCCTAGTGCGTTACGTAATAAGTGAACGAACCCAAAGCGAAAAGTGAGAATTAAGCTAGAAGTTTGCAAAAGTAATGATAAAACTTAAAAAGTTTGAAATTAATCTTGTTTTTTAGGAATCAACCCAAATCTTGACATCATAACTACCAATGGAAAAATTGAGCTTCATTCATTAGCTGATTCTCGTGACTTCAACTTGTTGCTCCTCGCATCTGAGTCTGGAAATGCCAAACCAATTGAAACTCTTCTTAAATATGGCATTGAATCTCAATTAATGTTACAAGATGGTGTTGTTGTCACAGCACAAAGTCTAGCATGGCATGGTTGTCATTTTGATGTGCTGCTGAAGTTGTTGCAAGTAAATTTGACATTTCCATTGGAAATGGACATCAATGAATGTTCTGAGGAGCTGAAACAGTTCATTGAGACATCACAAGAGTTCCATAAAATGATCCAAGACCAAAATAAAGTTAAACTAGATGAAATTTACAAGCAACTTCCCAACCTTCGCTATTTCTATAATCTTGTCAACAACTCAGCTCTCAAAACTTCACTAGACCTGAAATTGTTTGAGATTTACGAATTTTTAATCTCCAAAAACCTTTCATTTGCTCCACACGAGGATGTAGAAGAAATTTGGGAGCAGTTCACAAAATCAGAAAAGATTAAGCTACGAAGCGTTAACCTCAAATACCTTAAAGACATTCCAGAAAAGCATATAAATGTCCTCATGTTCAACACATCACTCAGTCATGACGAAATAGATGAAGAAGGCAAGAAGAAGCTAATCATGCGAGCATATAAAGCCCTCAACAGTGATCCACGACTAAAAATAATCCTCAAAGTCGTCGCAGCCATGAAAATTTTTCATATCATTTTCGACTTCGATCGTGACTCGACATGCAGAATTGATCCAGTCACAAGTTCTAGAACTAAAGGAATCTTTTACTTCTCTGGTAGAATAATTATTGGTGCTAAACAGTTGCTCGATCAAGAGACAGAGAATGAAACATTTAGTGTCTTAATTCATGAGCTTTGTCACTATGCAGTCCTGGCTGTGTACCAGAATCAGTCAGATCCATTTGCAGCTAATGATCAGGCAGGAAAAGAAGAATTCACAAGAATTGTTGAGTTATGTCAGGAGAATGTGAATGAGGAACCAATTATTCAGTCAGTTTTTGATGATTATCCAGCAGAGCATCAAGCATCAGAGTTGATTGTTCGTCCGGCACAACTGATTGCATTGTACAATCATGAACCTGAGATTCTGCAGGAAATAAGTGAAAGTTTTGGTCCTCTTTTTGATTATTTTGAGAGAATTTTACTTCCAGCTATGGAAAGAACTTTGCCTGAGATTGAGGGTAGGTTGGTGTATAAAGCTACGACTACTTATAACAATTTATCTGATCAGAACAAGAAGAAAGTTTCAAATGCCTTTGTTATGTTTAAAGATGTAGAAGTAAGGCTTTGTGAGTTATTTATAGAGAATTTTGGAGTTTTTGAGAAGCTTACATCCGATCACATCTCACAAATGTTAAAGAATGAGGTTTTGAACCTTGATGATCCACAACTGAGGTACTTAGAAGAATTAGTCAGTTTAAAATGGGAGAACTTGCCACAAAAATTAAGGAAAAAATTCTTAAATTTAACTTTGAATTTCCAAGGAGAGTCTGTCAAGTTTGAAGCTTTAAGTCTAATATGTCCAGCTGCTTTCCATGCCTTGACATCCCAGCAAATTATTGATGTGTTAAACAACAAAACAGAATTCTCAATCGGAAGTAAATTTAATCCCGAAAGTGAATTTCATGTTGAACGAAGTTTCATTCCTGAAGATGCAAAATTAATCAATTTTGAGTATGAATATGGACATGATTATGTTTATGATAGCAACACCAGTGCTGAGAGGAAGAAAGTAAGAACTATGAACACAAGTTTTGAGGAATTTATTAAGAATTTTATAAAGCAAAACTTTGATGATTTAACTCAAATTTTACAAAAAGTAAAGGAGAATGCGTCACTAAAGCTTTGGTCACCTAACCTCAATCATGAAGATTTTCACTTTCTGTATAGAAATTCGGATCAAATAATTGAAGTTGCTGTTAATAAGAAAATTTTGTTACTATCTTCAGAAGCTGGTGCTGGTAAAACTTCAACTTTTGAACATCTTGTTGGAGATTTGAAGGTTAAGTATCCTAGTCGATGGGTCTTTTACATCGACTTGTCAAAACATGTTAAATTATACAAAATCAATGAAAATGTTCTGGATTTATTAAAGAACATTTCAAAGCTTAACAACGACTTTGAGGTTAGAATCTTTGAAGAATGCTTCAAGTCTGGCAACTTAGTCCTCATTTGGAATGGATTTGATGAAATTTCTCCAACTTACAATGACTTTATCGTGAATATCTTTAAATTTATCCACAAAACCACTTCAAATATCCAATTTATAAGCACCAGACCTTTATATTCTGAGCAGTTGAGGAAGGAATTTAAGATTAGGACTTGGCAGTTGGTTCCTTTTGATGCAAAAAAGAAACTTGAATTTTTAAGGAAAACTTTGATTTCTAAAAATGATGAAATTGATAAAAATATTCAGAAAATTCAGAAAATCATTCAAAGTTTAAAGTTTAAGGATCTAAATGCTTACTTCTTTAATACACCATTAATTCTGAAATTACTAACTGAGATCAGCAACCAAAACATTACAGAAGCAAATACAATAAAGTTCAAAGAAGATCAAAAGCCACATAAATGTTATGAAACTCCCCAGCAGACTTTAAAATTTCCCCAAAAGACTTCAAAACAGACCCTTAATCAAGACATTCCAAACATTTACAAAATCTTCGAATTTTTTATTGAACGAAAAATTGAAATTTATCTGCAAAAAAGCAAAAACTCAATCAGCATAGCCAAAAAGCTGATCCTTAGTGGCTCAATCAAGCTAATCTTCCAGAAATTCGCACTGCTTAATGAATTCAGAATTTTTTCAACAACTACATTGGGATTAAAATTAAAAAAGCTTCAAATAATGCAAAAGGAACTGCCACATGACCTAAAATCAGAAGAAATATCAAGTTTTGGAATTTTATTTATCAACGGCAAAAATAAGTTTGAATTTTCTCACAAAACTTTGGCTGAATTTTTTGTTGCTCAATATTTTATTGAAAATATTTACAATGCAGACAGTGATGTGAACTGTGATGAAGCTGAGCTAAGGCTTGAATTATTTTATCATTTGACAAAAGTTTATGGCGATGTGCAGCAGATAATAACTGACTTTATGGCGGCATATCTCACACAAAGTGTTAAAACCTTCAATCCAACATTTGCAAAGCTTTTAAGAACAAAATTCAGGAACTTCTTCATCAGAATGTTGGACACAAATCACCCAAAAGTGTTTAAATTTCTATTCAATTTCTTCAAGTCTGACCATGACTTACTAGCTGATTTGCTGCATGTTAACGATGATGAGACTTTTTACACAGCAATCTTTAATCCTAATCATTTTGGACTGTCTGTAAATCCTGAAGAAATCAAAGTTCTGTCTCAGGATTGTCTAAATGATGATGAATTAAGGAAATTTTTGACTGGAAGGAATCAAGTTGGTAAAATGCTGCTTGGAAGTCACTTTTATGGGCTGTTGGGGGTGACAAAAATAAATGAGGATGATTTGGAACTTATAAAATTGAGTTTAGACTTAAAAGATGTCAAGCTGTGTAGTAAAGCAATCACAGAGCTTAAGTGTCAAACCATAGAAGTCAAAGAAGAAGTTGAGGTTCCAAACAAACACAACATACCTCCTACAAACTTCAAAAATACCCAGTTTCGGCAATTTATAATAAAAATCAAAGATAAGCTAACAATTGGGGAGCAAAAAGCTCTATTCATGACTGCCTTAAGTCCAAAAGTTTACTTATTCTACAAAATGTTCAGCTCTTCTGACTTTCCTGAGTATTCAAAACTTTGGACGACTTTTGAAAATTTATTGACTTCAAGGGAACTCCAAGAAGCTCTAGGAAGTGCCATAGTTGACTACTTTGAAATTGAAGCTGGTGACAAAATTGGACATGAAATTTTTTTGACAATTTTCATAGAAAAAGCTGAGAAATTTTTGACTGATTCTCAAATTTTTGAAATGTTTTTGACTAAAAGTATTTTTCATAAGGCACATTGGGATCCAAATAGCTTTAAAATATTGTGGAACTTCCTAAAAAATCATACAAACCAGGAACAACAAAGGAAAATTTTACTTCAAGATGATTTTAGTGACAAAAATTTTGATTTTTATTATTCGTACGATGAAAGTAAGAACTTGTACTCAAATTATGAATATTCTTATTACTACTATAACTTTACACCAATGAAAATCCTGCATAAATCCTTAACAGTCTCAAACAAAAGTAACTTTGAGTTCACAAAACAAATTCATCAAAATTACTTCAATCAAATAGAATTTCAGGACATAATTGCATCCTCAAATGACTTTATTTGCTATGTTATTGGAAGAGCCAATGATCAAGTTTGTATGAATTTTGCATCATTCTTACTAGAACTATTTAAAGGACATAAAATGAAGTTGAAAGAATTTCTAGATCGAAAAATTAAGCCAACAAATTTAACAATTTTTGAGTTTGTCGATGATTTTCAAGGACTTTCTCATTCTGAGCCTCATTGGTTTAACAATCTTGACACTTTTGTTGACTTGCGCAGGAAATTGGATGATATTTTGTAGCTTTTGAACTTGGAAATGCAATAGCAACTGAGAAAACAGATGGAAGTGAAGTTCAGAGTACATTTATTGCGACCAATGTTGCTAGGACACACGACGTAGTCTTAGGAATTGACTACGTACCAGAATCTTTACAATGAGCAGAGCTTACAAGTAGTTCGGATTCCACTATGATTGTTATTTTTAAAGAAAATCAAATAAATTCAATTTTAATGATTTGTAGCTTATAAATTATTTAACTTTATTTTCTTATACTGTTAAATGTGATTCAATTTTATTTACAGAATAATATTCAGGAGTTCCATAATTAGCACGACTTATATTAAAATTAAATTCCACCTAAACAACATCTCGCATGTAAGATGGCTTTTGGTATTGATCAGGATGGTTCTTCTTGCGATGCGCCAACATATTCGATTGATTCCGACTGAAAACATGAAAATTTTAATTTAATTTTGTTAATTTAATTGATTCGATAAGGATCGCAGTGCCTTCAGCTCATCGTAATGTGTAGTAACACACCGCCAGGCTGGAACCCTCTCACATTATTATTATTATAAAATTTAATTGGCAATTACTAATTGGATGAAATTGATTGCGAATTTAACATACTTAATACTATTAAATTGATACTTACAAAGTTTTTGGACAGAACGAGCACGTATAAAGCTCCTGAAGTGTATGGACAGCCGCTTCATGATCAATTAAGGTCCTAGGTCTCTTAAAACACTTGTCACAGTATTTACATTGATAATTCTTCACCTTCTCATGCACAAAACTGATGTGCTTCTTCAAAGCATTTAAATTCGGTGACTTCTTCCCGCAATAATGACAAGTATTGTCCATACCCTCAGTCTCATGATTCTTCACATGTCTTTTAAATGATTTTAAGTCAGCAATGTAATGTCCACAGATGTCACACTTGTATCTATCTTCAGGTCTTCTGTAATGAATCCTCATGTGCTCCTCAACTGCTGCTTTTGTTTTAAATGTTTTTGGACAAAGTTCACATTGTTCCTGATCAGTTTTTGAGTGTGTGTACTTCATGTGATGCTTCAGTCTTGCTTCATTAACAAATACTTTTGAGCAGCCATCGATTAAACATTCGTAAGTTGGTGTCATGTTTTCGTACCGATGGGTGCTCAGGATGTGGTTGCGAACTAGGAACTGGAACAAAAAATAGTTATTAATATTACTTTATATCTTGAGAATGTGTCTCAGCTATTTATCTTAAGTTTGTTTCTTAATTATGTGGCTTTATGACCTTTTATGTTTTTTAACCATGTATTTTTGAGTTTGTGTCTATGTTTTTGTGCCTCAAATTTGTGTCTTGGTATTTTGTAATTACTACGAAAATTTGGTTTGTGTATTGGCTACTTGTCTTAGCTAGGACACTGTGGGTTTGTCTTAACAATGTGTCTTGGGTTTTATGCAAGTTGTAATTATTGGTTTGAGTCTTAGCTATGTTCGTTGTTCGAACCTTAGCTTAGTATATTAATTGTGTCTTTGGTTTTGTCTTATCTGTGCCTTTTTACTTACTTACCTTTTTAGAGAACTTCTTACCACAATGATCACATTCGAACTGCTTCAGATCATCATGATAAGCCATGTGCCTTGTTAAGTAAGATTTGGCATCAAATGTCTTGCCACAAATATGACAAGGATAAGAAACATTAAAGTGAGTGTTCATATGATCAACAAGTCGATTCCGTTGCTTAAATTTTTTATCACAGCATATTAGATACCCGATTGTATTGTGCTGATTACGATAATGTGATCGTGCATGTGAGAAACTACTCAGTGGATGTGAGCAGATGTCACAAAACATGCTGGCAATTTGTTTAATTTTTTGATCATCTTCAGGATCAATTTTAATTGGATTTGGACGAGCCTTAAAGTGCGACGTCTTGTACATCGACTTGAGATTTGTTGGAGTTGTATTGAGAATTTTTGGAATCACTTTTTGTGGCGGGAGCGGCTCAGTTTTAATTAATAAATTTTGAGTGATAATTATTGGATTTTTGAGAATTTCAGGATCTTTAACGTCGATTTCTTCTTCTAAGATGCATTCCTCTAAAGCTTCCACCTCTGAAAATTCGTAATCAACAGCATCTTCATGGCTTTCTTCAATCAAGTCCTCCCAGTTCATTACAACTTTTTCATCTTCAGTGAATTCTTCAAGGATTCCATAAGTAATGGATACGGATGTGTGGAATTCATGGAAAACTTTAAGTTTGGACCAACATGATTCACATGCTGATTGTATTGAGTCTTTCGTGCTTTCAAAGATTTTCTAAAATTGGACAAAAAATATTTAAAATTTTATTTTGTGTAAAATCTACAAAAAGCTTCCAACTGAACAAAATCTTGGATTATATAAGCATTCAGCCTTAAAACTTTAAAGATTAGCTAAATGATGCCACTTCTACCATATCTTAACTTAATTCCCCAAAATCTCACCGCGTAAAATGAGAAATGAACTTGAATAACTTCAGAACATGATGTTGAGTAGATCAGTTGCTCCTCAATATTGGTCAATTTGTCCTCAGGATATGAACCAGAACACAGTATGCAATTTGCTGTCATTTTTTCATTGAATTATTTTAATTAATTTATTATTAAATTTAAAATAAAAAAAAAGAGATCGAAATTAATTTTGTGACTTTATTTGTAAACAACTGCGAAGGGATGCAAGTTAGGAAACTTTGAGCGAGAAGGAAATTTTTTCTGTTTATTCTGAGTTTCTTGAATATTTTTTAGCCGTTATGAAATTGTAAATTAAATTAAAGAATCATGTTGAACCTTGAAAAGAATAGTTTCCACCAGTTGCCTACGGCTTCTTCTTGACAAATGTAGATTTTGGTTTTTTCTGTCAAACCCCTTGCACATCAAAGAATTGCTTTAATAAAGAAATGAGTTCATATTAAAGAACCTTCCTGCAACAACATTCTTGAATTTTCGGTATTACCTTCATTTTAATCTAAATTCAAGCTCAGTTTCAACAGACAAAATTATAGTGCCGTGAAGTTTTTGCCAACCTGTGTATATTGACTCATTAATGATCCGCAATGCTGCCATGAACCACATGAAATCGATGTTATTCCAGCTTACAACCACAAGAAATTAAAATCTTATCACAAGCTGATTTTACTTCTTTTTAAGCCGTGAAATGGCATCAGTGGTCTAAGTGGTAGAGAGTTTGCCTTACGCGCCAAAGGTTCTGGGTTCAATCCCAAGTCAAGGCAAGTTTAAGAAGCTCTTTTTCCATTTCATCGTTCTAGCTACGAAGCTCGGTTCATGTGTTGGGTTTAGTTTTAAGGTCTTCGGCATGTAACGAGCCTCCTTTGCTGGTTTTACTAGGATATACTAGCATATGAATGATTTCATTACAGCATCTTGCGAACACGAAATGTGACTAGGTTCATTGCAGGATTAATCAGGTCTGTAGACATCCTCGTTTCCTTGCAATATGCAGAGCTTGCAAGTGGTTCGGATTCCACTATAAACTGTAGGTCTAAAGGGTGTGATACAATAGATTCTATTCTAATTTGAATCACAGTGCCTCCAGTTCAAAAGGCTGGGCCCTCTTTACGCAAAACCTTTTTTTTTTTTAAATCCAATTCTAACTTGACAGCAAGCAATGTGAATGCACAAAAAAAGCTCCTCACAACAAAGCACATAAAAAGTAGGAGAAGAAAAGGAAAATTTCATTCCTGACACACATTTGCACATGTTTCATGTAACTTACTCTCTTTCTCTCTCGCTTACAGATGTTATTGCCTGCGCACTCAAAACATACGAACACACGCACACGTTTCGCTGCTGCTGTACGAGAAAAAAAAAGAAAAACATTTTCGCTTTTACTTTCAAATAAAGAAAAATTTCCATTCCCTCATTCAACAGCTGCCATCGTCATTTAGTACGCTGGAGAGTCTCAATGTTGTCAGTTCAGGATCACAATCGCTATCATCGTGTCGTGTAGTGACAAAAGAGGAAAAAAGACTTTTTTCTCATTTTCATTTTTTCTTTATTTTTTGGTCAAAAAAAAACATTTTTTCATTCCTCATTTGTGTCATTAAATCATCAAAATATAATGAAAAGTCACACGATGTGGATTAAATTGTGACTAAACAGGACCAAATGAGTCGTTGGGATAGGAAATTAAAAATAAGACAGCAATGAAGACATAAAAAATTGATAGAAAAATTTTTTTTTCATTTATTGGATGTGAAAAAAAAGGAAATGTGGAAAATGAAGAAGTTTTTATATTGTTTGGAATTGGAAGGGGGCTCAAGGCTCATTGCTGGATATTGTGCAGTTACAAATGTTGCATATATTATCGCATTATTCAGCATTTATTCACACATGGATGTGAAAAAAGTTGGTTGAAAATTTTATTTATTATTGAGTAGTTTGAAAAATTTGATAGAAAAAAAGTGTGGAATTTAAGAAGAATTTTGTTGGTAAAAGTCGTAGAAAAAGCGTCATGTGTGGCTTGAGGCAGAATAAGAAAATTATGAAAAATTCATCCACAGGTTCTGAAAAAAAAACAATTTTTTGTGTGTGCGTGCGTTGGTGGAGAATTTCTGGATATTTTATATGTGCTGTGAATTAGTATGATGAAATTTTCATAGCTTTTAAATCAGATTTTTAAAATTAGTGAAGCTTTAATCCCATTTGAATTAATGACTCTATACTAGAGCAGTCAGTCAAGAACTGAAAAGCTTCACAGGACAATAATAATCCAAATTTTGTGTAAATAAAATAAATTTCTAATGAAATGCATTTTTAAACCCCAAAAACAACACCCAAATCATCACAATAAATCAACGAGTTAGTTTTACGACCTGACCGATACTAATTCACAACAAATATAAAATATTCTAACCCCAAAAAAATTTAGTATTCAAATTAATACTTATTGCACAGACGTGTTAGAATTTGAATAAATTTGCATTCAATGCTCAAAAGCCTCTGCCAATAACTTAGCATGAACCTTTTACTAACCAAATCAGCTTCATAAATTCAACAAAAAAAATACCCAGCTTAATTTGCTGCTTTGCTTTTTTCATCCTCGACTAATTCATTGCAAAATTTCTATCAAAAAATATAAAAAAAAAATTATTAAAATTATCTCTCGTTCAGGTGATGAGTGCTATGGATGAAGTTAAGGCACTTGGACTTGCTGCTTTCATAAATTTCATGATTTATTATATCGTTGGTTCATTATTACTCGTCGTAGGTGTTAACGATGTGAGTAAAAAAAATTGTGGAAAAATGAATTTTGTGAGCTTTGTAAGTGGACGGAATTTATAGATTATCCTTCCTCCCACTTATGGTGACCTAAAAACGTGGATTGTGTAATTAATGAGGAATTATTGTGAAACACGTGGATTAATAAATAATAAAACACGTGGATTTTAATGACAAAGAATAACGTTGTCCTAATTGAGCCTTATTGGGCTGAAATAATGTGAAATTACAAGAAAAAGGAAGTGACAGTGACATGTAAAAGTGTGTTTTGTATTTTGGTTAATCTTGAAGGTCATTAATAAGACTTAGTAGGCAAACCATATTTTGTTATTTTCAAGGACAATCCATTGATTAGTAAACTGCTGTGCCTTGTATTTGTGATCTGTGATTTAAACTTATATTAATGATTAGAAAAATTAATAGACTACTGAAGTAGTTTGCAACCTTGAGACTACCCTTAAACAGATATAAAACATATGTTTCGTGGTCTAGTAGTGTCCACACAAGCAGTAGAATTTTATAATTAATTTCATACATAATATTTCCTGTCATGTAACATGTGTGTAGGATCAAAGATCAGAACTCAGAAGGATATATTAAAGCGCAAAAAAGTTGTTAAAAGAAGCTCTTAAATCCTATTTTTAAATAGTAGTGTCACTTGATCACCCAATTTTTAAATCCAACAATTTAATTATTCGATATGAGCTTAGAAAACAAAAAAAAACATCAAATAAATATTAAGCCTTTGGTGTGAAAAGTAACCCGAATGGCACAAGTCGGTTAATCGATCAGAAATCTGGCACAAATTTGGTGTGACTCTGGCATTGTGCTGGCTTCGATATAAATTCAGCACCATTCCAGAGTTACACCGGATTTCTGATCAATTAACCGACTTGTGTTATTCGGGTAATATATTCAGCTATTACTTAATTCTACAAGCTTAGACTGTGCGTAATAATTCAAAGCTTCTTAAATTATGTACGCCAGCTCAGTAAAGAGTTGAAAGACGTTCTTTGGTGCTACAAAAAAGTATTGCTGTCTTTGTGCCTCTTAGAAGTTTACGAAATCATCACTAAAATCAAATACGAAGCAAGCACTTCCTCACAAGGCTTCAATCTATGGATTATGGTCTGGATTCAGGGGCTCGATCAGAATTTTGAGATTCTATTTTGGTTTTTTTTTCTGTAAATGGACAAGCTCAAGCAAATTGAATAAATAATCCTCCTGGATACATTTCAGATTTCTTTCACAACTATTTTTTTGATTTTATTCTTCATTCAAATCACAATCTCGAATTGAGGGCATTCAAAATTCAATGATTACGCTTTTGACTCAGCTATACCGACAATAACAAGTCTTTTAATGAAAATGAACTCCTAGAAAGGCTAGCATAGCAAAAACTAATCCAATCTAAGCTCCAAAAACTTTAAAAGATAAACAAAACTCTTCGAGCGAAAAAATAAAAGCTCAAAAAACTCAACTTAGTCCATTAAAAATTCACTCATAAAAAACTGCTACGACAAACTGGTTCCGAAAAAATCGAGAAACTTTTTAAAGCTCACAAAAATTCATTTTTCTTTCAACTTTAATAAAACAACAACAAAAACTCATTTTTTTTCTTTTCTTCATTTTCCATTCATTGCTGTAAATGCTGTCGATAAACTTTATTCATGCAATCACATCGACTGTAATGTCATTCATCTGACACACTCGCTGCTGTTGCCGCCATTGCTCATTGCTGTCTTATCGTGCAATTTGATGAAATGTAATTAAACTCATTTACACTAATACATACGCACACACAAATACACTAATACACAGAGAAAGTACAAAACAATGCTTTACTACCTCAAAGTGCACGGTACAATGACATGCGGCATTGCCATTTGCGGTCCAATATTTAGCTACTATTTTGGTACAGCAAGTACAATGCTTATGATAATCGCAGACGTCATCTTTCGCTTTTACTCAATCGCATGTGTCTATTCATTGTATGAAAAAATTAAGCATGAAAATCGTGAGCGCGAGAAAATGGAGGCATCGGAAAAAGCTTTTGCATCGTATGGTACGGCGAATGCAGATGAGCATCATCATGTACAGGAGAAGTAGCATCGGTCACATGGCGGTCGTAGGAATTACAAGGATATTGATTATGATGAGGATGAGTGCTGAAAGTTTAGTGAACATTTAGTGCGAAAATATGTGAAATTCTTGTGATTTTTTTTTGAGGATTTAGGTTTTGTGGTGCTTTTTTAATTTTTGTAAAATTCCCACCACAAATCCCATCCGCTGAAATTCAACAACCAAGACCAAGCCAAATACAGAACCCTAAAAAATCAAACCAAAGTGATAAAATGTAGAGAAAAAAAAATCAAGTTTAAATTGTAAAAAAAACTGAAAAAGAATCACAAAAAATGTTTTTAAAAAAGAATCTAGAAAAAATTATCAAATTGCAGCTTCAAGTGACTTAAGTGTTAAGCATCTCTTGAAAAAAATGTTCGTCAAAAAAAAATATATTCTAAAAAAAGTATCGTTGTCGCTTAGCTATTCGATCCTAATATGTAAATTAACTCATATAGCATTTCCACACCGATAGAATTAAAATATATTTGAACTAAATTCATATGAGATTGATGGAGTAATGATGGTGGAGAGTGGAGTTGGGTAAGAGTTCATTTTTGAATGTGGTGTAGTTTTGGGAGTGATTTATGGTCAGGCTCAGAAGTTCTGATCAAATTTTGATTCATTTTTGGAATCTGAACCTTATCAGACCTCACCGGAACTCATATTAAGCTTTGCTGATCAATAAACAGAACAAAACTCACAATCTTAAAAATATATCCTTTAAACTCATTCAATCCACAAACTGAATATTCTCTGACCTTTCCGAAAGCAACTCGACCAACCTCAAACCAACCTTTAATTTTCATTTCCCATCAATGACCTAACAGAGCATAAAAATGGACTATTGTAGCTGTTTTTATTGCTCACAAGGTAGCAATATACATAAATTTAGTTTACAAAGACCAACACCTTTTTTCAGTCTACCTTTAATTGCTAATCAATCATACATATTTCTTTATTGCCTTGCGTCATACTTATGGGATATGAAATTACTTAGTATAGGATGGAAAGGTTAGTTGTCTGCCATGAACAAAAGGTTTGTGCTTTTGGTTAAGCTTAGAATTGAGGGTATAATTATTTTTATATACGGTTTTTGAATCTTTAAAAGTCAAACTATCATAGCCGAGAGTTACAGTTCAGTACAAAATCAGGATCCTATTAAAAATGTCAAATTAAGGTCTGAACTATTCAAATGGCAAACCAAGTGGGGACAACAATCCAGTAAACAAAGGTCGTTGTGTAAACTTAGGATTAGATTTGAGCAAGCTTTAAGCTTGGTTGGCACTGAACAATATTTGAATAACACTCAGCTTGTGTGGAGACATATTTAATAAAAAAGTTCTACAATCTAGCCTCAATCAGCCTATTGTCACTATTAAGTCGGTTTTCTACTATGGTTGTCACTAAGGTACAGAATTGGGTCCTTTTTCAATTTGACATATATTTTCGGTTAAAATTCTGGTTTCTAATGTATACCTAATTACATTAACACAGTCATGTTCTCAACTATTGTTAAGTTAATTCAGTGTTGTCCAAACTTATAACGTCTATAAAAAACATTATTTATAAGCCCTACTCCCTCAACTCCTTACTCTGTCACAAAATCCAAGACCCCTTTTCCCCTTTTTCAAAAAAAAAACACAAACCACACGCCGTGTGAAGTTTTCGTCATGGTTTACTATCAAAGTGTGATTTGGTTCAAAAAGTTCGGACAACACTGAGCTAACCTGATAAACAAGACGACTGATAGGCTGTCAAAAGACACACGTCATACTCAAATGTATAACCAACCTCAAAATGAACTCAACTCCCACCCGTCACTCAGATTATGTCCAAAAAAATATGTTTAATTTCCCATCAAATTCAACTCAAATAAGGAATCCAAAAAAATGTGTGTAAAAAGCTAAAGCAAACCTCAGTTCTGGACAATCAAAATAGTCAGTCCTTAAAAACATAAAAGAAAAGAAAAGAAAGGAGAAAAGAAAATATTTCGATTTTTGCTAGTTGTTTCTATTCATAAATAAATCATAAATCGTTAAATAGCTGTCTAACATGAACTGTTCAATAAGAATGGAAATTATCACCGCAGTCAGTGTATATAAAAAAAATGTTGACTGTAAAAAATTCAACGAAAATAGACACACAAAAAAAATATTTACGACTGCCTATTTATATTTCTAAGCCCAAAAATAATAAGGCGCAGACAGTTTGGTGACAGTGCGAACATGAAATTGAATAAGAACTGGAAAAGAATAGACAAAAACTTGTAGAAAAAAAAGGATTTGACCTTCATTGACCTTCGCATTTTCATGTTCTTTATTTTTTGTCTATTGTTTTTGTTTTTGAATGAAAAAAATATCTTTTATTTTTTAGGGGTGTATTTATCAATCGTGAAGTGGGGATGAATTTTAGAAATTAATTTTGTAAGCTCTAGCCTGTCTCGATTTTCTTATGTTTTGAAGATTTTTTTGGTAGAGTTTTACTAACCAAATTTGTCCATTTAAAACTGAAGTTTCTCAAAGTTTGAATGAATTTTAATCAAAATTTACCCATGCAATTTGAGTAATAAGTCTGCGATACAGTTTTACCTCTTTGAGTTGGTCTGGTGCTTTATTTACACAAGGGGTTTGTACTAAGTTTTGTAAACATTATAAAGATATCAGAAAATAGTTTCTTAACGTTATTGCATATTGGAACGAATTGTAATGACCAAAAAACTATAGTTTACACTCCGAAGTTTAGCATCATCATTGTGCACAACCCGAGAGACAAATAGGTTCAAGTTGACATAGTGGTGACATTATGTCAGCGACACCATGTGGCAAAATGTGTCAAATTGAACCTTTTTGTTGCTCGAGTCTTTACATTCGAACAGTGGCGTAGGAACTGTGGAACTTATTAGATGTTTGATAAAAGCAAACACTCGTATTTTAACTAAATTGCTTTCTTAAGTTCAAGCGTGTTTATACCGATAAGCTTCTAATTCTAGTCCGAATATCACAAGTTAAATAATCGAGAAGATAATCCTACGCTGAGACGACTTGAAGACAAAATTCTCCCAAAAGTTGTCATGGCGTTGTCTCGATTATCCGGCTTGTGCTACTCGGGTAGACTATAAACCCAAAAACTCCCGATACAGGTTACAAAACTAGAACTGCCTAGCATTGCCCGAAAATATCAAAAATCAAGCAATTTTAATTCAGCAAAAGCACTCTTCAAACAAGTCACAAGAAAATTGTCTAACTTCTCAAACTGTGTGTATATTTTTGTGCTTATTAACTGAACCAAAACCAAAATATTTTATTATAACAAATGTATAAAAAGAGCTGCTGCTATTTTCTCACCGCCAAAAATAATTATGGTTTTGAGGATGCTTTGTGAGAATAATTTGAGGAAGTTATCATTTCATTAGGTTTTAAATATATTTGCTTATATTTGGCACCAAAAACTGTTTTTTTTTATAGCTAAGGTGATAACTTAATTGCTAAGGGGGAGCTAGAAGTATCTTGGAGAAGCTAGGTTGAGCTATTGGTAGCTAAGAGTAGCTAAAGAAAGCTTTGAATTTATTCATTATTTCATTGTTTTCCTTCGTCCATGGAAAAAGCTTCCTAAAACAGTACTTAAACTGTTTGAATGAGCGCAAAAAACCTTGGAGGAATTACAATTGAATGAATGTATTTATTGACCCATTCTGGTAGTGAACTTATGATCGATTAGGTATTAATAAATATTCTTCGGTTCATAGTAAAGACACAATTTTAGACTTAACTATATAAAGCTTATCTAGGCCACAAGCAAGTCAAAGTTCTGCATTAAAGTCGCATTATACTGACAATTTGTTACTTAAAAAAATTAATTTCGTCCATTAAAACTTAACTCAAAAGTACAGAACTGAACATATGACTTTTGATCATATTAAATCATATTTATCAACTTTTTATCCTTCACTAGACCTCAAAATTTTCTCACAAAGTCTTTTTTAACCCTAAAGTCCCAACAATCAATCATCACAAAACAAACAAGTAAGTGTGTATTTTATGTACGAAAGAAACTCATCGACCTTTGATATTAAAGACAAAAAACTCTTATTATACAAAAAATATAAAAAAAACTGAAGAAATAGATACAAAGAAGAAAATATATATGGAACAAACTGACCATCACTTTATATACAAAAAAAAAGAAAAAGAAAAAATAGAAAACTAATGAAGCTTTTGTGAATATTTGATGCCTTAAATGTGAGGTTTATTAAGATAAAATAGAGGACATGATGTTGTAGTGAAAAAAAGATTTTTTTGAATTATTTCGTGTGAAAAAAAGGCTTCAAGTTAAGGGAACTTTATTGGTTGACTTTAAAAATACTTTAAAAAATTAATTTGGCCACAATTTAAAATTAGCATTTGCACATAACCTTAAAAAAATATAGAATTGGTAATAAAAAAATTGTAAATACTAAATGAAGAAAATTGAACTGAGTCATTTGAAATTGAAGATTTTTTAAAATTAACATTTTATCTAGTTTAAATTTTAACATTTTTATTGAAAATTAATTTTTCTACATTTAACAAAAAATTTATTTAAATAATAATTGAAGATTTTAATAATTTTTGAATAATTAGAGTTTAAATTTTATTATCCACTTACAAATTTGAAATTGCAAAAATATTACAAAAAAAAATTAAAATAAAAAATACAATTTTAACCTCGAGAGACAGTTTTAATTAGAAATAATATTTAAAAAACTAATAATAATTAAATTCATAAAAAACATAATTTATTAAGTTTTAAATAACACAAGTTTTTTGAAATTCTAGTTTTTTTTTAATTAAACTTTTGAATTTTGAAAATGAATAAAAATTTAAAATTGCAGAGCTTTGTGAAAATATTGCAAAATGTATGAGAAAAAAATTGAGCATGGTTCAGTTCCCTTAAAGAACGTAGATAAAAGGTGTGATTTTTGTTAAATTTAAGATTCGAGTTTTCAATTCTGTGGTAAAACTTTATGGAAATCTTATAACAATTCAACAAGGGGTCAAGATTTTCGGTATACTCTAGTCGAACTCTAGTTTAATTGAGATACCAATTTCAACTCCGAAATGAAACATTTTTGTTACATAGAAGAAAAATTCTGAAGAGTTAAAATTATTTGCTCTAAAATGAAAAAAATGCTAAAAATAGTTAGAATTCAAAATTATTAAGAAATTTTTATTTTAACGCTAAACTGCTTTTATTTGAAAACTGAAAATTTTAAAACAAAAAATTTAAAACTAATATTTAAGATTTGTGCTAAATTGTTTTAATTTCGGGGATTTCGTCAGGACAAAGTGAACTTGATCTAATTGTTACAAGTCATTTTCGTAGCCTAAAAGCTACAATTTAAATACATTAACTGTTCATTTGTCTACTAAACTTGACCTTTTTTCTAAAACAAAATAAATTTATAAATTCGACAATTTTAAATTTTAAAAATATAAAAATCTTATTAAATACTTAAAAAAATTGTTTACTAAGAACTGAAAAGACAAAAAATGTTCATGTTGAAAATTATATGCAACAAATTACTTACTGAGAAAAATTTCATGTTAATGTAAAATTCTAAAATGAGATTTGAAAAATGTTTATAAATTTAAGTCAAGTTATAATTCACAAACTTACGAAAATTCATTTCAAGTTTAGGTACACGAAAAATTCAGATTTTTGAAGTCAAAAATTATACATCAAAAATATTAAAATATCATTTTATTAAGTTTTCATCAAAAATAATTTTTTAAAAATTTAAAGTTCTTCTAAATCTAGTCCAAATGCAAAGTTTTTAAAAGTCTAATATTTAATTTTATCTTTCAACTTTAACCATACTTAAAGGCAGGTTAAAGGATTAACTTTAATTAAAAATTTTACAAAATATTTCGACATCCATTTTTAAAAAAAAATGCAAATCCTTTCCTGATGTGTTGTTATTCCATTGCACTTATTACTAAATTAAATTTCAAAAAAAGTCAACAAAATAAAAGAAAAAAAATATTTACTGTAAAAATATCATAAATGGAGAAATGTTTCAATTCATTAATGTGTAAAAAATGCAGCAATATCAACAAAAAAAATGAAAATACAAAAAAAATGTGAAATGTAAAAAAAAAGTTTTTTTTTCAATAAAAAATGAAAAATTATACAAAAAACTGTAATTAATTAAATTCTCACTTGTGGTATAGAATTAAGTTTAACTGTTTTGTGCTAGTGTTGTTTGACCAGGTGTGTAGCTAGAGCAAAGTTCAGACAACAACTAATTTTTTCCATTTTTTTGCAAAAGTATCGTCGCTTCTACATTGGATTCTCTAATGATTTCTTTTATTACGTTTGTTATATTCTCCTTGCGTGTTGATAGTTCGTTTTGTGCTTATTTATTCATATTGTCATTTAACATATTTGTTTTTAAAAAAAATGAGGTAAGTTTGCTTAGGGGTTGTTCACTTATGACGTCCAAAATTAACGGTCATTTTTCAAAAAAAAACAATGAATTTTAGCAATCTTTTTTGTTCCTTTCTTGCTGATCCCCTAATCCCCCCTTGACTACGCGCCTGCATCATCCTTCCTCCTCCCCCCCCCCCTCCTGGACGTCATAAGTGAACGACCCCTTAGTAAATTCTGCAATTTTTATAGTTTTTTTTTTCATTTTTAACATAATCAATTTTTATTAATTTTAATGACTTTTTACTCTCATATTATTTGCCTAAACTTAGTTTTACATTTGTGTATTAAGTATCTGTAATATATTGCAGAACAAACTATTGTTAATGCAATTCCGACTATTGCGACCCAATAAAAGTCTCTATTAATCTCATCACGTGTTTGTTCATCATCATTATTTCTTTTCTTGAATCTTTTAAGTTTTTTAAATTTATTAATAACTTTTTCTTTGATTTTTTGCTCATTTGCTTCTTCATCAGCTTGTAAACAATCAACATCGTCATCATTTACATCACACAATATGCTAACTTCTTCACAATTATCATCGATAACATCACATTCTGCATCATCATCTTTGTAAATGTTTAAATGTACGCCAAAAGTCAGTAGGTACACACAAAATAATATTACAATGATTCTGATTCGTTTTGAGTCCATCTGTTGTTGAAAAAATTTGAAATACTAGTAAAAAAACCCTGTCTTATTTGGCGGGAAAAATTCAAAATGTTTGTTATTAAATTTTGAAGATGTTCAATTATTTTTGTGCCTATAATTTATCCAACGGTGTGTTATTATCCTTCGGATTGGTGTTTCAGAGATTATTGTGACAGGTCAAACGAAGCCTTTTTTTGCATTAGGCTTAGCCGTAGGCATAAAGCTTAGGAATTTCCTAGATTGAACTACTGGAGGTCCTGGATTTGAGTAGATTCGATTTGAACAGAAAAATTTTTACCCACCAAAATATTCGATTTGAGTAGATTTCTTCCTGTTTTCTTCGATTTGAATTGTTTACGAAACAAATATTTTTTATAAAAACATTTCAGAAAATATTTTTAAAACATAAATTTTACTGCAATAAGCATGAACTTATCATATTGATAGAAAAATCAACACTAAAGTTAAAAAATTAAAGTAAAAATTTAAAAAATCGATATAAAATTAACGGTTTTAAAAAGTTCAAATTCAAAAACCTTACAAATTATCAGTGAAATAACATTTGCAAGGTTCTCATATTTTTGTTTTGTTTCAAAAGCATATTTTTTGTGAATTTCTGTTTAAAAACAATATAAATATGCGTTGAAATAAATTAAGTTATCTAAAACACATATTAAAAGTTAAGCAACGAGGTAAAATGTGCAAAAAATGATAAAAATTTTCATTGTTTTTATACATTTTTTGGACTCTGGAACAAAACATGTAATTTTGTATTGATTCTTTGCCTCGATTTGAATAGATTCGATTTGAGTAAAAAATTTTTTTGGAACAAAGCAGCTACTCAAATCGAGGACCCCCAGTACTTATAATTTTAATCTAGAGAAATGTCTAACCTGACCGCTGCCATGAACTAAGATACACTACAAGGGAAATAAAATTAAAATTGATTAATGTGCTGCTTCCACTTCATTTAAGTTGAAATTGATCCAAATACTTTCCGAACACTTTAAAGGTCATTAAAAGCCAAGCAAAAAAAAATGGAAATATAATATTAAAGTTGTGTCATCGTTTATTCTTTTTATTGATTAACAATTTTTTTATTCTTTTATTTCTAAGCATGTCGTGATGGATATGTTTAGTTATACAAACAAAAAATAAAATCTATAGACATTAATGCAGAGCGCCAAAATTGATTTTCCGCCTTCTTTCTGATATTCAACAAAAAAGTCATTTGATAAAGTAACTTTTTGATATCGACATATTGTTGTGCTATGTAATAAGTGACCAGCCTCTAATTTAGTGATCTTGAACATTTTGAAAAGATTTTTTTTGAATAGTTTTTGTTGTAAAGATCATTTCAGATCTATTTTGGAAATTATAAAAGGGGAGCAAAAAAATGTTATATGGAAAATTTGGAGGGGGAGGGATTCTTAGGTTTCATGAAAGCTCTAGCAAATTTAAAAATTTGGATTTTTAACCCCCCCCCCCCCCCTCCATTTTGCGCCTGTGTCTGGTCATTTTGATCCATTCTACAATCTTAAGTGCAACGCCATTATTATTTTTTAACATTTTGTCCTTGAGTCTTGAACAAGAAATTTGCTAAAGGGCTGTTCACTTATAACGTCCAGGATGGAGGGGTGGTCAGGTCAGCAAGAAAAGATGAAAAAGATTTCAGAAAATCCATTGTTCTTTTTTGAAAAATGACCATTGATTTTGGATATCATAAGTGAACCCTATAAAGTTTAGTCGTATTAAATCCTGAAAAATAATTTTACATCAATTTAAACGTATTCGAACTATCGAGATCAGATTAAATGATATTTAAAAAAAAAATTAAAGAAAAATTCCAAATTTACTTGAACTTTTTTGTGCCCTGATCTCATCATAAATATATATTCTATAAGATTTACAGATAAGCAAACTGTAGTAGCGGAAAAGTACGTGACGAGAATGTCGCCTCAATCAAAATAAGCAAGAGAAAATACGAGAGAATAAAAATCTTACAAATGGAGGGAAAGTAACCAACACAAACAAAGAGAACACGAAGAGAACTGATGGTATCAATGATTACTGACGATTGGAAATGTGTAAGAAAAATAAACAAAATTTTCAAACATAAATGCGCGGACAAAAGCTCAACTTTAGTTTGTTGTTGTAAGCACAGCTGTTCCTGCACAGCCAATAACTCACACAATCAAAAGTTGGAACTATAATGACACTTGTCATTGTTGATTTATACTAAAGGACTCTATTTAAACGCAAATATTGCATATCCACTTTAAAATATCTCAAGTTTCGCTGTGTCGAGTGGAATTGAAACTTGAGATAAGATTTTTGTGTGTTTTGCAAACTTTACAGACACAAACATTAAGGATGAATGAAATTCGATTAAAATTTATTGGCTCGACTGGTCTCGAGAGAGTATTTTGAGGAAAATGGAAAATATTGAATTAGTCATGTCTGATTTCTTTAGTGTAAAGTGGGAGAGAAGCTAGGAAGAACTAAGAATCAAAGATCAAGAATCAAATCATTAAAAGCAACCATGAACCACCAACCCAGAACCATGGTTTCAGAATCAACAACTGGGAACCAAAAACTAAGATTTTTATCAAAGATTGACATTTAAAAGATAAAGCTGCATATGTTAGGACAAAGTTATCATTTAAAGGAATGGAAGTGCCTTTGATATGCCGAGGCAAAGAATGAACATAAACCTGAATTTTATTTCCATTTCCAAATGAAAGTCTTCACAACAAACGTCACGTACACACTTTATTGTGATATAAATGTAAAAAAGTGACTTTCGTGAAAGCTTTAAGGACTAGATAAGCTTATTCAATAATTATCTGGAATGCAGATTTGCTTATAAATCTCAAAAAACAGTCACAACTTGTTGCCCATAACCTAAAAAAATAATAATCCTCGTTCTCAATATTTTATCCCGTCAATCAAAGCCTTAAAAGCCCATCAAAACTAATTTCACATTGAAAATAAATTCCATTTATAAAATTACAAAAAAAAATGAAAATACTCATCAAGCAAACGCGGTGAGAGAATTGACACAAAAAGTAGAAAAATCCGAAGAGAGTTGATGACTCAGATTCCTCATTCACGATCCAACAGATGTGAGAAAAGAAATAAAAATTGAGAAAATCGCTTCCACGAGCATAGAATAAAGGAAAGAATGAGAAGGGAGGTTAGTGAAGAAAAATGTCAACACTAAATGCGGCAATAAATGAACATTTGAATAACACGAGTAAAAAAAAAAGTTGTGTGGAAAGTTTATGTCATCTTGTCACATTACAAACACCTGTAAAACTCATTTCTTTGTCACTGTGTGTCTATTTTTGTGACGAGACTTAATGGGGCTCTATTGTTACGATGATTTGTATAGAAAAATGAGAATAGATTAAAGGAAATAAAGATTTATTGTTTGTATCAAAAAACTGTTGAGCTTTACAGGTCCATAAAGAGCTTTTAGTGATCCAGATTAAATCTTTAAACAGAATCATTCAAAATAGCAAATGTCAAATCAAAAGGACGCATATTTTTTATTTGACTCCGAATATTAAACATTACTCAACTAGGCCCCTCGAAGAGGAAGCTTTGAAATTTTGGAACGATCTTGATCCACGGCAACTTTCAGAAGTTTGGGTACAGGGGCTCTTCCCGGGGTTGTAGGTTCAAAACTCATTTGATTGATTGATTGATTGAGTTTTATTAGCCCTCTCGGGCAGATAAACTTAAAGACTAGTGACAAAATAAACTGGCATATAATAATAATTAAGAAACTTGTTATAATAGCGGTTAAAAAAATAACAAAAGATAATATTCAATAAGTTTTACACCTTAAAGTGTTTATAATGGTGAGTTGAGAAGTGTACGCACACGTACAATTGGTAAGTAACTGCAAGTTCCAATTTTAAAGTTTAATTAATTGATTGTGAAAACATTTTTTAAAAAAAAAAAAAAAAAAAAAAAACAAAAATATTAATAACGTCTAATAAAATTTTTAAATTTCGCATCTCAAGGATTTCGCTGATTAAACATATTGTTTACATCCAGTTGACTGCCCCTCAGGAATATTAATTTATTCTCTAATAAAAAAGTTTTCAGTTTCCTTTTAAATAAATTAAATCCTCTAATTTCTCTTATTTTCAGAGGTAGCTGATTGAAGATTTTGGGACCAAGACAGATGAGATCATTGGCTAGCAGCACTTTTCGGAATCTCGGATATTTTAACTGCCCTTTTCGACGTCCTTCCAAAATCACTTCAATATCTTCATGATTAGTTACGATGTACTTTTTAGTCAATAAGAGTAAGTTAAAAAATGCAATTCCTCTTACTGGCAAGACATTAACAGCTATTTCATCAAACAATTTTTCAGTTGAAAATCTTCGCTCCAGTCCATATGCTGTCTTGAGAGCTTTATTTTGAATTGTCTGCAGTCTGTTGATGTCTCCAGCATTCATTCTACAAATCAGGTAACCATTACAATACATGTGAGAGCCTATGAAGGCATTATAAAATTGCATAAGTGAAAAAGTTGGCAAGTGCCTCTTAATGACATTCATAGCGTTCATCGACTGAGAAATTGTTTTTGCTAGGTGATTAACATGCTCAGTCATTCTTAATTTACTATCCACAACTACTCCCAAATACTTAATTGTCTCAACTTTTTCAATTCCATGAATTTGCATTAAATCATCTAATTCTTTGCAGTCTGTGAATCCAAATTTCATGTACTTTGACTTATTTCCATTTAATTTGAGTCCGTTGCGTTGATAATATTCTCTAACTTTATCCATATCTTTACTTATAGTACCTGGAATATCCTCCAAATTGTCACAAGTAAGCACCATTACGATATCATCTGCGAATTTCAGTATCAACGAGTCAGTATCAACAAATTTCAGGTCATACAGCATCAGTACAAACAACAGTGGGCCAAGACAGCTACCTTGAGGAATCCCAAAAAGAATTACCATGATTTCACTCAATT